GTTGCATGCCAACATTTGTGAAGTCCCATATACACGATAGTGCAAAGTCGTGCTTCTTAAACAGTGCAGAAAAACATCACGTGGTGAGAGGAGCCTTATTTATGAAAGCGAAGAGACATTTTGTAAACAATCGTGTTATAAATAATACGTGCTAAACACTCTCCACAATACAGCCGTATTATACGCCACACGTGGCAATTGTTACCGAGCTATTTGTGAAACTACTTCACACACATATTTAATCTTGTCAAACCCAACCCCCAAGGAACTGTGCTGATCTGAGAGCTGACGGTTTCCTAGTGTGAAAATTACAAAACATACTAAATTATGTCCACGAGATGAGCTGCCGTGTTGCTGGACATAAAACCCTTTATTACACTAACTTGAAATCAGATTACTTTCACAATCGCCCTAGTACTAAAACTCCACTGGCTAGTCACATATCCGTGCACATTCCCGGGGCAAGGGCGTTAACTGACTATAAAAATCCATTTTCCACCTTTGCAGAACTAGGCTGGTTTGTTTGTTTGTTGTTTAACGCCGCACTCAGCATTATCCCAGCTATATGACGGCGATCTGTAAATAATCGAAGCTGAATCAGACAATCCAGTGATTGACATCATGAGCATTGTTCCACGCAATTGGGATACGATGACATACATCAACCAAGTGAGCGAGCCTGACCACCCGATCCCGTTAGTCGCCTCTTACGACAAACATAGTCACCTTTTATAGCAAGCATGGGTTGCTGAAGACCTATTCTACCCCGGATCTTCACGGGGCCCGAACTAGGCTGGAATTATGGAGTTATATTTTGGCTGGATAAACGAGTTTATGCCTAGTCCAATCAAAATCGCGAAACGAAATCAACATCCGGTTCGTAAACTGCCGTACAGATTCGGTCGATTGCAGGAGTTGCACAGCATGTGTACCATCTACTTAACATGCTTAGTGTCAACAGATATTTTCCAAATCTTTTCATGATTTTATCAAGGTGCTCACGTGATTTAATGCACTTAGCGAAGTAAGACCCGTTTCTTGTTGTTAAGACCACGTAGTGTACACCATATACTAGTATACTTGTGGAGGTCTAACCATCGACTATAGTGAATTCACCACGAATATCCCTCTATCACCGCATCGTGGGTTCGAATCCAAGATTCGACCGATTGGTTTGTCAGCGCCATACTTTCGTGGTTTTCACAAAAGTTTAAATATCTACACCCTGTGCAGCGTTCAGGTTTCCCCAGCATTCAGCTGACGTGGACAGAAAACCCTCCGCCCCTACCCGTTTCTATAGATCTTGATTATCGATCAGATCGTCTTCACTGGGCGCCACCATTTTGTTTGAAGCAAATGTAAGTCATATAGAGGTGGAATCTGATTGGTCAATAGGAGGGAGGTAGAATGGACATAATTCGTAATAGCCACTGGTGGCGCTACGATCGAGAAATTCCATCCTTGTTCATCAAGGGTGAAAAATGGACTTTTATAGTCATGCAGTTAACGCCTCTGCCTTGGGAAGGTGGAACTACACTTGCTGGTAACACATCCGTGTAGAAGTGCTAGGTGGGTGAATTATTGAGAGTTTTCAGTAGTTACTATATACAAAGAGTGGATTGGGAAGGTGCCTTTGTTAGGGTGTGAATTTGTAGATTAATTGTTTCGGCAGGTGTTCCTGACAGTGAGCGTAGATTAAATGTGTCGAATCGGCAGGTGCCCCTATTTGTGAGTAGACTAAAGAAATGTCAATTGCCCCTATTTGCGAGTGTAGACCATAATGTGTATAATCAGACAGCTGTTCCTATTACTAAGGGTACAAGTTGGAAGATGGCACGTGTAGAATTGACAGGTAGTGAGTAAAAGCAGTAACTGTCTGAGTAACCCAGAAACATTGCATGGCTGACGCCTATACACAACAGAGCGTAGCGGTGGTACTGGCGGTTTTTCCGATTCAGTAATCTGATTCCAGCAGCAATCATACCAGTTCGTGCGGAATAATCGGTAAATTCATTTCTCATGACATAAATCCTGACCCAGTAAGATCAAAAAGCGACAATCATTGTGTTAATGTCAACAATGCACCCCTACCCACCACCATCCCACCCCGCCCCCATCGTTTGGGGGGCGGTCGGGTAGCCTCCTGGTTAAAGCGTTCGCTCGTCACGCCGAAGACCCGGGTTCGATTCCCGACATGGGTACAATATGTGAAGCCCATTTCTGGTGTCCCCCGCCGTGATATTGCTGGAATATTGCTAACAGGGGCGTAAAACCATACTCACTGACACTGACAACCCATCGTTTGGCATATGTTTTCCTCGTCGTCAAACGTATATTGTTTCTAAAACATTCTCACAATACTCGCTCATTGACCATACCAAGTAAACTGCCGAGCAAAGGAAAGAAAACACTTGAAAAATGGATCTGACGTTTACCACTTTGGTGAAACCCACGATCACGATATCGGTGCTGACAAACCTAGAAACATATTTAGGGCGAACCGGAGGTCGAACCCATGATCAAAGATTTCTAGAATGCCCAAGGGACGCAACTCTGCACAGCGAATTGCGACGTCTTGGACGACACGGCCACCCGTGCCCTCTGAGGTACAAAGATGTTAAAAGCTATGCTAATACTAAAAATATATTACCAGAGTGCTCAAGAAATAGTTATGAACCATCTGGTCTCCATATGTGTGTACATACGTGTAACGGCAGAACAAATGGCTGTTCTATGTGTAATCACCGCAAACGGAAAACGCGATGGTTAATACATTAAGTTTTCCCGTAACCCAAAGCCCCAGGCTCGGGGTGTATACGGTAGGCAGGCAAGACAAATATATACATGTTCTGTAGCTCACCTTCACAAAGCACAAAGTATATCACCCACGACCAACATGCAATTGTTTCTTAATATTGTATATATTATTAGCATATAAGGAGCATGCTTAAACAAACAACTGCAGCCTCACAGCCAATATCATTAAAAGCAGATCTAAGTTCTCGCTGCCGCTAAACAAAGATCTGAGGACATCCCATTGCGGGTCACGTCAGAACGACCTTTCTCAGATCTTTGTTAAGCGATAGCGAGAGTGAGTGAGTTGGGTTTACTGCCGCTTTTAACAGTATTCCAGTTATATCACGGCGTGTCAGCTTAATGTGGGAGGAAAGCTCGAAGTGATGCAGGTTTCGGACGTTTACCACTTCGGTGAAACCCACGAGCACGGGTATGGTGCTGACAAACCTAGAAACATAATCGGGGCGAACCGGGATTCGAACCCACAATCAAAGGTTTCTGGCGTGCCCTAGGGACGCGACTCTGCACAGCGAATCGCGGCGCCTTAGACGACTGGGCCACCCGTGCCCCCCGATAGCGAGAACTAAGATCTGGTATTAATGAGATTGCCCCACAGCACTACTTAGCTTAGAGACATGTAGACTACCCAACACCTCTCATTACACGGGTAGATATAATAAATCCATTATCAGGGCTCTGGTTGGATGGAGATGGGAATCAACCGACACGATTGGAAGAATCTGTGAAATGCACATTTTCTAATGGACACAAATAAGAACCAGTCTCTGAAAGATTAAATTACCATAGTTACAAACGCATTTGTACAAAAACAGTCTGATCACGTGTTTGTTTGTTTGTTGTTTAACCAAGCACTCAGCAATATTCCAGCTGTATGACGGCGTTCTGAAAATAATCCCTTGTGGACCAGACAATCCAGTGAATAATATCATGATCTACACAATTGGGATACGATGACATGCATCAACCAAGTCATTGAGCATGACCACCGATCGCGTTTCTCGCCTCTAATGACAAACATTGGTTGGTGAAGGCCAATTCTAACCCGGATCTTCAAGGGTATTCCATTATCTGTGTTCCTGTGTCCAAATTTTCCAAAAGCATTTATGGTTACTAATTATCATTACAACTTATAAAAAAATAAATATTAATAACAGCAATCTAATATCGATTAAATCATTTTTGTATTTCTGTCGATATTACCTAAAATAGAAACCATTGTAATCTAGAATCAAATAAATCATTTCTCCTGAAGGGTTATATTTTTCAGATATATTTTTTATGTTGATGTTAGCCAAAGTTGAAATTTTGAAAATGTTTTACTAACTGCATACGGAATAGATGCGGACTATGAGAGTGCTGATGGTGCTGTGAGCGATGATCACGAGCCACGTAGTGTACACCATATACTAGTATACTTGTGGAGGTCTAACCATCGACTAAAGTGAATTCACACTAATTATATCCCTCTATCTCCGCATCGTGGGTTCGAATCTAAGATTGGTATGTCAGCGCCATACTTTCCATACGCCAAACAAATATATACCCCCCCCCCCCCCCCCACACACACACACACACACATTAAGCTGACTGAAATCGGCGTTAACCGACTCGACCAACGTACACTGACTGTTATCGTGTGTGTGTGTGTGTGTGTGTGTGTGTGTGTGCCTAGTGGTTAAAGCGTTCGCTCGTCACGCCGTAGGGTTCGATTCCCCACATGGGTACACTGTATGAAGCCAATTTCTGGTGTCCCCCGCCATGATATTGCTGAAATATTGCTGAAACCAGTGTAAAATCATAATCACTCACTGTTGTCATGGGCCAGTACACCAAATATCAGGGGATGTATCCCCAACACACACCCAGTTATCCAGTTTATTCTACCTCCATTATTTTATGACAAACACCCTGGACCCATTTGCTTCGTTTCGGAAGTGACGTCATCGCCTCCATTGCTCCTATCGTTAACTTACGACCGAACTTCTCTCGCTCATAAAAGTAATTTCACTGGACGACATTTAGTGTCGTGTCAATCAACTAGGGTTCAAAACGAATCTATGGTAGCGAGCGGACCCGGGGTGTATAATAAAATGGAGATATAATACCCTGGATTCTCGAGGATGGCAACCCGATGGTGGATTTTGTTATCATGCAAGACAAGGTGAAACACAACAATACTTCACCTTTGACGACTTTTTAGATTTTTTCGTAGACGCCTGTGGAAACAACATATCCTTGAGACATATCACATTAATGTTCACGTGCTCAGAAGCCATTTGTGTCTGTATCGCCTGACCAAATAACTACACAAATATATATATATGTCTACTGACTCTTCTGGAATCGTTTCGTGCTCAAAGGGGGATCGAAGACTGAGAATTGAGTCAGAAGAAATATATTAACTATGAAACGAAACACAAACTCACACATATATGCGTTGTTTCTGAGATCGTCTGAAATATATGGGGCTCTGCCCTTTGGAATTAACACTCCTCCTTCAGAAGGGACTGCAATCCTTTGTTGGTAACAACATATAGCAAAATCTCCTTATCTCGAAATCCGCAGCACGGACGATATATCGAAATATCAGTAGTTCGAGATAGAAGACCATAATGGCGACGAGGATTCTTTTGGGATGAGGACATTCATCGTGGTAAACGACATCTCGAGTTACCGAAGCTCGAGTGAACAATGTTTTAAGGAAGCCATCGATCGACACCCGAAGGCTGTAAGACCTAAAGTAACACGTGACCTAAATACGTCACAATGGAATTCCCTTTCTACACACGGTACCATACCAGAGTTGTAGCTACCAGTTATGTGTGGAATAACTCCATGACGCTGGAAAGAAAACTATCAGGATAATGTAAGCCTCGTTGTAATATAAGCAGCGCTTGCATTGATCGGTTGATGATTACCTTCAGGTTCAAAGCGATTCTTATCCTACAACGAGGTTTACTATACATGTCTCAAAATCGCCCTTGCGGTATATCGGTGTAAATATGATATAAAAACTGCATTGAACGTAACAGGCTATCATAATAACATTAAACAGTGATACATATTTTAAATATTTATGATCTATGGTTATTTATGACTACCGACGTCTATGCTATCTGGGTATAACCCTCCTTATCCTCAAATACACGTGCATTGTGTGAATTCATCATAAATATTGCATGTTTACGTGAAATGTTCATGGTGTTCATGGTATTGTTGACTGTTTACATACAGCACGAGTGTAGAAGTGATGGGATAGACTAATCGTTTCTTATTGTTGTTCGGGTAATATACAAGCATGTAACTCTCGTTAATTATGATTATTTTCGTGTTTGAATAATTAGCTGCCATGTATGACAAACACGTCCCGGGCTAAATCGATATCTGGTTGTTATGCGTTATATCCACCATCCTTGCCTATCACATGGAAATATGACGACAGGTGAAACTATATGTTTTATTCGTTCACGTTAACAGATGGTGGACTGTTTGGCTACCAACTGGGAGCCGATAAGTAGAGCTCACCACACAATGGCTAGTGAATACGAGAATACCGCTCGTGACTTATTGATAAGATTATTCCAGTATTCTTCAGACACACTGTAGGTTCTAGCGACGTACTGCTTGCTAATTACAAAACATGGTGTCATCACTTATTTTCAGTCATCCATTCATATAATTTTCACAGCTTTTAGCCTTTTGCGTCTAATGGAATCTGTTTAACTGGATAATCGAGGCTTGACGTTTTATATATACATGCATTTGACTGATATTTTTGTTATATTCAAAATGATGGCGTATTGGAGATTTTGCAGCAGACTAATTTTGCAGTTGGTTTTGGAGCGTTAGAAATTGGCACTAGTCCTGTAGTTCTTGCAAAACTGCCTAATAGTTAAGGTATCATAAGGACTAGTAGAATTTTATATTTTAAAAGGATATGTTATCATGAATAATGGACTAAAAATGTTTCTACCACTGACTCATGTTTCTGGTTCTTGCTCATCAATACAACACAATACTACTTATAATTCAAATTATCAATACATGTTGAATGGTATATGCAACTAAAGCAGTAGTGATTTCAGTGTTAGTTTCTACCACCTAGAAATGTATATTTTCGCAATGCTAAAGTCATATGTACAGTAAACTACGTTTAAGATGAACTACGGTTATTACGAACTAAAATAAGTGGCCCCTTTAAGTTCGTTATAACCGTAGTTTACTTATTTGATTGAGTATGTTCTTGTCCCACGTCGTGGATGACTCGTGGTGTTTAGTGCTGGGGTGTGCCATACCTAGATTGCTAGGGCAACAACCACCTGGAGCATCTGAGCTGTAGAAGTGGTTGTTGTGGTAGCCGTAATGGTAGTCGTCGTTGTAGTGGAGGTACAAAAGTAGCAGGTGCATTAGCAGTAGTGTCGTGGGAGTATCATTACTATTCGTAGTCGTAGTGAGTTGGGTTTAACACCGCTTTGAACAGTATTCCAGTTATATTACGGCGTGTCAGCTTAATCAGGGAGGAAACTGATGCAGGTCTCAGCTGTTTACCACTGTGGTGTAACCCACGCGCACGGGTATGGTGCTGACAAACCTAGAAACATTCGAACCGGGATTCGAACCCACAATCATAGGTTTCTGGCGTGCACAGCGAATTGCGACGCCTTGACGACTCGCCCACGTTAGCAGTAGTGGTAGTAGTAGCACCGACAGTAGTCTAAGTAGCAGCAGCAGCAGTAGTAGTAGTAGCAGTAGCAGCAGCAGTAGTAGTAGTAGTAGTAGTAGTAGTAGTAGTAGTAGTAGTTGTAATAGTAGTAGTAGTGGTGGTGGTGGTATAGTAATAGTAGTAGTAGTAGTCGTTTAGTCGTTGTTGTACTGGTAGTAGTTGTAGTATACTGGTATAGGTAGTAGTAGTAGTAGTCGTAGTAGTATTAGTAGTATTGGTAGTAGTTGTAGTAGAAGTGGAAGTGGTAGTAGTATTGGTAGTAGTTGTAGTGGAGGTGGTAGTGGTAGTAGTTGATGTTGTTGTAGTTTAAGTGGAGGTGGTAGTTGTAGAGGTAGTTGTTGTAGTTGTAGTAGAGGTGGTAGTGGTAATGGTTGTAGTTGTAGTTGAAATGGAGATGGTAGTTGTAGTGGAGGTGGTAGTCGTGTAGTTAAGTAGCGCTAGTAATTCAGTGGTAGATCTAGGTCCGTAGCAGTGCAAGAATAAAAGGTTGTTGCAGCAAAAACTGATGCGACATTAACCTTTTGATTTCATTTGAAGACTTGCAACCTGATCCCATTAGCCGTATTCTCAAGTCATGATTCATATAAAGACGTTTCATTAAAAAACCCAGTGCTTTACATTAAATGCCCTAGATTTTTATCCCAAGATAACATCACGGAGTGTAAGTGTATGTAACGTGAGAGTTAGAAATACTACACACACAAATGTGGCTTAAACATGATTGATTTCTATACTAGGATGGGAAGAAACAGATGTTCAGTCTGTTGTGAGTCTGAGTGATTCGCAAGAAAGCCAATTGTCTACTCCGATACCTCTACTGCAGCAATTCCTTAACATCGTCACAATTAGATCATGAAAGACAGGTGTATAAGAGTAAATCCACGTAACTGCATTGCTAGTGAGATTGATACGCTGAAATATTAATAGAGGTGATTCCGGCTCGAAAACAGCTCTACGTGTACACCTGCCGACTGTTTGTACTTACCGACATTTTGCTGGATGGTTATATCAGTGGCTATATTCCCGCCTCGCTGAGGAATGAATGAATGGAACAATCCTTGCACAACCCTCAGGTCCTGGTGTCGGTCAGTCTATGGTGAAATACTTGTCACGAAGCAGATGTGATGGCGACTCTCGCGAGCAGACGACCTCGCTGAAATGGCGCGAAAGGATCGATACTCGTAAAATTCAATTATCGTGGTAGTGGTTAACGCTATTGGGCAAGGTTCGGAGTAGAACATGGGCTAGCGTGAGTTTGGGCATGGCTGGGAACGTCATCACCATTCGTTGACTGTGTCGAGGCCATTGCTGATTCTAACCACCCTTCACTCCACAAGCTGGTAAACCACTTGATCCGAGCGCCGACTCTTGACACACGGTCTCACACAAGCTCATAAATCATATCGGGGTTTCGTTGTTCAATTTGAGGCGTTCATAGTCTGGAGAGAGGCAGTAATTTGGGTCGTGGTTGTAGATAAATTAACACAGGATACGTAAGAGAAAACTCGAGTACAGAGCCTGGAGGAAAGGGAGTAAGGGTAGCGGTATGAATTACACTGCCAAAACACTCCCCACCTAATGTAGAAATACGTAAGCAGGACACGCAACGCCCGGACTTGCACAGAACTTGCCCGCGCATCTTAATTCACAAATTATACCACTTATGGGCGTCATAGGTAATAAGGGCTGGAAATTGCTTCTTGAAGATATGAACCATACGCCAACCGAGCTGAAAGGGAGTCATTAATTGTGTTAAATGTGTTCAGTGAGATTACACGGACAAAGGTTTATTTTGAATGTTTGTGGAAATAGCTTCTTTTGTTCGGCATCTAGAGGAGACAAGACACTTATGGTCCGTTGACTCGGTTGAAATGTCAAAGGTTGATGGTTGGTTTGTTGTTTAACGCCGCACTCAGCAGTATTCCAGCTATATGGCGGCGGTCTGTAAATAATCGAGTCTGTACGTACCAGACAACCCAGTGATTGATATCATGAGCATCGATCCACGCAATTGGGATCGATGACATGCATCAACCAAGTCAGCGAGCCTGACCACCCGATCCCGTTAGTCGCCTCTTACGACAAGCATAGTCGCCTTTTACAGCAAGCAGGGACGCATGTGGGCATAATATGTCGAAATAAATAATTTCGAAAAATAATACAACGTCGAGATAAACTCGATTGATGTGATAAACAATAGGTTGAGATAAATAACATGCCGAGGGAGGGAGTGAGTAAACATTGTAGCTCCCAAAACATTGTAGACATCTGGGGAATCGAACCCGGGCCTTTGGTGTGACGAGCAAGCACTAGCCAGACTACCCCGCCTCCAACATGACAAGGGAAACAAAATGTGGAAATACACTGGCTCGAGATAACAAGTCAACATGTCGATATAAACGATGTGTCGAGATAAATGGTATAGTTGGTTTACGATTTGTCTAGATATCGAGAAAGTTATCATTCGACATCGGATCTGCAATGTTATAGACAGTGACTCGAGATAAAGAACACAAATCAACACTGTGTCGAAACAACTTCGAGATTAACGATGTGTCGAGTTAACAATAATTACGAGAGAGGTAACATGGTGAGAAAGAATATACTCCGAGATAAACAATGAGTCGAGTTAAACAAAATAAAGAGAAAGAGCGCTATACAGAGTTGCGTCCCTTAGGCGTGCCAGAATCCTGTGCTCGTTTTGAATCCAAGTTTCGCCCAGATATGATCCTTGCATGGTTCTCAGTACAATAAGCGTACTCGGGTGTTTAACTCATTTGTTCATAGACCTGCAACTCATTGAGCTTTCTTCCCGCATTAGACCCGTGAAGATCCGGATTAGAAAAGGTCTTCAGCTTGCCGAAAAAGGCGACTATGCTTGTCGTAAGAGGCGACTAACTGGATCGGGTGGTCAGGCTCGCTGACTTGGTTGATGCATGTCGTATCCCAATTACGTGGATCGATGCTCATGATGTTAATCACTGGAGTGTCTCGTCCAGATTCGATTTTAAACAGACCGCCGTCATTTAAGAAGATAAAGAACACCCAGATTTTCATATTACTAAAGTTTATCTGCCATGACAAACATTGGGTGTTCTTTAACTTCTCGAGTAGTTTATGTTCCGGTACAACGATCCCATTACTAATAGATGGTGATATATCTTGTACATTGCTTAACGTACGTCAGTTGTATATATCAGCAGTTGTGAGACATGGCGGAGTACCAGCAAGTATAATATCACAGCTCGATGTGTCTAGCGGGTCACATCTATGGAATCCTTGACGGGACACCCGTGAAGACCCGAGAATAGGTCTTCAGCAACCATGCTTGCCGTAAAAGGCGACTATGCTTGAAAGAGGCGACTAACGGGATCGGGTGGTCAGGCTCGCTGACTTGGATGATGCATGTCATCGTATCTCAATTGCGTGGATCGATGCTCATGATGTCAATCACTGGAGTGTCTGGTCAAGACTCGATTATTTACAGACCGCCGTCATATAGCTGCATATTACTGAGTGCGGCGTTAAATACCACATAAACAAACAAACAAAATGGAAGGGACATTATCGCGTTGTCCAGGCAAAAAGAGAAAATACATACATGTGAGAATAATCTTGTATAATATTCCTATATCATGTAGGCTGGCAATCTTGTTATACCCCACACAGCATGTCGGTTGTTCTCATGTAGATCCCTGTGTAGTCTTGCTATCGGAGAGTCCAATGTGTTATTAACGCACTGTGAAAATGTCAAGGGCGTCAACCGTTAAACTTTGTCAATATCATTAAGTAAAGCAAACAGATGGCCAAATACCCGTGGTACAGAGATTGGCAAACAAAGCATTTGCAATATCCACTGGTCCTACACTTTTACTGTGGAATATATTACATGTACGTTATAAAACCCCAAACCGTCTTGATTAAGAAAAAAACAAATCTAGTCAGTTGTGTTCCACGTGAAATGAAACTCAGAAATATGAAGTCTTTGAAAGGCATTTAGAAGTGATACACATAAGGAAGAGTGAGTGAGTGGGTGGGTGGGTGAGTGAGATGGGTTTAATGCCGCTTTTAACAGTATTCCAGTATTATATCACGGCGTGTCAGTTTAATGTGGGAGGAAAGCCCGAAGTGATGCAGGTCTCAGACGTTTACCAGTTCGGTAAAACCCACGAGCACGGGTATGGTGCTGACAAACCTAGAAACACAATCGGGGCGAACCGGGATTCGAACCCACACACATAAGGAAGAGATTTATGGATGTCAGCTTCTTTATTATGAAGAACACTATCAACAACACTTTTTTAAGGAAAGAAATGTATTGTGTAGTAAAAACAATTCATGGAAAGACGTAAGTTTAAAATCCATGAGTTGATTCCGTTTCAAAATGTGTAAAAGGAAACTCATTATAAGCGCCAGAGCGATATGTCGCCCAAGGGTGCTGTATAGCGAGGAATAAAGAGCGAGGCATGTCTACGGGTAGGCTTTTATACCCACGTGGACAGGAGGGTGTTTCCCAGAAACAGATGAAGGGAGATGTTGTTATGTCTGAGAGGTGTTTTGAGAGACGTCCCAGTACGCCGCCATCCAGAATCATTATTCACCGTTATTATCAGAATGTACATCGTGAATACTTAAGGGTGGAAATATTTCCACCGTTAGACTGAGGATGTGATATGTGCTAGAGATCGAGTATAGTACGATTGATTACGTGGATTCCCAGATGTTGCCGGATCTGTGGATTGTGGACAGTTTGGTCACGTGGACCCTCAAGTCGACACAGCAAAACGAGAATTCACATGGAGGAATATCTTCGTGGGCAAGCAAGCCACGCCAAAAACAAATCCCTCGATTGAAGGACAATATGGCCATTTTCATAGCTAGCATTAGACTTACAAATCTAATTCTAATCTCTGAAATAAACATATTTTACAGGAAAAAAAACAGTTGTCAAATTATCTTTAAAAATATAATAAAATCTAGACTTGCTAAATATTATAGACTTGCATGGGCTGTTGGATATATTTGTTTCGGAGTCTGTATGACAGACTAAGCCAGCATCAGAGAAAATACAAAGCTCGTGCTGGAAGATATTGCCAACATGGAGACGTGCGGCCTTTGCGTTCCCTACGGGAGTACGACGACCACGCACCTGACTTTTGTAGCTTTGCCGCTCTACCTCACGGGTTCACCGCTGACCTTGGGATGCTTGGTTAGTGTGCTCCTGACAAATGCGGAGACATCCCCGAGGTTGCTGCTGTTGGCCTACACCACCTTCTGTAGCAGAGCTGGAGAGCCGCCGACCAAGAAAGCATTCCTCATCTCGGACGCCTCGTCCCATGGACTCGTGGGTGGAGGAGGCGGATTCCCCAACGGATGTCTGTCTGGGCTGCATCCAATGGAGATCACAAGGCCGGGGATGGAAGCGATGGCCCCGGGGCTGTTGCTGACGGCCTACACCAGATCCTGAAGCTGAACTGGAAGGTCGCAGCCACCAAGATGGCTGTTCTCATCTCAGCCGCCACTCCCCATGGACGGAGTCCACGATGGATGTATGTCCGGCCTGGAAGAAGCGGAAGAAGCGGAAGAAGAAGAAGAAGAAGAAGAGGAAGAGTGAGTGAGTGAGTGAGTATGGTTTACGCCGCTTTTAATAATATTACAGCGCTATCACTGCGGGGGACACCAGAAATGGGCTTCACACATTGTACCCATGTCAGGAATCGAACCCGGGTCTTCGGCGTGACGAGCGAACGCTTTAACCACAAGGCTACACGACCGCCCCAGAAAAAGGAGAAGAAGAAGAAGAAGAAGAATGTTTAACGTCGTCAATATCAAAACGATATCTGTAAGGGCTGTTAACTATATATCGTATCAGAAAACTAGTGGTTGATAGCATGAGCAGCGCCAAGTAGCAGTAACACACAAGACCAAGCATTTAACCATCCAATCCATATCTAGTGGCTTCTTAAATCCGGGGAACTGTTAAAATGAAGTGCGAGCATTGTTTTGGTGCTTTTATCAGTATAGTCATTCTGTACTTTTGAAAAAGGTAAGGGTCGTGTAAATTCCTGCATAGAACCTCTTTCCAATTCTACTGATTGTCAGTAAAATATGTCAGACTAAGAGTTTAGTCTCTTAGATGTGCCAGGACCCTATGCCAGTGGGTATGAATACTAAATTGGACTGATAATGATGGTCGGTTTGTCAGCGCTAGCTATACCTGTGATGGTTTCTTCACCAAAGTGGACTTTGGACTTTACTCATCCCTAAGCTGACACGCCATGATGCGGTTGCAGTGCATGGACTGTTTAAAACGGCGATTCCAAATGTACTAACAGTAAATCGTATTTCCCTACATTTCTCATTGTTCCGTTATTCGTTTCCATCAGTATATTAGAATTTCTGCACTCGTGTCGTATGACACAGACGCTGATATACTATCTCCTATGATGATGATGTATTATATTGTATATCCCAGCTTCCGCAACATCAATAATTGTCACCAGATGGCGCATGTAACACGAGTGCTCCGGTGTATCCCCGACAGTATCATACTATACGTGCATATTACACTGTGTGAGCTTTCCATAAATACGTGTCCGACACACGGGCATTTAACCTGGCATACCTGTCTGCCATGTTTGTTTGAAATCTGGGTAAGGAAAAAGGTCCCCCCCCCCAAGTAATATATGATTGTCGTAAGACGTGAGTAAATCGATCGGGTGGCCAGACTCGCTGACTTTGTTGATGCATGTGATCGTGTCCCAACTGCACATGATGTCAGTCACTGGAGTGTCTGGTCCAGGCTCGTTTATTTCCAGACCGCCGTCGCATAGCTGGAATATTGCTGAGTGCGGCGTTAAACAACAAACAAACTTACATCGCTGATGCGACAGCATGACGATAGGACGATTAAGTTCAGAAATATATTAAGCCAAAAACCCATTGGTTTGATGATCGATTGTATTTGTTATATGTTTTCTCCTTATTTTATGCTATATTTGTGAATACGTTTTCTGTTTTATATGTTTATGATGATGATTATATGTGTCTTGTATTCCCGGAGAGTGTCCAGTAAGCAATGTGTGCCTTTTCCCAATCCAGATTGACATGTCAATAAAATCACCAGGAATAACATCAAAACACTGGAGTCCGTATCTAAAAATAGACGCCCTCATGCATATTCATGATCATCTCCATACGGGCTCGCGTGTGGAGATGGTCATGAATATGCATGACGGTGTCTATTTTTAGATACGGACTCCTGTGATCAAAGTAGGCAAAAAGCCTCACTGAAAAATTGACATTGATAACACTATGTCTATTTAAGAATTGACTACAATAGTTTATGCGTTTATTGACGTTCACACTGTGTAAATCCGCGTAGTCTAACATGAAGTGCATGTAAACAAGCTAGATGATAAAAAAAAAATATCTTGGAATTACCTCCCTTGGACCACAGCCCATTCGTTGAATGTTTTCGATTTCCAGCTGCGCCAACCAGACTAGGTCTTGATAATAAACTACATTTTCATATATCCTTTTGGTGTATATACGAACATATGTTGCAAATGTAATCGGGCAAATATTTTTATTTGTGAAAAATACATTTTGCTCTTGTTGTATGTAAACTATATTTTAATATAAATTGCCAATGCAAGAGAATAACCAGCCTATATCTTCTGTCGAAACAGATTCCACTTGGCGTATAGGGCAAATAGCTGTGAAAATTATATGAATGAACCACTGAGAATCAGTGATGACACCACGTGTTCGCGAAAAGGGTAAGCATGTCCTGCCCTACCATTCACAAAATTTACAGGGGGCACGGGTGGCCCAGTCGTCTAAGGCGCCGCGATTCGCTGTGCAGAGTTGCGTCCCCTGGACACGGGTGGCCCAGTCGTCTAAGGCGCCGCGATTCGCTGTGCAGAGTTGCGTCCCCTGGACACGCTAGAAACCTATGATTGTGGGTTCGAATCCCGGTTCGCCCCGATTATGTTTCTAGGTTTGTCAGCACCATACCCGTGCTCGTGGGTTTCACCGAAGTGGTAAACGTCTGAGACCTGCATCACTTCGGGCTTTCCTCCCACATTAAGCTGACACGCAGTGATATAACTAGAATACTGTTAAAAGCGGCGTATAACCCAACTCACACACACACACAAAATTTACATCATAAAAGAGTAGGAATCTATTGCCTGACACCGCAAAGCAGTACTCCTGCCATGCAACGCCACCCTGTAAACAAACCAGACAATCAAGTGATTGATGAACCAGACAATCCAGTGACACGTTAGTACCATTCCATATTTCGTTGAAGCTAATAAAAACGATATGGTAATTTTGAATTACGTCTACAGTGGAAATGATTATGTGCGTGACATAAATAAATAAGAACAAAAAAATCAATTGAAATTTTTATTGATCGATTATATTTGTACTGGCGGCTATGCATGTTACAGGCTAGACGCAGAGAATGCAGAGCAGATCTATATAGTACGAAAGTGGGCAGTTTCTTTTTTGGTTTATGGAAAAATAAAAGAATTTTGTTTTACCTTTTAACCAAACAAATGCCACGGAATCAAATGCACATAAGGTATATTTAATAACTGGCATGCAGGAATACAGAATAGCTCAACAGAGTTCAATATTATTTCGGTTCAGCAGATACATGTTGCGTATGGAGGTAATATTTCGTCACATAGATATATACGAGGAATCTCACTCGAGTGTATTTTGATATCGACCATATCAAAACAAGTCGATTCAAGTTTGAAACTCCGAGGCTTGTCAAGGAATTAAACTTTTATCGGCGAATGTTGATATATTTGATATTAAAAGACACTCGCGGGAGATTCTCTTTATCATCCAAAGTCATTCGTCCAACTTTTTCAGTTTGTAATTAACGAAAAAATGATGATTCGGAGTTGTTTATCGTACATTAAAACAATTAAAAGGGAGAATAGACCATGAGGGGTGCAGTCCCTTGTGGTTTATTCTCCATGCAGCGTTTTATTGTACGATAAACAACGACCACGAGTTCATTTCTTATATGAGATATCAACATTATGTACGGCCTCTTTGAGGATGAAGATGACGTGTACAAGCTTTAAACATATTTACCCTATTTTAATAATAATATGATGACACCCTCAATAGAATCCGATCTCGGCAATGTCGGACAAGTCCATTTTATGCACAGGTGGGTATTTCCCGCATATTCTCACATTGGTCACGTCGATTACCTGACCTTTTCTCCCAATACCGTTGACATATCTACCCCGCTTTTTGGGATATTTTAGATATTTCGGTAATCACGTTTTTCTGGGGTACCCAGCTACTTTTACTGGGAACAACTCACTAGATACTCCCCTCCCAAATATAACGTCGTCATCAAGTTGCGAGCGTATGTTCGAATCTCCAGAAATGACGTCATGGTAGAACAACGTTATATTGTGAAATAAACCACGCTTCGTTTTTTTCATTGTTCTTTGTGATTTATCGCGTAGCCATCTTATATACATTAACAACCAGTATCTTTAGTGGAAATAGTACGTCAACTAACCAGCTTCAGTGCAGACAGATTAGTGATGATTATGGTTATCTCCTAGGAGATATCGTTGATCTCGGCCAAGGTATCTCCTGCGGAAGCCAGTTTGGGATTATAAATAGTCGTCCCCGTTAAATATTGCAACTCACGACACCGAGAGACGAACACGTCTGAAGCTGGCAGATAAATAAACAGTAATGAAAATATGTATCGTAAGTATTATCTTTCGTTGTTTGTATCCCAAATTAATCTAAACGGTAAAACCCAGAGATATTTACATTGTCGGAATAAACCACGTAAGAAATGCCTCGGGACGGCCTGTAATCAAAGGGACGCAACTCTTGACCCCTTAATGCTTTTCGCATCCTGCGAACTTTACACATGAAATTATGAACTGGTCCGGTGAACGTAGACATTAGGTCGCGATCTTGACGTCACATACCACCTTTGGATATCTAGATCTGAACATTCAGCCAGTGAAATATGTTTTAGTATCATGTGGAATAACAATGTTCCCATGCCTGGCGTCAGATTTCTCTCTTGCACTATTGTTGATTTTTTTATGCCTGAAAACATGGACAAGAATATTTTACTGTCAATAGAGTTATGAGATTAAGAAACAAATGAGGTACGCATCACTCTCTTTTGTGAGAATATATCTCGTACACAATTTTACACTTTCTTAAGAAACAAATAAATACTCCGACCTGGATAAACTAAAAAATAATCCGGCTCCGGCTTTGACACAATTTATCAGTTTCCAGATGAGCGGGGATTCTAAATGTAATAGGAATGAATAAAAACAGTCGCTTAGGATGATGAAAAGGGCGGTTGGAAATAGCAAAGATGTTCTTTGTCCTGAATGGATATGACATATCATGTTAATCTTTTCTTCTCTTTTTGGCCCAGGTTGACGATACATACTTAAGATCTACTTGAGATCTGCTCACTTACTTACAAATTTACATTTCAAACATGGTAGGGGTCATGCGGTTGCAAATTAATTTCTTACCCAAATTTTCACTGAACCAATTTATTTTTATAAAACACTACCCAGCCACAGATTACATTTTACAAACTGTTGCAAGAATGGGTGATAGTTAAACATCAATTTAACAAGTTCTCTCAAATACCTGGTTCGTGTGACGCTGTTTTCTAATATTTATATGCTGACACTAACGAAATGAGAATGAGTCAAATACCTGATTTGGATTGCAAGCTCAGCACTATTTCTTCTACCTCGTTCATTTCCGTAAACATTCGGAGCAAAGGAAAGTAGTCCCTAAGTAGAATTCATTCTCAAGTCGGAACATTATTCAGTAACATACAACAAGATCATAATGCATCTGCAATGATATTATAAACAGTAAACACAAGGTTTAAAATAACAAAAAACTCCATGGTTACTGAGATACAAACAAAATAACTCCGCGTAGGAATACATAATAGCGATATCTAATTTTAACTTTGGGGATTTCCTACGTCACTTACTATGTTTAGAAAAATACGTCATGTAAACACCTTATTGTTATAAACAGCAACGTCGTTGAAGCCACGCAGTCGGTGTTTCACAACCAGGCACAACAGCTAACGTATATATTTGGTGAGTGTTAAAACCCTAGCATAATATTTTAGTGACTAGAGTTTGCGACAATCGTCCTAAGTTGGATTATCAGGCCTGTGTAGAATCACCCGTTTCTTCCGCGTTGCTCGCCTTGTTTGTGACAATCTCAGGTAGATGTGGCGTTGTTCGTTGTGATTCTGTACGATATGTTTGAAGTGTCATTATCAAATTAGCATAAATGCGTTTTTGACTATTGTATTGTGGATAATGGTTTTATTTATTCGGACTGTGTGTGTGTGCGTGTGTGTGTGTGTGTATGTGTGTGTGTGTGTGTGTGTGTGTAAGTGTGTAATACGATCTCTGAGGAATGTCACCCAGAGGAATGTCACCCAGAGGAATGTCACCCTAGGCTAATAATAATTGCATGTATATGTAATGCTCCGTTTATACTATTCAACATCTACAGGTCGATAATACACATCGCATCTAACCTAGGCTTAACCTCACTGAGCTTCCGACACCTAGGTTTTATCAATACATAACGCGTTCTTTTCGAACTGCCCGAATTGTATGCGAGGGATATGGGCGTTGTCATACGGAAGGTAAAGTCTGCACGGCTTTTGTGACGTACTCCCGTAATATTCTATCGGAATGCTACAGGCTATATATTACAAGTGTATACACACTCGAGCTCGCACGTAAACAACTTTCTCTGTAATATAAGGTATGGGTGGCAATATTCTCTTTGTAGTTTCCTCAACATTTTTACCACAAGACTAGAACTATATACGTACATGATATTTGGCAAATATGGTGAAGTGTATTTTTTGTTTTCATTTCTGTGTCAGACCATTCGGTAAGTTTACTCCTTGCCCAGATGTTTGTCGCTAAGAAGTACTTTCAGAGACACCTCGGCCCAGATTCGCCCTGATTTCTATGTTTGTTCGCACCATATTCGTGTTCGTGGGTTTCACCAAGGTGGTAAATGTCTATAGGGCTTGTTCCGCCCGGGGAGCGGAAGGTCCGGGTTCGATCCCCGGCTGCGTCATACCAAAAAGACGCTAAAAGATGGTATTTGTTGTTGCCCTGTCTGGCGCTCGGCATTAGGGGACTAAAACAAGGACGGGTCGGCTCGGAGTCAGTATACTGTGTCTGAGTGGGGTATTCATGTTAAACTGCGGCATGGTATCTCAGTGGGCTGGTATTATTAATCGGCATCAGTTCGGACTAGTACAAGCAGCCATACACACGCTCGCACACACACACACACACACACATACACACACACACACACGTGCATGCATGCACGTCGCTATATAAGTGCAATAATCTTGGACGAGACTGTAAACCCATTTTAACCTCACCTCTATAGGGCCTGCATCACCTCGGGCTTTTCTTCAACATAAATCTGAGCCGTTACACCTCACACTACCACCGTGGGACTGAGACGGAAAGTCGCGCTACTGAGATGGTCACGCTTGCTGAGCTGATCATTTCGGCTCAGATAGTCATGCTGCAGCGATTGCCACGCTTCATTTCAGATTCGCGCTGCCGAGATAGATCGTCACAGGTCTTCCGAAGAGGTAGTTCCGGTGTCGAGATGTACGCGCTGCAGAAATACTAATTCGGTGATAGACATGGTGCAGTGATAGACATGGCTCTCCACCACCTGGCATACATTCCAAATCTCCAAATTTCAAAATTCCTATTTAAGCAATCCCTAAAAGCCCCCACTCGGATCGCAAAATACTTCCGTCCTTATCGGCAAATACACGAAATGGCCTGGCGGGCCCGTGTGCGACATACGCTGTTAGTCGGAAAGCGCACGTAAAATCTCCAACTTAAGTCAGTACGCATGCTGCAGTGATAGAAACGCTGTACACAGATTAATGTACGCGTTATACAGATAGACCGTCTAAAGAAACAGACGCGCTAGAGCGATATTGAGTAAGTATGGTTTTACGCCGCTTTTAGCAATATTCAAGCAATATCACGGCAGGGGGACGCAAGAAATAGGCCTCACACCTTGTATCGATGTCGAGAATCGAGCCCGGGTCTTCGGCGTGATGAGCGAACGGCTAGAGCGATAGATGCACTGCAAAGATATATGCTCTGCAAAGGAAGTCAGTATGCAAGGTATAGTTGGGTTGTACAGATAGACGTGCTGCAAATACTGCAGAGATAATCGATACAGACAGATAGTGGAGCTACGGTAACATTTGTTGTGAAGAGTCTCGATGCATCAATTTTACCCTTTCCCCCCTCCTGTTTTCAGATGTGGTCCTATCTCACAAGTATTTTCTCCTCGACGTCAGAACAACCAAGTAAGTCAGTAAAGATGGCGTCTGGAAACATCGAACAGCCAGCCCTGGCTAATCACGATTCCTCCGTCCTTGACCTTGCCTTCGTCATGGACTGTACCGGAAGTATGGGATCGTATATCGAAAATGCCCGGAGTAACATCAGGAAGATTGTGGAGGACATTGTGGCCAAAGAGAAGAGTGACGTATGTATGGCCCTGGTAGAATACAGAGACCACCCTCCTCAGGACTCATCGTTTGTTACCCGCCCTCATGATTTCACTCCCAAGGTCGGAAAGATGAAGTCGTGGCTGGAGGAATGTACGGCCAGTGGTGGAGGCGATGGCCCCGAGGCTGTTGCTGACGGCCTACACGATCTCCTGAAGCTGAACTGGAGGGCTGCCGCCACCAAGATAGCTATCCTCATCTCCGACGCCCCTCCCCATGGACTCGGTGATGGAGGGGACGGATTTCCCAACGGATGTCCGTCCGGGCTGGACCCAATGGAGATCACAAGCCAACTGGCAGAGAAGGGCGTCACCCTGTATGTCGTAGGATGTGAGCCCAGCATCTGCCCCCACAAAGACTTCTTCACAGGACTGGCCTATCTGACCGGAGGTCAGTATGTGCCACTAGCAGCGGCCAAGTCTCTGACCACTGTCATCATCGGAGGTGCCCAGGAAGAGTTGTCACTGGAGCAGTGGATGGATGAGGTCAACAGAGAGGTCCAAGCGGAGGTCCAGGCCAAAGGTGCAGACAACTTCGACGAGGAAGTTTTGTCTAAGAGGCTCGCGGACGGTTGGGCGAGTCGAGGCGCCCAGGCCAAACAGCTTCAACGTAACAGTGCAGGGATGGGAGAGGTGTCCTCACAGGTCAAGGAAATCTCAAAGATGAAGAATCTGTCTGCTTACCGTGCGGCAGCACCTGCTGCACCACAACGAGCACAAGCTCGGGCGTCTTCAGTCCCCATGTTTGCACCGATGGCGCCCTCCATGTCAAGCATGGACGATGTTTATGAATGTAACTCTGGCGCCATACAGATGGAGCAGGCTTCAAGGATGGTCCAGAAAGCAAAGATGCGAAACCAGGCGTTGTTCAAGTGAAGTAAAACACAGCCGGACTTTAGAACAACAGCTACGTATTCGTATAGCTTGAGAACGGGGTGTTTTCACCACTGCTCATTGACAAGTATATTTACTCTACGTACATGGCGAAATACAAAATCCCCTTGTGGACAAGCACGTGCAATTACCTTCAAACTGGCGTCGCCATGTGCCTTGACATTTTCAACCCGTCCTGTCGTTCTGGTGGGCGATGTTAAGCACACGATGCTTTGTACATACATACATGTGTAAATACCATGAATCAGTGTTACTTTTGTAATGTCATACATGTTGTAGACACCAATATACAACTACAACTACAATATCACGTTGTAGTCTTTGCCTGCATTGTGACATATCTCAGGAACAGAAGTAAAGTCGATATTAAATGTATGGTGTGTTCTACTCGCGTGCCCTCTATGGGACATATGTACATCGATATGTCAACACATGTCCGACAATGGCAGCCATATTGAAAATGACATTTTTACCCCTTCTTCATTTCGGCATTTATCATGATAGACTTGATATGAAGTAAGAATAGGATATGTGAAGTAACATATTTGTATTGAAAAACATTTCATGGCCTTTTAGCCATCAAATACATCCATTTATCACGTTTTTTGCATTTCCGATTATTATTGTGAAACCTCTGGATTTATTAAGCTGAATTTTCGTGTATTTGATCCCAGCAATGGTGTATTTGATTTCACAGAATTCCGATCCGATCTTAAACATGTCGCTATATTGCATTTGTCATCTTTACCATTTCTGGGCGATGTCTTCGTGTATTTCTATGAGGTGTTCATACTGTTGTTGTTTTAATTGGAAGCTGTATTCTTTTATAATATTTTGCATACTTTTTATTAACCTTTTATTATGAATTTTATATATATTTTCAAATGTTGCAAGGAAATCAGAGCCTCGTCCTGTCTGTTTCTTTTACGGTATTTGTTTATATAATATTGATGATACGTTTTACGACAATGTAAATATGATTCCATGTCTAAATAAATTATATATCATTCCTCACTTCATTCTTGTTAATACCAACTGGACCACGGTTGACCAACATTACCGTGAGTGCTTGTTTCAGAACTTTGTCTTCTTGTATTAAAACGTGTTCGGGGCGCAAATATTTTTTTCCGCAATAGCTTTTATTATCAAAATCAAGCCATACTGCGATGCAAATTAAACGATAGAATAAAGGTCTATGACGACGTTGTAAAATATTATGAACGCGGTGACACTGGTCAAGACGCCAGACGCACCTTAAGACCAATCAAATACTCTGGGCAGGTGGATATCGAACATTCAACATTTTAGACAATGAGATGTCTTTTACATGCATAGGTGGAGGAAATCATTTTATGTCATTTTATAAACATAACCTGTAACATGTTATCTGTAAAATAAGAGTTTTGAAATTTAGAAACAAATTCGTAAGGAGATTGTCGTGTACACTGTTTAGCTTTATTTGTTAACCGTAATAAATAATCAGAAAAAATCGAAACATATTGACTACTGGATTAAATTAATAATTTTTCAGTTGAAAGCGGGCCAAGGATTCTTGATGTATCACTAAGCAGTCCGTGTAAGGTGGGATTCCTATGTTAACTCAAAATTTGTCCGTCGCAACTGGTTTTCTTAACCATGTATTTATGACAGACTTCCTACCTGAAATACCATCTTCCCGAGGGAAGAGTGTCCACTAGCCTCATTCGTGACCAACTCGTGTTATTCCGGGACAAGCCGAATGGCGACTCGTGCCCCTCTCGTGGCCATTTTGCGACTGGGTTCTGTCTAAGCGCAATCGGGCATAGTCAAAAGAATTGTCAACTCATTGCGTAATGATACACGTATATTTCCCTGTCATATCTACTCCAGATGCTATTTAAAACACATCGGAACTTACGGTATTTATACAATATGATTGACAATATTTAACAGTATCTTGGGTATATTTTTAGATGCAATGCATATGTAAAGTCAAAAATTATTCCTGAGTGAGATTTTGACCGAAGTATACGCGCATTCTGATTGGCTTGTCGTATTGTTGCACATAACATACATCGACGAGGGGGGCGAGTCTTTTTGCAGGTTACGGAAAGGGGCGAGTGGTGTCGAATGCACTAGCCTATCAAAGTCTAGTTTTCAGGAGTACACCAGCATACACCCAAATCGGGTACGACAGGGCGTGTGTAACCTGTTGAGCACCCGTGTGTGACGATTGACGAGAGGGTGTGCCACGCGTGTAACTCGGGACGGGGTTTCAGCTGCATTGACAAATAAGTGAAAAAATAGTGAGATAAGCATAACGACGTAAATCTTTAATAAATAAAGCGGCGAAGGACGTGTGCACCAGAACATAAACAGAAGGTCGGTCGGTGTCAGCCTGGTTCCCTGGGTATGCTGCGCTGGCGCCGGGAACCAGGCTGGGTCGGTGTCGGACCGGGATATCGAATTAAAAAAAAACCAGTAGTACCGCGACATCGAATAGCTAGAATCACTAAGGCTAGAAAGACTTTTTGATTGTAGACTCTTGCAATAGTGGACACGTAAAACCGACAGTAGGGAGGTAAAATTTGTGAGTTAATAGTTTATAAGATTTTATTGTTTTTATCTGTTGGTAGTAACACTTGGTGCGTTAACTGGGAGGTTAATGTTAGATGTAAATACAGAATAAATGGGTAAAAATAGAGCCGGTTTCGTTTGCAAACTTTAATCTGCTGTCACCAGCATGCTTTCCTGGGATCGTTATTACAAATAAGTAAGGATTATAAATGTGTGAGTTAACAGAGAAGTTGATCACTAGGTTTCGTTAGTCGACTTTAATCTGCTTGGCTAAAGTGCCGTACCATGAAATTGGGATCATTGTTACACGTGAGTTAATTGCTAAAACTTGAGATCGAACTTCAAGGTGACTGGACGTTCACTGAGACGTGTTCATGCACGACATCGCCGACGACCAGAGACTACATATCTTCACCACTGACAGGAACACGGAGCGTATGTGGATTCCTTCTACACATCTCGCTTCTCTGATCAGATTTATACCATCCATGGCGGTCTACGAGGTCAAGTCTTTCCTCTCTGTCTACTACCAAACAGAAAAAAGAGACATACATGTGTTTGAAAATATCCATTTGGATGCTCAAAACCAAGATTCCACTTCAACTTTGATGTGCACACATCTTGACCAGAAAGAACGCCCTAACATCTATGGGGGCACGGGTGACCCAGTCGTCTAAGGTTTCGCATTTCGCTTGCAGAGTTGTGACCCTTGGGCTAACCAGAAACCTATGATCGTGGATTCGAATCACCGTTTGCCCCGATTTTGTTTCTAGGTTTGTCAGCAGCATATCCGTGCTCGTGGGTTTCACCGAAGTGGTAGACGTCTGAGACCTGCATCACTTCGGGCTTTCCTCCCACATTAAGCTGACACGCCGTGATATAACTGGAATATTGTTCAAAGCGCGTTGAACGAGGGCTCTGACATGAGCGAGTCAGATTGCGCTTAAAGTTATTATGAGGCGACCCCTCTTGTGCTGTCATTTCCTGTACCGTTGTGGAGCACATGCAGACCGTGTTTGCGCTGTTCCTCCTACCGTTGTGCCCCCTCCGTTCAAGATGTCAAATTGTACACATAACAACATGATAGTTTCTTAAACAAACCTAACCAGCGATGGGAATAACATAAACAAAAAGCAGATATTGTTGGGTATTCGATGCCGTGTATCGTGTTGATATTTAATTGACTATTCCCGATTTTGAGTTATTTTGCAATTTATCGTTCTCATTTGGGGCCGAGCGGCCTGTACCCAGCGACGTCAGCTTAACACGGCTGCAAACTTTGTTCCCTCTGTGTGTGAAGGGAGTGGACTTCTAGGCAGCAGTGTAAGTAACGTATAAAAATATATGTGATATGTCAAAGTTGTATCAAATGTCAAGATCAATCGGAAAGTCATTCCACCATAATGTAACTGACATAAATACTCTCGAAAAAAGAAGGGGGATCATGAGTGAATGAGTGAGTGAGTATGGTTTTACGCCGCTTTTAGCAATATTCCAGCAATATCACGGCGGGGGACACCAGCAATGGGCTTCACACATTGTACCCATGTCGGGAATCGAACCCGGGTCTTCGGCGTGACGAGCGAACGCTTTAACCACTAGGCTTCACGACCGACCCAAAGGGTTCATGAAATATAACAACTGTCGGACCACCGACATTGAAAAATGTCTGCCAGAGACAGAACGGTTTCATCAGAACCACAACCTAATGCCCCAACAAACCTAATGCCCGAGAGCGACAAGAGCGGGCCAATATGTTCAATGACCTTCAGTCTGTGACGGCAAAAACATTGGAACAGTGTCAGTAGCCACATACTGTTAATGATCGACCCGTCACCGGGCGCCGTAGGTCAACAACACAAGTCCAGAATTGATTAATCAGAAACCATGAAAATCGCTGTCCACTTGCGCCAGGCTTCCGGAGTTAAAGTTAATGTCTAGACGACCTCGAGTTGTCTGCATGCTCGACGTCCACACAGTCCAGCCAGATGCCAATGGTATTAAGAGCGTTGAAACTGTGGGCATCGTCGATGTTCTCGTGTAATGTTTCACTGTCACTCTGGACTTTCTGGATAGGCGTGGGCGTATCTGGAGGCGCCCTAACGAACGTCAACCTAAGACATGACATATTTTTTTGGGGTAATGCTACGAGTGAGTGAGTGAGTTGGGTTTAACGCCGCTTTGAACAGTATTCCAGTTATATTACGGCGTGTCAGCTTAATGTGGGAGGAACGCCCGAAGTGATGCAGGTCTCGGACGTTTACCACTTCGGCGAGCACGGGTATGGTGCTGACAAACCTAGAAACATAATCGGGGCGAACCGTGATTCGAACCCACAATCTGGTTTCCCAAGGGACGCAACTCTGCACAGCGAATCGCGGCGCCTTAGACGACTGGGCCACCCGTGCCCCCGTAATGCTACGATGTGGGATTATGACTGCCAGAACGCCATTTCATATTTACGTGCTGGCGGCAATGGTTGCGTCGTATACGCGCTATGCTGGTCAATGTTTTGTCTTTCAAGACGATAACGCTCATGCCTACAGAATAATTCACACTGTTTATGCAGTATGTTACAATAGCCTTTTATGTTGCACAACATACTTACATATTTTTCTGGCAGGTTATGGCGACGATGGAAGGTACGTATTGTCCCTATTGTTTTTCACAAATGGGATAACTGAATTTAGCTTATATAGAATTTTGAAAATCCAAGTCAGACCCTGCCCACCTTCACATGTAAACATTCGAATAACCACCATATTCACACACACATCAAATAACAATCCAGTGTCTAACACCATGGGACCGTGAAGATCCGGGGTAGAATAGGTCTTCAGCAACCCATGCTTGCCGGAAAAGGCGACTATGCTTGTCGCAAGAGGCCACTAACGGGATCAGGGTCAGACTCAGACTCGCTGACTTGTTTGATGCATGTCATCACATCCCAATTGCGTGGATCAATGCTCATGATGTCAATCACTGGATTGTCTGGTCCAGACTCAATTATTTATAGACGGACGTCATATAGATGGAATATTGCTGAGTACAGCGTTAAACAACAAACAAATCTAACACCATGTCACCATGTGGCTTGTGTTTGTGTATACAGCGACTGCCTCACAAGTAATGCTGATTCTCATGGGACCCAGTGTGTCTGAGTGTGTCTGAGGGTGTGTGTGTGTGTCTGAGTGTGTGTATGTCTGAGGGTGTGTGTGTCTGTGTCTGAGGGTGTGTGTGTGTGTGTGTGTGTGTGTCTGTGTCTGAGTGTGTGTCTGAGTCTCTGTGTGTCTGAGTGCGTGTGGGCAAACATCCTGACAAACTCAAAACTCTGTTCTAGAAAGGAATGTGTTTAATATGTACAACACATTACAGACATATCGTAAATATATGTACAGCTGCACAAATTTGGTATCAAAATATCTTCAACAATTGTTGGGCACTATCTGACATGATGTGGTGTCTGACACGGTGTTCTGGAACACAAACTCTCTTTACAAACAAGGAATCTTCATTAAACAAGTCTATAACATGATTCAGCTTCACACTATCTGAATGACTTAACACATTGAGCACTGTAAGCATGAGAGTGTCTACAAATTCTACAAATATGAATTTGAATATCCCATCTTGAACAAAACGACATCGGACTTCATATAACCACTATAAATGTACAGTATTTCACAAAAGACTATTCATATTGCATTTACTGGCAATGGCTGATTTCAAAATATCTTCAAAATATTCACTAGTCAGGATCTGATTCAATAGTCTCCTCCTATCAGACTTACCATACCTAACTGGAGTGTGTTTGCTTTAACCCTGCTCTGAAAAGTGTTTATTACATGGCATGTCAACTTGATGTGGGAGGAAAGCCAGAAGAGATGCAGGTCTTAGACGTTTACCACCTTGGTGAAATCCACATGCATGGATATGGTGCTGACAAACCTAGAAACATAATGAGGGCAAATCTGGGATTTGAACCACTGATCATCGGTTCCTGTCATGTCCAAGGGACGCAACTCTGTTGTACATTAGATTATTGGACACCCATGATCATTCTTAACTTTTACAATGATTACTTACATTGTTGAGTGACCCAGAGATAAAGTACATTGTAGCACATTCCAATGTCTGAATGAAACATTAATAAATGCAATGTTTGACATGATTTCTCTGTATGACTGTCACACATTTTGACGAATGTGAACACACTCCAACACAATTATCTCCCTTGGTTTTCGTCCTAAGCGTATTCCCACCTTAACTAAACTGACAACTGTTGTAAAAGGAACAGTTTGACTTCGATTTCAGAATACAAAGAGAGATGAGATCTTGACAACATGGTTGTGTGTAGTTTGCTAAAGCAGTGATTTATTGTAAACCTTCCACACACCATCCTGCCACAGTGAGACTGAAGCTTGCTGCATCTTTTCCACCTTGCTCTGAGCAGCATCATGGAGTGTACAGAATGACGTCAGCATCCTCGAGGATTCAGGAAGCTGTGATGTAGTTTGGGGCTTAGTGAATGAAGCTCTACAGCTTATAGTTCACATACACTTGTGATAGTATACGTTATTTTCTCGTTGTTTACTAGGGTCTCAATAAATCTGCAGAAGCAAGGCTAGGGCTAGAAATGTCACGTGACTGCGATGACATCGTGAAATGATAGTTAATCTGTATCAAAAACGTTAGCCTAGCCTGAACTTGGCTCCTAGTATTATTATCAGTGGATCTTATGATATATGAACTAAAGTAGCAGACTCGCTGACTGGATACTTGATTAACATCGTCCATGTACAGTCCCTATGTCCTTCAGGACAGGCATCTAAACATTCTAAACATTGTGGCCAACGATAGTATTGACACTCTTCAAACTAATTAAGCAGTCTAAGGGTTAAGGGGGAAATATTAATTTGCGTCCTCCTCCCACAATAAAAAAACAGTCCCTAAACCATATCATCTTAAATCAAACTCTTTACATTCAAATTGCTTCTATAAGAATTGAGGAGAACACTCAGCCACTTATGTCCTAGAATCAAATTCATGAATCTTTAAATTGAATGAGGATACACAAATATGTTATGTTGATTGAAGTGAAATGTAGGTTAGTGAGCCAGTATGGCTTACCCACTTCACTGTATTGCAAACATGTCCACAGGTCATGGAACCCCATTAATGGTCTTCAAACATCACAATCTGCATGGATTTGAACCCAGGTGGCACAGGTGACAAGCTGAGCAGCAGCACTGACCATGGGGCCAACCCATTTCTACCTGACCCAACATCCTACAATCAAAAGACTAGTTGTGATGTAAGATGCAGCTAGTACTGGCACGTAGTTCTGTTGACCACTCTGCTGTCATGGGTGCTGGACTTGGGCAGATGTTACACAGACTTCTACAGGGTTCGAAGCTAAGGATGAAAGCCAAGGGACCCTTGTCAGTACCCTTGTGCTAAAATCAAGATTAAAGGGACCTTCAGATAACTGATACAGCAGAAGAAAACCTCCACAGCCCCAAGATTGTAGACCCCATTAATTTCTGACACATTCTGAGGTTTAGTTGTATACTCTCCTGGCAGCTGAGATTGAAAAGTCGAGTGCACACTGAACCATTGACCAAGGTCAAAACAATGCAGCACTTCAAGCATACGTAGTGTATGGTGTAATGACTTCACAAATGGACTATTATTATTATCATTATTATTATTATTATATAAAGAATAAACTTTTATTGCTTGTATCAGCAGGAACGCAACATGCACATTCATCAAAGCAAAGAGGGAGACTGAATGTTAATTGAATATGATACCCAAAAGAACACCCTTGTATTGCAAAATAATGAAAGGAATAGAACTTAATAACTTTCAAGACATTCTGATTTAAGCTAAACGCCATCAACTACAACCCAGCTTCATCAGCAGTTTTCATCAAAAGTAGCTTCATCCCTTGAGATTTATTGATGGTAATCTTTTCTTGATAACTCTGACTTTACATAATATTGTTAAACATAATTGTTTACCCCCTAATCACTTCCAATAATAAGAGCAGCAGTATCTATCATGAGAGATATTGTTTGGCAAGTGAACGGAGAAATCTGGTTTTGCGGACGTGGATGGCTCGCCTCTGAATCTCTTCTGGGTTGCTGCTGTTCAGGTCCATCTGGCTCAGGGCTCTCAGCTGAAACAGAAGCACAGATGTCAAACACTTTATCACTCAGTCCATCTGGCTCAGAGCTCTCAGCTGAAACAGAAGCACAGATGTCAAGCACTTTATCACTACGTCCATCTGGCTCAGAGCTCTCAGCTGAAACAGAAGCACAGATGTCAAGCACTTTATCACTCTGTCCATCTGGCTCAGAGCTCTCAGCTGAAACAGAAGCACAGATGTCAAGCACTTTATCACTACGTCCATCTGGCTCAGGGCTCTCAGCTGAAACAGAAGCACATTTCTCAAACATTTTTTCACTGGGTCCATCTGGCTCAGGGCCCTCAGCTGAAACAGAAGCACGGATCACTGGGTCCATCTGACATTAATGAAAGAGTCAATTCAATTTCAGTGTACAAACATATATCACTTTATAATGAATGGAGTTTGTTGCAGTTTTCTCTAATTTCCAGCCACATCAGCCATTGTGAAAAGTGAGTGAGTGAACGCCGTTCAGCATCACAGTTAGTTCTAGTGGTTTGATTTTTGGTTTGGTTACTTTTTTACGCCGCACTCAGCCATATTCCAGCTATATGACGGCAGTCTGTAAATAATCGAGTCTGGACCAGACAAGCCAGTGATTTACATCATGAACATCGATTCATGCAATTGGTATCGATGACATGCATCAACCAAGTCAGCGAGCCTGACCACCCGATCCCGTCAGTCGCCATTTACAACAAGCATAGCCGCCTTTTACAGCAAGCATGGGTTGCTTCCAGTGGTTTGAGACACAGCAATAATAACAGTCAGCAATATTAACATTCAATCTATTTCACCGAACAAATAGTTGGTCTACTGTACATTATTCTTCAAATGAGTCATTTTATTGGTTAAACATGAGGACAGATATTGTTTCTCCTTTTAAGTTAGCAAAAACACACCAGGGAAGACTAGGAACTGACTTCACACACTGAAGCCATATGTGGAATGAAACCTGGGGTATCGGAATGGTGAGCAAATGGTCTAACCACTTGGCTACCTCATGGCCTTTAAGTGTATTCGACGAGTGAGTGAGTGAGTGAGTGAGTGAGTGAGTGAGTGAGTGAGTGAGTGAGTGAGTGAGTGAGTGAGTGAGTGAGTGAGTGAGTGAGTGAGTGAGTGAGTGAGTGAGTGAGTGAGTGAGATTGGTTGATTGAGTTTGTACGCAGCAGGGGACACCAGAAATGATCTTCACACATTGCACCCATGTGGGGACTCTAAACCTGGGCCTTCAGTGTATAATCAAACGCTTTAACCACTAGGCTACCCCACTGCATTTGAATAAAGCCATGACACAATCACATGCTTCTTCGAGAAACAGAAAGGAATGATACTTACAGCGGACTGTTTCTTCTCTAATTCTCCTCTCTTGCCATGTAAATCTAGTCATTAAGAGACAATAACAATTCATTCAGGTCATCAGATTACACTTATATGAATGGCAGAAAGTCAGAGCAAAGTTAGAGATATGAGTGAGGTGAGGTGAAATGTGGCTTTACGTCACGTCCAAGATTATTGCACTTATATAGCGACGTGCATGTACGTGTGTGTGTTTGTGTGGCTGCTTGTACTAGTCCGGACTATGCCGATTTATAGTGCTAGCTCACTGAGATACCATGCCACAGTTTAACATGAATACCCCACTAAGACACAGTATACTGACTCCGAGCCGACCAGTCCTTGTTTTAGACCCTTAATGCCAAGCACCAGACAGGGTAACAACAAGTACCATCTTTTAACGTCTTTTGGTATGACGCGGCCGGGGATCAAACCCCGGACCTTCCGCTCTCCAGGCAGACGCTCTACCACTAGACCACGGAGGCGGTCTAGAGATAGGCGTGATGGGGTGGTGACGTCACTTCCGAAACGGAGCAAGAGTGGTGAATGGATCCAGGGCATTTATCAAAATAGAACAGAAATACAAAACACTGGATAACTGTGGCTGCAGAAAGCATGGCCACCCGATCCCCATTTAGTCGGCTCTAGAAACAAGCTTGAAGCAGATCAGACTTTCAGTCCACAATAAATCTATTTATTTGTTTTGTTATCGCCAGCAGCATGAGAAGGATACGAGTGAGGTACTCCAGCACACTGACGTCCCAGATGCAAGTGTAGTAGGCGTCCATGGCGTCGTATGTTGTCTTCTCCTGCAGCGCCTTGAAGGCTGCAGCGTAGTCTACCTCGTCCAGGAACTGGCACAGAACAGCGACCTGAACAGTCAGGAGAGAGCAGTTAGCTGGCATAATACCACCATCAACAGCACAGTAGTTATTTGTCAGAAGAGATGAAGGTTGTAGACTTCTATGGTGGAACCCACCAGAACTGTTGTGAGGCTTACAGACGAAGGACCATCAGCAGATCCTGGAACACCTAAGGGACACAACTTTCACGGTGGATTACAAAATCTTAATACCACTTAATACTCATAATATGAGTAGGTAGGAGAGAGTGAGTGAATATTGTTTTATGGCAGTCACCAATATTTTAGCTAAATCTCTGCAGCATGTACATAAACAAATGGATGAAAGCATTAGATCAACGCAATGTACATGTATCAGGATAGACTGGGAGACTGCAATCATTTCATAAAACATGAAAGCAATTTCTCTTTGGTTTATTGAAGTATGGCACTCCCCTAACATCTACCTGCATGTGACATCTACCCACCTGTGTGTGACATCTACCCACCTGTGTGTGACATCTACCCACCTGTGTGTGACATCTACCCACCTGTGTGTGACATCTACCCACCTGTGTGTGACATCTACCCACCTGTGTGTGACTTCTACCCACCTGTGTGACATCTACCCACCTGTGTATGACATCTACCCCCCTGTGTGTGACATCTACCCACCTGTGTGTGACATCTACCCAGCTGTGTGTGACATCTACCCACCTGTGTGTGACATCTACCCAGCTGTGTGTGACATCTACCCAGCTGTGTGACTTCTACCCAGCTGTGTGACATCTACCCACCTGTGTGTGACATCTACCCACCTGTGTGTGACATCTACCCACCTGTGTATGACATCTACCCACCTGTGTGTGACATCTACCCACCTGTGTGTGACATCTACCCACCTGTGTGACATCTACCCACCTGTGTATGACATCTACCCCCCTGTGTATGATTTCTACCCACCTGTGTATGACTTCTCCCCCACTGCATATACCATCTTCCTACCTGTGTATGACATCTACCTACCTGTGTATGACATCTACCCACCTGTGTATGACATCTACCCACCTGTGTGTGACATCTGCCCACCTGTGTATGACATCTTCCCACCTGTGTGTGACATCTGCCCACCTGTGTATGACATCTTCCCACCTGTGTGTGACATCTACCCACCTGTGTATGACATCTACCCACCTGTGTGTGACATCTACCCATCTGTGTGTGACATCTACCCACCTGTGTGACATCTACCCACCTGTGTATGACATCTACCCCCCTGTGTATGACTTCTACCCACCTGTGTATGACTTCTCCCCCACTGCGTATACCATCTTCCTACCTGTGTATGACATCTACCTACCTGTGTATGACATCTACCCACCTGTGTATGACATCTACCCACCTGTGTGTGACATCTGCCCACCTGTGTATGACATCTTCCCACCTGTGTATGACATCTGCCCACCTGTGTGTGACATCTTCCCACCTGTGTGTGCCATCTACCCACCTGTGTATGACATCTTCCCACCTGTGTATGACTTCTACCCACCTGTGTATGACATCTACCCACCTGTGTATGACTTCTACCCACCTGTGTATGACTTCTACCCACCTGTGTGTGACTTCTACCCACCTGTGTGTGAGATCTACCCACCTGCATATGCCATCTACCCACCTGTGTATGACATCTACCCACCTGTGTGTGACATCTACCCAGCTGTGTATGACATCTACCCACCTACATATGACATCTACCCACCTGTTTATGACATCTACCCACCTGTGTATGACATCTACCCACCTACATATGACATCTACCCACCTACATATGTCATCTACCCACCTGTGTGTGACACTGCAAATATGAACAGCATTTCATCATGCGTCGGTAGATCTGAAAACAAGGGAACACAATCAGTCTGGCTCTGAACATGTTAAAAGAACTACCGGTATACCAATCAAGACTTGCTTTTCTATGGTTTTGATAGATGCTGAAAATTATCACTATGTACCCACTAAATTTGATTTCCGATTTCCAATTCGATTTCCAATTTATCTAGTTTATTAAAACAAGACCCTTAGTTAATTGACCATGCAAAATACTAACTTAGGTCCACAATATCAAACATTTCAATGCTGACAAAAGTTGGTTATGAAACTGACTAATCTGTACCAACCTGATCATCAAACACACTCTTGGGCACCGGTCGAGAGAAGAAGTCGGTGGAGACTACCGCCACCTCCAGGTAGAGCTTCATTGCAGCAGAGTACTGATTCTGAGCTGCAGGGAACCAAACACAAGTCTCACCAGAGGGAAATATCAAACAGTGTTAATAACAAGTGAAGTATAAATCAGCCATTGTGTGCAGACCTGCTAACCTACTGAAGTAGATATCGGCCAGTGTGTGGCGCCGTAAACCTACTGAAGTAGATATCGGCAAGTGTGTGGCGCTGTTAACCTACTGAAGTATATATCAGCCAGTGTGTGGAGCTGTTAACCTACTGAAGTAGATATCGGCCAGTGTGTGGAGCTGTTAACCTACTGAAGTATATATCGGCCAGTGTGTGGAGCTGTTAACCTTCTGAAGTATATATCGGCCAGTGTGTGGAGCCGTTAACCTTCTGAAGTATTTATCGGCCAGTGTGTGGAGCCGTTAACCTACTGAAGTATATATCGGCCAGTGTGTGGAGCCGTTAACCTACTGAAGTATATATCGGCCAGTGTGTGGAGCCGTTAACCTACTGAAGTATATATCGGCCAGTGTGTGGAGCCGTTAACCTACTGAAGTAGATATCGGCCAGTGTGTGGAGCCGTTAACCTACTGAAGTATATATCGGCCAGTGTGAGGAGCTGTTAACCTACTGAAGTATATATCGGCCAGTGTGTGGAGCCGTTAACCTACTGAAGTATATATCGGCCAGTGTGTGGAGCCGTTAACCTACTGAAGCAGATATAGGCCAGTGTGTGGAGCCGTTAACCTTCTGAAGTATATATCGGCCAGTGTGTGGAGCCGTTAACCTACTGAAGTATATATCGGCCAGTGTGTGGAGCCGTTAACCTACTGAAGTAGATATCGGCCAGTGTGTGGAGCCGTTAACCTACTGAAGTATATATCGGCCAGTGTGAGGAGCTGTTAACCTACTGAAGTATATATCGGCCAGTGTGTGGAGCCGTTAACCTACTGAAGTATATATCGGCCAGTGTGTGGAGCCGTTAACCTACTGAAGCAGATATAGGCCAGTGTGTGGAGCCGTTAACCTTCTGAAGTATATATCGGCCAGTGTGTGGAGCCGTTAACCTTCTGAAGTATTTATCGGCCAGTGTGTGGAGCCGTTAACCTACTGAAGTATATATCGGCCAGTGTGTGGAGCCGTTAACCTTCTGAAGTATATATCGGCCAGTGTGTGGAGCCGTTAACCTTCTGAAGTATTTATCGGCCAGTGTGTGGAGCCGTTAACCTACTGAAGTAGATATCGGCCAGTGTGTGGAGCCGTTAACCTACTGAAGTAGATATCGGCCAGTGTGTGGAGCCGTTAACCTACTGAAGTATATATCGGCCAGTGTGTGGAGCCGTTAACCTACTGAAGTAGATATCGGCCAGTGTGTGGAGCCGTTAACCTACTGAAGTATATATCGGCCAGTGTGAGGAGCTGTTAACCTACTGAAGTATGTATCGGCCAGTGTGTTGAGCCGTTAACCTACTGAAGTAGATATCGGCCAGTGTGAGGAGCTGTTAACCTACTGAAGTAGATATCGGCCAGTGTGTGGAGCCGTTAACCTACTGAAGTATATATCGGCCAGTGTGTGGAGCCGTTAACCTACTGAAGCAGATATAGGCCAGTGTGTGGAGCCGTTAACCTACTGAAGTATATATCGGCCAGTGTGAGGAGCTGTTAACCTATTGAAGTATGTATCGGCCAGTGTGTTGAGCCGTTAACCCATCAAGTAAAAATATCAGCCTGTACGTAGAGCCATTAACCTACTGAAGTATATATATTGGCCAGTGAGTGGAGCCATTACCTACCAAAGTATATGTCAGCCTGTGAGTGGAGCCGTTAACCTACTGAAGTAAATGTCAGCCTGTGAGTGGAGCCGTTAACCTCTTGAAGTATATGTCAGCCTGTGAGTGGAGCCGTTAACCTCTTGAAGTATATGTCAGCCTGTGAGTGGAGCCGTTAACCTCTTGAAGTATATGTCAGTCTGTGAGTGGAGCCGTTTACCTCTTGAAGTATATGTCAGCCTGTGAGTGGAGCCGTTAACCTACTGAAGTAAATGTCAGCCTGTGAGTGGAGCCGTTAACCTCTTGAAGTATATGTCAGCCTGTGAGTGGAGCCGTTAACCTACTGAAGTATATGTCAGCCTGTGAGTGGAGCCGTTAACCTCTTGAAGTATATGTCAGCCTGTGAGTGGAGCCGTTAACCTCTTGAAGTATATGTCAGCCTGTGAGTGGAGCCGTTAACCTACTGAAGTAAATGTCAGCCTGTGAGTTGAGCCGTTAACCTCTTGAAGTATATGTCAGCCTGTGAGTGGAGCCGTTAACCTCTTGAAGTATATGTCAGCCTGTGAGTGGAGCCGTTAACCTACTGAAGTAAATGTCAGCCTGTGAGTGGAGCCGTTAACCTCTTGAAGTATATGTCAGCCTGTGAGTGGAGCCGTTAACCTACTGAAGTATATGTCAGCCTGTGAGTGGAGCTGTTAACCTCTTGAAGTATATGTCAGCCTGTGAGTGGAGCCGTTAACCTCTTGAAGTATATGTCAGCCTGTGAGTGGAGCCGTTAACCTCTTGAAGTATATGTCTGCCTGTGTGCGGAGCTGTTAACCTACCGAAGTATATGTCAGCCTGTGTGCGGAGCTGTTAACCTACTAAAGTATATATATTGGCCATTGTGTGGAGCCGTTAACCTACCAAAGTATATGTCAGCCTGTGAGTGGAGCCGTTAACCTACTAAAGTATATATATTGGCCATTGTGTGGAGCCATTAACCTTCCGAAGTATATGTCTGCCTGTGTGCGGAGCTGTTAACCTACCGAAGTATATGTCAGCCTGTGAGTGGAGCCGTTAACCTACTAAAGTATATATATTGGCCATTGTGTGGAGCCGTTAACCTACCGAAGTATATGTCAGCCTGTGAGTGGAGCCGTTAACCTACTAAAGTATATATATTGGCCATTGTGTGGAGCCGTTAACCTACCGAAGTATATGTCAGCCTGTGAGTGGAGCCGTTAACCTACTAAAGTATATATATTGGCCATTGTGTGGAGCCGTTAACCTACCGAAGTATATGTCAGCCTGTGTGCGGAGCCGTTAACCTACCGAAGTATATGTCAGCCTGTGAGTGGAGCCGTTAACCTACTAAAGTATATATATTGGCCATTGTGTGGAGCCGTTAACCTACCGAAGTATATGTCAGCCTGTGAGTGGAGCCGTTAACCTACTAAAGTATATATATTGGCCATTGTGTGGAGCCGTTAACCTACCGAAGTATATGTCAGCCTGTGTGCGGAGCTGTTTACCTACCGAAGTATATGTCAGCCTGTGAGTGGAGCCGTTAACCTACTAAAGTATATATATTGGCCATTGTGTGGAGCCGTTAACCTACCGAAGTATATGTCAGCCTGTGAGTGGAGCCGTTAACCTACTAAAGTATATATATTGGCCATTGTGTGGAGCCGTTAACCTATCGAAGTATATGTCAGCCTGTGTGCGGAGCCGTTAACCTACCGAAGTATATGTCAGCCTGTGTGCGGAGCCGTTAACCTACCGAAGTATATGTCAGCCTGTGTGCGGAGCTGTTAACCTACTAAAGTATATGTCAGCCTGTGTGCGGAGCTGTTAACCTACCGAAGTATATGTCAGCCTGTGTGCGGAGCTGTTAACCTACCGAAGTATATGTCAGCCTGTGTGCGGAGCTGTTAACCTACCGAAGTATATGTCAGTCTGTGTGCGGAGCCATTACCTACCGAAGTATATGTCAGCCTGTGAGTGGAGCCGTTAACCTCTTGAAGTATATGTCAGCCTGTGAGTGGAGCCGTTAACCTACTGAAGTATATGTCAGCCTGTGAGTGGAGCCGTTAACCTCTTGAAGTATATGTCAGCCTGTGAGTGGAGCCGTTAACCTCTTGAAGTATATGTCAGCCTGTGAGTGGAGCCGTTAACCTACTGAAGTAAATGTCAGCCTGTGAGTTGAGCCGTTAACCTCTTGAAGTATATGTCAGCCTGTGAGTGGAGCCGTTAACCTCTTGAAGTATATGTCAGCCTGTGAGTGGAGCCGTTAACCTACTGAAGTAAATGTCAGCCTGTGAGTGGAGCCGTTAACCTCTTGAAGTATATGTCAGCCTGTGAGTGGAGCCGTTAACCTACTGAAGTATATGTCAGCCTGTGAGTGGAGCTGTTAACCTCTTGAAGTATATGTCAGCCTGTGAGTGGAGCCGTTAACCTCTTGAAGTATATGTCAGCCTGTGAGTGGAGCCGTTAACCTCTTGAAGTATATGTCTGCCTGTGTGCGGAGCTGTTAACCTACCGAAGTATATGTCAGCCTGTGTGCGGAGCTGTTAACCTACTAAAGTATATATATTGGCCATTGTGTGGAGCCGTTAACCTACCAAAGTATATGTCAGCCTGTGAGTGGAGCCGTTAACCTACTAAAGTATATATATTGGCCATTGTGTGGAGCCGTTAACCTTCCGAAGTATATGTCTGCCTGTGTGCGGAGCTGTTAACCTACCGAAGTATATGTCAGCCTGTGAGTGGAGCCGTTAACCTACTAAAGTATATATATTGGCCATTGTGTGGAGCCGTTAACCTACCGAAGTATATGTCAGCCTGTGAGTGGAGCCGTTAACCTACTAAAGTATATATATTGGCCATTGTGTGGAGCCATTAACCTACCGAAGTATATGTCAGCCTGTGAGTGGAGCCGTTAACCTACTAAAGTATATATATTGGCCATTGTGTGGAGCCGTTAACCTACCGAAGTATATGTCAGCCTGTGTGCGGAGCCGTTAACCTCTTGAAGTATATGTCAGCCTGTGAGTGGAGCCGTTAACCTACTAAAGTATATATATTGGCCATTGTGTGGAGCCGTTAACCTACCGAAGTATATGTCAGCCTGTGAGTGGAGCCGTTAACCTACTAAAGTATATATATTGGCCATTGTGTGGAGCCGTTAACCTACCGAAGTATATGTCAGCCTGTGTGCGGAGCTGTTAACCTACCGAAGTATATGTCAGCCTGTGAGTGGAGCCGTTAACCTACTAAAGTATATATATTGGCCATTGTGTGGAGCCGTTAACCTACCGAAGTATATGTCAGCCTGTGAGTGGAGCCGTTAACCTACTAAAGTATATATATTGGCCATTGTGTGGAGCCGTTAACCTACCGAAGTATATGTCAGCCTGTGAGTGGAGCCGTTAACCTACTAAAGTATATATATTGGCCATTGTGTGGAGCCGTTAACCTACCGAAGTATATGTCAGCCTGTGTGCGGAGCCGTTAACCTACCGAAGTATATGTCAGCCTTTGTGCGGAGCCGTTAACCTACCGAAGTATATGTCAGCCTGTGTGCGGAGCTGTTAACCTACTAAAGTATATGTCAGCCTGTGTGCGGAGCTGTTAACCTACCGAAGTATATGTCAGCCTGTGTGCGGAGCTGTTAACCTACCGAAGTATATGTCAGCCTGTGTGCGGAGCTGTTAACCTACCGAAGTATATGTCAGTCTGTGTGCGGAGCCATTACCTACCGAAGTATATGTCAGCCTGTGTGTGGAGCCATTACCTACCGAAGTATATGTCAGCCTGTGTGTGGAGCCATTACCTACCGAAGTATATGTCAGCCTGTGTGTGGAGCCATTACCTACCGAAGTATATGTCAGCCTGTGTGTGGAGCCATTACCTACCAAAGTATATGTCAGCCTGTGTGTGGAGCCATTACCTACCGAAGTATATGTCAGCCTGTGTGTGGAGCCATTCCCTACCGAAGTATATGTCAGCCTGTGTGTGGAGCCATTACCTACCGAAGTATATGTCAGCCTGTGTGTGGAGCCATTACCTACCGAAGTATATGTCAGCCTGTGTGCGGAGCCAGGACTGCTGGGTGGGCACCACGGTGAGGGAGTGTTTCATCAGGGTGGTCAGCGCATCCTCCATACTCTCCACACTCAGGCCGCCAGCGCTGGGGAGGACACAAGTCATTCATCTCAAATAACATCCACAGTCAACCATTAAACGTCTGGTCCCTGGCAACTCATGTTTGTCACACAGCAGTTGAAATGCTTGCTGTAGTTTTGTACTTTAACAAAATGTTTAAGACATTGTTCCTACACTTAACTAAATGCCCTTCTACAGATCTCCTACATCACAGTTAGCTGTGTTCTTATCAATATTATACAGATAAAACTGCTTTCTACATCACTGACACATCAGTCATGAGATATGTAGAGACACATCATAAGAAATGTAGTGAGACATCAGTGAGATATGTAGATACACATTATGAGACATGTAGAGACATGTAGAGACACATAGAGACACATGAGATACGTAGAGACACATCCATCTTCCTAGCAAGAGAGTTAACTGACTACAAAAGTCCAGTTTCCACCCTTGCCGAACAAGGTTGGTATTATGGAGTTACATTTTGGCTGGACTAACGAGTCTATGCATAGTCAAATCAAAATTGCGCACCGAAATCAAAATCAGGTTCGTAAACTATCATGCAGAGTTCGGTCGATTGCGGGATTTGCACAGCATGTGCACCACCAACTCGTTGTCAACAGATATATTCCAAATCTTTTCAAGTTTTTAATCAAGGTGCTCACCGGATTTAATGTACTTCGCGATGTAAGACCTGTTTTATCACAATATAGATCTTGATTGTCGATCAGATCATCTTGACTGGGCGCCGCCATTTTGTTTGAAGCAAATGAAAGTGATACGAGAGGTGGAATCTGATTGGTGCATAGGACTAGGAGAGGCATAGAAGGGACACAGCTCGTAACAGCCACTGGTAGTGCTACGGTCAAGCCCAGGAATTCCAGCCTAGTTCAGCAAGGGTGGAAACTGGACTTTTAAAGTCAGTTAACTCTCTTGCCTCGGGAAGATGAGACACATCATGAAATATGTAGCGAGACATCAATGAGATACGTAGAGACAAATTATGAGACACATAGAGACACTTCATGAGACATCAGTGAGATACTCGGTGAGACACATGAGACATTATGAGACACATAGAGACACTTCATGACACACATCATGAGACATCAGTTAGTCACAGGTGACACGTAGAAACACATCATGAGACACGTAGAAACACTTCATGAGACATGTAGTGAGACATCAGTGAGATACTCAGTGAGACACCCAGACACACATCATGACACACGCAGAGACACATCATGAGACAAGTAGAGACACATCATGAGACACATAGAAACACTTCATGAGACACGTAGTGAGACATCAGTGAGATACTCAGTGAGACACATGAGATACGTAGAGACACATAATGAGACACATAGAAACACTTCATGAGACACGTAGTGAGACATAAGTGAGATACTCAGTGAGACACTTTGGGAAGCAAGGTACTCACTTGGCGATTGCTGTTGGCCACAGAGCTTGATATTCACTGGCTATCTGGCTTGTTATATCGTCCTGGGAAAAATCAGCAAAGGTTAAAAACTCAAATCATTTCTAATCTACTAGCTGTGGTTATTACTATCACTGTTCCAGCGAACCAATGAATGACTAACTTTGGTCTCAATGCCACTGAACAATATTCCATCTGTATCGCGTGATGTCAGTGTTATGCTTATAGTGATGAATCTCATAGATGTCTGCAACTTTGGTGAATCCCACAAACATAGATTACAGGGGATAGACAGACTAGTGGATCCTGACATTGTCAAGGGACACAACTCTGCCAATTGTTTTGAACTATCTTAGACAACACTAATGACTCCTTCTAATCAACTGTAGACATCCTAAAGGTCTCTCAGGAATTGAGCAGCTGACCACTCAAACAACCAACATTGTTTATGGAGTTTTCTTGATATGAGTTCATGTGGAAAAGGACTTAGTCAGTGACCTTATTGTCAGCAACCCATCTAGGAAAGACAATGTCCAATCATAAGGTTTCAAATCTTAATATTTCTCCAAGTTTGATTTGATACAATTTAATATTTAGTTTCTAACTATAGGAGAAACAGACCACTTACCTTGAGTATCGTGAAGAGTTTGGTGAAGGATGCTATAAACAGAGTGAGAACACTTTGGTCCTGGAGAGAAAACACAAGGGTATAAGAAGCCCGCATATCTGTAAAACTGAAATAACATCTACAAACCACAAAGCCTACAAAATATCAGAACCAAATGTTGACCCATTACCTTATCAACACAGGCTTCTTGGCCGAGGTACATTCATCACAACAGTGAAACACAACGGATTGGTGACTAAGCTACCATGATACCATGTATTAGTACCTATGGCGCCAGTGTTTGAGATCTGGGTGATGGTGTCTATTGGCAAAGTGATTGTGTTTAAAATATTCAAAGCATTTTTGCCAACATCCCTGCTGAGATGAAAGTGATTTGCTAGTTTGTTGTTTAACATGGCAGTCAGCAATATTTCAGCAACTATTTTTATCACCCCAAACTAACTGTCTTCCACAGGAGATATTGCTTTCATAAGATTAGCATTGGCTCCAAGGAGATATCGCGGCAATGAAACCGCATCACAATGCTCTGTAGACCATGTCAGCAGGTACCATGATGTCACAATCAAATGACATCACTTATTTCTCTGCTACTGATGCTGGTTAGCAGTACTTTATACACTCAAGACACTGGTTTTGACTGTTCACAAAGTGAAAAATAATGATTTTGGATGATAATTAGAATCTCACCCTTGTGCATTTTGATATAAAAAATATCAATACTTCCATAAAGAGTTTAAAACCTCCTTGGCATTCCTCAGAGATATATTTTGTTTGTTTATTTATTTGTTGATTAACACCACACTCAGCAATATTTCAGCTATATGACAGCAGCCTGTAAATAATCGAGTCTGGACCAGACAATCCAGGGACTGATATCATGAGCATCGATCCACATAATTGGGACACGATGACATGTGTCAACTAAGTCAGCAAGCCTGATCACCCGATCCTGTTAGTCGCCTTTTACGACAAGCATAGTCGCCTCTTACGGCAAGCATGGGTTGCTGAAGACCTATTCTACCCCGGAATCTTCACCGGTCTCGGAGATATATTTGATATCAAAGACACGTGGGTGATCTCTTTCCGCTACACCCCAGGTGTAAGTACCGTTATCTTGAGCAGGAAGCTGATGAAGGAGTCTCGAGGCAGCATCCCTTGCTGGGAGTCTCTGTGCATGGCGCTCTCCCGGCCACTGCTGCTTCGCTTGTGCTGCGTCTTGGTCTGGAAGATCTGCAACACTGGACACCACAGGCGGAGTCAACACCTGGTCATTGGTGGGACCTAATGCCACTTGGAATAGTATTTCAGTGATGTAACAGCATGTCAGCTTTATATGGAAGGCAAGCTCAAGATGGCTCACATTTACATCTCTGGTGAGTGTGTGAGTGAGTGAGTGATATTTCAGCAATTAAACGGCAGGGGACACACACATTCTATCCATGTCGGGAATCGAACCTGGGTCTTCGGCGTGACGAGCAAACGCTTTAACCACTTGGCTACCCGACCACCCCTCAACTCTGGTGAAAGCCACCGACATGGGTATGGTGCTGACAGAGGAAGAGTCATAATCACAACAATTATAGAATTCGAACCCATGACCAGCAGATCCTGGCAAGGCTAAGTGATGCCACTCTCCACAGTGAATTGCAGCATTGCAGCCAGAATTCTTTTTCTGGTAGAAATATTTTAAAATTATATAAAAGTCACTAATTATTACAGGTATTACAGTATGTGACGTTAGGCACTTGTCCGAAGCCCAAGTCTAGTAATAATCTGTTTGGTCTAGTAAGCTCAGATAACAGTAGTCAACATAATAACAGTAAAATTTCGGGGTAACAAACTAAAAAGTTTTTGGCATACATTGAGAGAGTGAGTGAGTATGTTTTTACACCGCTTTTAGCAATATTAGCAATATCACGCCGTGTATACCGTAACCATGGCTACTAAATACCTTCATTATTGAAATAACTATGATATTACTTGTGATATTACACAATGAGCCATGTGACGGCTACAGTGTATGTTCCGCTCACCTGCATCCCAGAGGTCCCGGGCTGGTTTCCGAGCGGTCCGGATGACTGGCAGCTCCTTGCAGCAACACGCCAACAGCCGACTCAGCTGAAAAGAAATCAGTTACAAAATCTAACACTTTTCACCAAATACAAATTTTAAGACAAAACACATAAAGATGATGGAATATCCACTAGATTACCAGGTCGCATGTCATGGCAATGCATTATGAAGGGGGAGATAACTCCTGAGACATTGAAGTCCCAAAACTACTCCCTTTGCTGATCTTGCACTGACCTCAATATATCCGTTTGCGGTGTTCTCCAGGTTACAGAGGTAGTCCCAGTCCTTGATGTTCACCAGGAACGCCGTGCACTCCTCCAACACCTCCTCACTCGGCTGGATTTCTGAATGACACAAATACCCAATATAACCAACCAATACACATGTAACCCATACACAGCTACCCATGGTTTATCTGGAAACTAGAGCTTTTAGGTGAGTGAGTGAGTGAGTGAGTGAGTGAGTGAGTGAGTGAGTGAGTGAGTAGGTCGGTGGGTGTTTGGGCGAGTGAGTGAGTGGATGGGTAGGTTGAGTGAGTGAGTGAGTGAGTGAGTGAGTGAGTGAGTGAGTGAGTGAGTGAGTGACAACCTACCCTGTCCTAGTCTGATGGTGGTCAGACAGGTCTTGGTCTTCTTGACTAGGTCCTGAAGCGTGCAGCCCTCTCCAAACGTCTGGTTGAGGTCGTACTGACGGAGGTCAGCCAGCAAGGACTGCCAGCGCACATGTTTTGACAGGACGTATGACAAATCGCTGACCACAGAGTCTGCCACGGCAAACAGCTGGCGTGCTCGGTCAAATATCTGGACAATGAATGATTACTGCCTGAGGGCTGGAGTCAAATAGGACATATCTATGTGTTATACCTGAATCTTGTATGTGAAATTGCTTTGCTCCCTTTTCATGTTTAACATTCAAAATATATGGTTGGTTTGTTGTTTAACGCCACACTCAGCAATATTCCAGCTATATGACGGCGGTCTGTAAATAATCGAGTCTGGACCAGACAATCAAGTGATTAATATCATGAGCATCGATCCACGCATTTGGAATCGAAGACATGTATCAACCAAGTCCGCGAGCCTGACCACCCGATCCCGTTGGTCGCCTTTTACGACAAGCATAGTAGCCTTTTACGGCAAGCATGGGTTGCTGAAGACCTATTCTACACTGGAATCTTCACGGGTCTCAAATATATGGCATAATCTACATTTTACTGTTTATAAGGCAGGGTTTTACGTGACGCACAAACGTGCATCCAGAAAATCTCGATTTTGACATATTGAAGAAATGATGTCAATTTCAGGTGCTGTGTCAGGCCTTAAGATTGGACGCAGAAAAAGAATAAACTGCGTCCTGAGGGGCGCACAACAATATTCATTGTACCAAAAGTGCATCAAGAGCAGTTATGGATATCTATTACTTCATCCATCAACCATGACCACTGTCCACATGATCATTGATTCAATCCAGCCTCTTTAGGTAATTATCAAAACGTACAGTACATTACTCTACAGGACCCTCATATTGCCTGCAAGGACCCTTAAAATTTTATTGGGGGTCCCCTGGACCCAACTCTTGTAAGTCATGGTAGACCCTGATAAGATAATCAATTTTGAAACAGTGTGGCATATATTTTAGTTTATTATAAAAACGTAGATTTTTACATAAATCAGAAATAGGAGGACATATTTTACATTTCTACTGATATGATGTGGCATAATATGCTAATAACTGGTAATTGATAGGACTGCCTCTTTCCAAAGCCTTTAATAATGAGTTCAAAGGGCTACTATAAACCTTGACCATGACACTGTACTCACCTTGACCTCCATACAGTGCCTTGCCTTAGACACAAGGACATAGACAAATGGTTTCTGCATTCCGTGGTGATTCAGGCCATCAATGAGCTGGCGGATCTCACGAGGAACCTTCCACTACAAGTAACCAGAACACCAGAGCTAAACATGATTCCAACTTTTCACAAATGTACATCCTTCATGGAGAAGAACAGTGTTTCAGTGATTGTGTTGATTCATGTTACATAAGTAACACACAGACTGCATATATTGTGCTATTGTCCGGGACAAAATAAATACAACATTGCTAATAAAGGGACAAGCATTATAAACACAGTAACTATCTGCCTACCGAACACAGCAATATCCTTATCAGTAGAACATACAAACTGTAGAAAAGGGAAGGTTATTTCCATGACAACATGTTAAGGTCGAGGTCAAGGTCATGGTCATCATGGTCATACACACGTTTGTAGGACGTTTTGTATCAGGGCTCTAGCCTACCTTATCGTTGAACTGCAGAAACTGTGGAAAACGCCAGTTTCGGTTCCCATGAAGGTCACTGACAACGTCTCGTAGCAGGCCTGGGTCGTACAAGGTCAACAGTTTTCCCTCAAGGTCACTCAAATTGTAGGTTGGTTCTGTATGGGATGAAACTTACGAAATAAAACACTTACATAGTTTTACTGACAAGAGCCTGTCAGAATGTCCATACCAGGGTAAAATGAGCTGGTCATTATTATCAGTATTATTTATCAAACTTTATCACTGCCTCATTTTCATACTATCTTGTCTAATGCTTTTGGTAACAGAATTTCATGAAAACCTGATTCCTTCTCAATATTATTATTTCCGAAGCCTGTGGCTGACAACTTTTCCGTCAGGCTGCATGAAATTTTCCTGCACCTGCCCGACTGTCTGCTAGATAATTTCAAGATTACTTACATTTTCAATTTTGCAAAAACTCGTAGATTCTCAAATTTGCATCATTTCAATTTAATCAACAATGATCAAGTTGTGATTTGTCTCCTAGTTTTTGCGATTTTTCAATATGTATAGTGCCTGAATGAGGGCAGGTAACTTTGAAGATGGGCAGGCAACATTTGTGGGTCACCTGCCCAACTGTCTTGTTGGGTTTTAAAATCATATTAAACACTGGATAAAAGACTGGAACCAAAAGAATAAACACATTTCCATCAGTACATAAGGTGCCATTAACAAGAACTGACAACAATTACAAGGCAGTTAGCCTGTTGCCAGGACAACAGGAGCCATGATGAGACCCACCCCGAGATGCTGGGAAGCTGGCAGAGGATCCCCCTGGGTCCTCGGAATCGAAGTCCTCCAAGTACATCTGCTCCCCCTCGTCCCCCAACGCCATGTCCATGCACTCCTCCTTGTCGAAGTACGTGGCCAGCTCACTCCCTAACACAGCATTGGTGAACCCAGACTCCGGCTCCGCCAGCTCTATCAGGTGCTGGATGAAACACTTGAGGTTAGCTCTCTGAGAGAAGGAGGCGCCCTTCATTGCCCTGCTAATGGTCATCACTAAGAACATTGTCACACTCTGGTCTGCCTTCTCGAGAGCAAACAACACCGGTGACACCAACGCTTTCCCCTCCATCACACCGCGGACAACGTTACATATGCACACCTTGGTGTACAACACTTCACATCCCTTCCCTGCATGTAGGACGTCATCTTCAAGACTGGTTCGGTACAAAACACTCAGTTCTTGGCTGACATTATCGTCAAGGAGGATGTCAATCAGGCCTTCAAAGTTGTTCTTTCTGGAGTTTTCTGCTCGTTGGAATATGCTGAGTTTGTGTGGGTCTGTAACAATCCCCAGTAGTGAAGAGCAGCTGATGAGGTATCCACGTAGTCGGGCAGTGTCAATACTGATGTAGATATGTTCTTTCAGCTGAAAGAGTGAGTGAGTGAATGAGTATGGTTTTACACCGCTTTTAGCAATATTCCAGCAATATCACGGCGGGGGACATCAGAAATGGGCTTCACACATTGAACCCATGTCGGGAATCGAACCCTGGTCTTCGGCGTGACGAGCGAACGCTTTAACCACTAGACTACCCGACCGCCCCTCAGCTGAAAGTAAACATTGTTACAGTGACTCCATCATCACTGCTTTGTATACACTACATTCCTCTAACACCCAAGATGCAGACTTCCGATACTGAGTGCAAGAGAGAAACCATTGAGCTCTGAGACCACAAAAGAAAATATTTCTCTGGGCTACATGTGCCTTGTGGAAGTCTGCTCTACAGATTTTTTGACTATCAAGCAATGGTGGGGTTGGCACAAAGTACATGCACCGAATCAGGATCCTCTTACTTCCATGAGTAATAAACGGCCTCATGTCATTAGACTAAATAGACACACATCACAATACAACAAAGCTGTCGCACGTGGTCTTACAGGTGATGGAGGAGGTAGTGCATACAACTTGCCTGCATGTCGCTGCTTGTACTTGCCTGGACTTTTAGCAGTTTTATCCAGACACATGATACTGACACCGAGCTGGCACTCAGCATTATTCCAGCTATATGATGGTGGTCTGTAGATAAGCAAGTCTAGACCAGACAATCCAGTTATTGATATCATAAGCATCGATCCACACAATTGGGATACGATGACATGCATCAACCACGTCAGCGAGCCTGACCACCTGATCCGATTAGTCGCCTCTATCTCAAGCATAGTCAACTATTATGGCAAACATGGGTTGCTGAAGACCTATTCTACCCAGATCTTCATAGGTCCTTTTTGGAATGACGCAGCCAGGGAATAAAACCATGGATCTTACACTCTTCAGGCAGACACTCTTCACAACATACACCATGGAACATCCATGAAGTATTGAAAATACAGCGACTCATACAGCGACTCATACAGCTCTTCCTTCTCATATACACATACATCCTATGAAACTGATCTCTACGGACAAAGGAGCAGAATACATTTACTTGGATAGCATATTCCCTGACCCAAAGTCTCATAAGAGTGAAATAAAAATGCATGCCAAAGTTTGTTATTTGATAGCAGTGGAAGGACATGTGTTTGTCACAGATGATATATAACGTCAGGTGTTTCTCCATGTCTGGCTCACCTTGTCATGGATAGTTTGGCACTGTGTAAACAGTTCGTAAGCTCTCTTGTATTCCTCTTGGTGGAACAGAACGCACCCCAGGTCATAGCACACCTGAAACAGTTTCCTCATATGTAGGCTCCCTGATGAACCAGCTGTTTGTTTGTTTGTTTGTTGTTTTATGCTGCATTCAGCAATATTCCAGCCATATGACGGCGGTCTGTAAATGACATGCATCAACCCAGTCAGCAAGCCTGACCACCCGATCCCGTTAGTCGCCTCTTACGACTAGCATAAGAGGCGACTGCTTACAATGGCCAAGGGACACAACTGTTAGCATCACGAAAACTACATCTCACCTTAGCCAAATCCAACACAAATACTTACTTCAGCACTTAACATGCTTAATGCTTGAAGAAAGACACTGGCTTCCATCTTCTCACATTTCCCTCCCAGTTCTAAGAATGTTGTGAATAAAAATTTTCGGGGAACAAAACTATCTCTGGATTTGAGGGGGGCCAAAACCATTTGTGTCAGGTTATGGATAATTATGTTTGATTGCTTGGTTGTTTGAACCTTTTGATCAATCACCAATTAGTTCAGATAATCGGAATACCATACAACAAACCTGATATATCACCATCTTCACCAAACTCTCACCTGACAGCGGACTTCCTCAGGGGGGATAACTCTGCCCTGGTTCCAGTCATACTCCACTTCGGTCCTTTCACTTGGGACGTTGAAGCAGTTCGGGGTCGGCATGGACAGCGTTTTGTTGGTCTGCAGGAACCGCTCCAGCATCTGGATTGAGTTGGACAACTCACCCTTAAGCTGAACAACACAGGAAGAGAGTGAGTGAGTGAGTTGGGTTTAACGCCGCTTTTAACAGTATTCCAGCTTAATGTGGGAGGAAAGCCCGAAGTGATGCAGGTCTCAGATGTTTACCACTTCGGTGAAACCCACGAGCACGGGTATGGTGCTGACAAACCAAGAAACATAATCGGGGCGAACTGGGATTCTAACCCACAACCATAGGTTTCTGGCGTGCCCAAGGGACGCAACTCTGCACAGGGAATCGCGGCGCCTTAGACGACTGGGGCCCCACAGGAAGAGACACTTAGGAACATTCCACATTATCACACATGACAGACACAGGGTCTAATGGGCAGCCGTGGTGGTATTCTCCCCATGGAGCTGAGAAAGCAGTCAGGATGCACAACGATCTGTTGATCATGGTAAAACGTGGCACCATGCAGAGTATAGATGACATCAAATTCAAGTCTTGAATTCAATATGGTGTCAGTCCTGTTTGTGACAGAAGCTTGAAAAAGTTTATCTGAAAATATTTTAATATTTCAATCAAGTTATATTCTTGCTCTGTACATAAACTGTTAAAACTTGTTAATCAAGACACCAACTGTGCTCTTTGTGGTGATTCCCCAACTGTCTAGTCACCAGTGAATTATCAATCAGTGTTATCATGTTAACAGATCAATAGTCAAACCCACTAGTTGTACAGCTCACCAGTGAACCAGATGTTATCAAGGAATCTGACTGACACTGACTTAATCCATGGCCACCAAGACTAACACCAAGAGGCTGCCTGCTAACATGGTTACCCGTTCAAATTCTGGAGCTAATTCATTATACTTGTATTTGTGTCCCTGTTTCAAGGTGCTTGTGCCAAGACACTGGAGCTGTGAGTCAGTTCGTCAAGTTTTAGTTCAATGTGCATGCCCTCCATGGAAGGTGGTGTTTCCTTGTTGTCAGAGTCAACATTCAATCTCTTACTACACTGACATGTTGAAGGCATCCCACTTACCCCGGTACAAATGGCCTCCGTGGCAGCAGCACAGGCCTCTGCGGGGTCGATCTGGTCAGCTCTGTAGGGGAATAACATTCAGCATCAGTGTGGATCAGACATACATCTGTGTGGTTCAGACCGACATCAGTGTGGTTCAGACCGACATCAGTGTGGTTCAGACCGACATCAGTGCAGTTCAGATGACATCAGTGTGGTTTAGACGGATATCAGTATGGGTCAGACTGACAAGTCTATTATTACCAAACAGTCTATTCCATAAAGTACTTCATACATTCCAGTTGAGGATTCAATGGGGATTCTTGGTCACCATAGATGTCATGTAGCCAGTGATTGTAGTAGCATCCGACCGACACAGGGTGGTGCCACATACACATACATAGTTATTCATTACTACATGCTTGTCTGGTCCAGAATAAATTACTTTACTTCCAGGCACTACACCCGTGAGTGAGTGAGTGAGTATGGTTTTACGCCGCTTTTTGCAATATTCCAGCAATATCACGGCGGGGGACACCAGAAATGGGCTTCACACATTGTACCCATGTCGGGAATCACTACACCCGTGAAGATTCGGGGTAGATAGGTCTTCAGCAACCCATGCTTTCCGTGAAAGGCGACTATGCTTATCGTACGAGGCGACTAACTGAATTGGGTGGTCAGGCTCGCTGACTTGGGTGATGCATGTCATCATATTCCAACTGCATGGATCAATGCTCACGATGTCAATCACTGGATTGTCTGGTTCAGACTCAATTATTTACAGACTGCCGTCATAGCTGGAATATTGCTGAGTGCAGCGTTAAACAAGAAACAAAAAATCTTTCAGGCACTCACTCACTCATTCACTCACCCATGATCCAGATACAACTCACTCACGTGTACTCCTTCACTCACTCACTCAGTCACTCCGGTACTCACATGGTGAAGACGTGCTGTCTCACGGGTCTCGAGGGGAAGCTGTCCTTCACTACAGACTGCACACACCTGAATACAATCAACAACAGTATCAACAACAACAACAACAAAAACAGGGTTTCAGATGGCCGTTGGTCATCTGTCATAGACCGATAAAATTTCTATTTGACAGATGGTTTGTTTAAGTTGTCGGACTTTTGACCGATAGAAATGCTGAGAAAGGGGTCACACATGTCATAATTTCATGATTAAAACATAAATACAGTCGTGCCTCGTTCATACGGACACTTGCGTCATTTCACAATTCGTCCGTATAAACGAATTTCCGTATAACTGAAACCAGCTTTTTACTGGAAGAGTTACTTCCCTTCAATTATGCAACTCATGACAGATGACAGAGCAAACAGATACATCCACTCAATCTTTATTCATACATGTTTCAAAAAGTCTGTCATGGAAGTTTGAACTGTCACCAATTGTTGATTTTCCTATGGTATGTCCAAATTCAGTGCCATAATGCTTACTGATGGTTTCTAAACTTGCTGACGGGTGTTTTTCTTTAAACAGACAAATTTCCCTTTTTTTGCGTGCTGTAACTGCGTGTCGCTTACGTTTCGCTGGTTGACAGGCCATATTTAAGCAACTTTGACCTCTGACCTCCATAGACGCCATATTTATCGAAGGGGATTACATGTACAATAAACAAGCTCGTCTCAAACATAACTCAGTGTCACTTGTTTAATTGACTTCTCACGAATCAAAGGATTACCACCAGCGGAAGTGAATTGTCCGGATAAGTGAGACAATTTTGTGTGCATTTCAGTGTTTTGTGTATGAAAATGACCGTCCGGTTCCGGAAACTGAATTTCCGGATATACGGGTAAATTTATATAGTAATTATTTCGTTTTGAATGAAAATCGTCCGGGAACCGAGGTTTCCGGATATCAGAAGTCCGTATAAGTGGGGCATGACTGTAGTAAGGGTTATTCCACAAACGGTATCGATTTTAATCATGTTAATGACCAATGAAAACTGAAATGCTCTCATAAAGTTTTGTGTCAATCAAGAGAATGTACAGTACACATATTGTACTGTTTTCGATTAGAGCTTTCAGCATCATATATATGCCTTTATTATTCATGACACAATACTATTATTGTCGGATCATAGGTTTTCGGACATCATACCTTTTCTATCACAAATACTTGCACAATAACGAGGGGTGTGGCGTCACACAGAAATTGTAAATACTCAGAAGATGGCTTGTTTGTTTGATAAAGTTGTCTTTTATAAGTGAATGAGATGTTTTACAGTTGTTTATGTGATAAGCGAGAAAACTATGAACGTTTCTTCAGCGTCCGAAAACCCATAATACGGGGATATATGTTGTATTATTGTCTTATGTTTGCAATGTTGTTGGGGTTTTTTCAACAAAAGGTAAGTAAGTACAAGGTAAGTTTTTTTCAATATGCTTCAACATGGGGACAGTTGTCCTTGTGTCTGGGGGATGGGGGGGTGAAGTTTATGGCAGTACTGCTCCCAGATCCTGCGAGTAGCCGGACGCGTGGAAGCTATGCCAGATTTTATTACAGTACTGATTTAACCTCGAAATTTTACTGCATCCGCCATCTTTGTTTATTTAACTTATTGACTTTTGCCACTAACTTATTACATTTCTTGGGTCCAAGTCATTGACCATCACTGAACAACAGCATCAACAACAATTGTTATTAACTTCGAGATTAACCACTTGGAGAACAATATTTATTAAATTCACAAATATATACACTTTAACTTTCAAGCCTTTCATACATCTTGGATAATATTCATAAATAAATGAAAGACGGACTAGAAACAAGTGTTTTCTTTCCCTGCACAATATAACCAGGCTTGTTATTACTTGGAAGTGAGAAGGGTTTAAAGCCACTTTTAGCAATATTCCAGCAATATTCCAGCAATATTCCAGCAATATCACACCGGGCACACCAGACATGGCCATAACACATACAACCCATGTGGGAATAGTACCCAGGTCTTTAGGAGGACGATCAAACGCTGTAACCACTCAGCTACCCAGTAACATCTATTAAAGGTGTACTCTCATCTATCTTTCTCACCATCTGGGATAAATGTGTACAGAAGGTGTACTCACAATCAGTTATAAAGGCGTACTACCACATAAAGGTGTATTCACCATCTGTGATAAATGTTAACTACCACATAAAGGTGTATTCACCATCTGTGATAAATGTTAACTACCACATAAAGGTGTATTCACCATCTGTGATAAATGTTAACCACCACATAAAGGTGTATTCACCATCTGTGATAAATGTTAACCACCACATAAAGGTGTATTCACCATCTGTGATAAATGTTAACCACCACATAAAGGTGTATTCACCATCTGTGATAAATGTTAACCACCACATACAGGTGTATTCACCATCTGTGATAAATGTTAACCACCACATTAAGGTGTATTCACCATATGTGATAAATGTTAACCACCACATTAAGGTGTATTCACCATCTGTGATAAATGTTAACCACCACATAAAGGTGTATTCACCATCTGTGATAAATGTTAACCACCACATAAAGGTGTATTCACCATCTGTGATAAATGTTAACCACCACATACAGGTGTATTCACCATCTGTGATAAATGTTAACCACCACATTAAGGTGTATTCACCATCTGTGATAAATGTTAACCACCACATACAGGTGTATTCACCATCTGTGATAAATGTTAGCCACCACATAAAGGTGTATTCACCATCTGTGATAAATGTTAACCACCACATAAAGGTGTATTCACCATCTGTGATAAATGTTAACCACCACATAAAGGTGTATTCACCATCTGTGATAAATGTTAACCACCACATAAAGGTGTATTCACCATCTGTGATCAATGTTTACCACCACATTAAGGTGTATTCACCATCTGTGATCAATGTTAACCACCACATACAGGTGTATTCACCATCTGTGATAAATGTTAACCACCACATAAAGGTGTATTCACCATCTGTGATAAATGTTAACCACCACATTAAGGTGTATTCACCATCTGTGATAAATGTAAACCACCACATTAAGGTGTATTCACCATCTGTGATAAATGTTAACCACCACATTAAGGTGTATTCACCATCTGTGATAAATGTTAACCACCACATACAGGTGTATTCACCATCTGTGATAAATGTTAGCCACCACATAAAGGTGTATTCACCATCTGTGATAAATGTTAACCACCACATACAGGTGTATTCACCATCTGTGATAAATGTTAACCACCACATTAAGGTGTATTCACCATCTGTGATAAATGTTAGCCACCACATAAAGGTGTATTCACCATCTGTGATAAATGTTAACCACCACATAAAGTTGTATTCACCATCTGTGATAAATGTTAACCACCACATAAAGGTGTATTCACCATCTGTGATAAATGTTAACCACCACATAAAGGTGTATTCACCATCTGTGATAAATGTTAACCACCACATTAAGGTGTATTCACCATCTGTGATAAATGTTAACCACCACATACAGGTGTATTCACCATCTGTGATAAATGTTAACCACCACATTAAGGTGTATTCACCATCTGTGATAAATGTTAACCACCACATTAAGGTGTATTCACCATCTGTGATAAATGTTAGCCACCACATAAAGGTGTATTCACCATCTGTGATAAATGTTAACCACCACATAAAGGTGTATTCACCATCTGTGATAAATGTTAACCACCACATACAGGTGTATTCACCATCTGTGATAAATGTTAACCACCACATAAAGGTGTATTCACCATCTGTGATAAATGTTAACCACCACATAAAGATGTATTCACCATCTGTGATAAATGTTTAACAACACATAAAGGTGTACTCACCATCTGTGATAAATGTTTACCACCACATAAAGGTGTACTACCATCTGTGATACAGGTGTACTACCATGTGAAGGTGTACTCACCATCTGTGATAAAGGTGTACCACCATCTGTGATAAATGTTTACCACCACATAAAGGTGTACTACCATCTGTGATACAGGAGTACCACCATGTGAAGGTGTACTCACCATCTGTGATAAAGGTGTACAGCGAAGGCGGCCGTGTCGGACAGCGATGCAATGTCAGGGTCGTTCATTCCCTCCAGCTTCTCTCCCAGCGTCATCTTCAGCAGGTCCAGCATGAGAGACTTGGACACAGGGAGCGGCACACTGAGTCAGGGGAGATAATCCATTACTACACAGCTCCACAAGGTGACCACAGCAAGTGAAGTATATGCCCTTCAGGTATTCTTTTTCAATAAGTGAATATACTGATGGTAAAAAACTTTTCAATTGCCAGTTATTTATGGACCATTCCTGGATCATGTGGATACACAAACCTGTTCATGACTAGAAACAAATGGGAAAATCAGGGAGAAAAACTTAAATGGAAATAAATATCAGTTGATTCCAAAGACCAAACAATTAACATGATCTGGCCAAATCACAAGAATCATAGTGAGTGAGTGAGTATGGTTTTACGCCGCTTTTAGCAATATTCCAGCAATATCACGGCTGGGGACATCAGAAATGGGCTTCACACATTGTACCCATGTCGGGAATCGAACCCGGGTCATCGGCGTGACGAGCGAACGCTTTAACCACTAGGCTACCCGACCGCCCCCCACAAGAATAATAAGTGTTTATACAAATTACTACATTTAACTCAGCATTAGATGGTATGCATGGAAATATATAATGTTTTGAGTTTGTTGTTTAATGCGGACTCCAATATTCCAGCTATATGACACCAGTCTGTCAATAATTGAATCTAGACCAGACAATCCAGTGATCGACATCATGAGCATCGATCTGCGCAATTGGGACAACGATGACATGCATCAACCAAGTCAGCCAGCCTGACCACCTGCCCCTGTTATTCGCCTCTCACAACAAGCACGGGCTGCCTAAGACCTATTCTAACCCAGATCTTCACAGGGGGAGGAGACGGTGGTGTAATAGTAAGTCACATAACATGTTTAACTGATACATCAAGCAGATCCCTAACTTATGTCCACAAATCAGCTGTTACAGGGTAAAACATTGAATAGTTGCTGCAACTGCTATATAATCAAAACATTAACTGTCAACAATCAAGCATGTCTATCAAAATGTTATTTCTTACCACTTACCAAAATTATTGCTGACTTGCTTGGTATAGCCAAACAATGATAGAAAACACAAAGAATCAAATATTTCCTCAAATACACATATTGTATATAGAGTTTGTTTGTGTAGAGTTATTGTTTAGCATGCTTAAAGCACAAATCATTGTGAAGTTACCATGGTTACAGGAGAAAAGTGCAGATCCTGAAGTGCATTTTCAGAAACATGAGAAACGTAACACGTTGGGTTAATGTGTTGGTTAGTAGGGTCGGTGTGTCAAAGTCAGGCTGTGTAATGTTTATTTGGGCTACACAGCACTCAGCAATATTCCAGCTCAAGGTGCCCTTGACTGTGAGTTTGGGCCAGGTAAAGATGACAGACAGTCAGCCTAGCCACATATCCAATATATACTGAACAACAAAAGTTCCTGTGACACTGAATAAGATTTAATGCAAAGTTATGTTTTTAACCAAATCTGAAACAATTTTGGTTTGCAACACATAAAAGACTCCTGTAAGTGTTCAAATGGTTTAATTTGCAATACTGACTTCAGAAAATTGGTGATTTCATAAAAAACATGAACATGCCAAAATGTCAATTTACAAATCAATAGCGTGTGTGTCCACCTCTGGTTGCAATGCAGGCAACACATCTTCGTCTCATGGAATGGACCAGGCGCTGCACAAAGTCCTGTGGGATATCTGTCCACATCTGCTGGAGCATGTTTCGAAGTTCCTGGAGTGTCTGTGGAACATGTTTTTGACGTCGAAGGCGCCGATCCATCTCATGCCACATGTGCTCGATGGTGAGAGATCAGGGGAGCGAGCTGGCCAGGGGATGACATTCACGTTGTTTTGTTGAAGAGAATACTGAACAAGTCGAGCAATATGAGGCCAGGCGTTGTCATGTTGAAAGGTAATGCCTGGGCCATGACGACCGAAAACGGTAGAACAACAGGGCCGATGATCTCGTTGCGATAGCGCTGTCCATTGAGATTGGTGTTTCTGTGGACGTTAAATTGTCTTGCAACATCACGTTGACTCGATCCTGCTTCAAGCATACCAATGGCTCGAAGACGTTTATTTTCGGACAGGCGTGGCATTTCGTAATGTTGAATAATTGCGTAATTTTGTTGTTTTTCTGAGTGGTTGTTGTCAGCACAATGCTAAACAAGGCATATGGAATCCCGTTAACGCACATGTTTTATACCCATTCTTGGGTAGTGAAATAGCATGGGGCTTGCATAAAAGTCAACTTTTGCATGGAACGCATACTTTTCTGTAGCAGATGCGTTTTTGTGACTTGATTCCATGCATGTACTACAATATTGAAAACCAAACTTTACTTGTTTGAAAAATACACTAAAATATTGGTGTCACAGGAACTTTTGTTGTTGAGTATAGTTGCCCCTCATAACAAGCAACAGGACGCTAGGGACATATTCCAACTTCGGTCCCTACTGGGGGTTACATTCTGTACAGCAATAGAATATGTTTGTTGCTTCACATTGTTTGACTCAGCAAAATTTCAGCTATATGACGACGGCCTGTACATAACCCACTCTGGACCAGACAACCAGTGATTGATATCATGAGCTACGATTCACATCGCTTGGGACCTTGTCTAACCCAGAATTCCCATGAGGCAGTATTAGAATAACACCAACAGTGGGAGTGCAGGGGCTTACACTGTAATTCGCAATGCTCCACTACGTCTTTTAGACTGAGAAATGCTGTAGAAATGACAAGATGTCCAAAGAGTAAAACTACAAAGCAAGGCCACAATATGATACATATTATGATACCTACGTAACAATACGATACGTATCGCAATACACATATTTACGTCAAATTACGTGGAAACTTCTTGACTATAAATATTTCAGAGCAGGTTCCAAAGAAGAAGCAAGCTGCAGACACATATTCGTGACAGTTATTTTTAACAGTGAACTTGAAAACATTTTGCAATATTTGACTGACAAAAGTGCTTGGGTGGGCGTCATTAAATGAAAAGTAGGTAATCTATTTTAACAATTGTATAGTCTTGTATTGATACCGAAACAATGTATCTTGTATCGTATCGTCACTTGAAAACTTTTACAAACCTGTAGAGGTTATGAATTCTCTGATGAAATCCTCCTTGGGGCACTTATTGCATTTTCCTGGCTCAAGAAAATCTACATGACATAGTTGTAACCATTTTCCTTAATAAAAATTGTTACCACACAAAAAACTTTGTTTTTGTATGATATACGTCCACCCTTATGGTGCCTCACCCTCCACGGCGCGTCACGCCAAGGGAAGCAACTCTCACCCAAATCACTTTCCATATGTCTAATGCTGACGGAATGTGGGGAGGCGGGTGGCCGTGCCCCAAGGAGGATTTCATCAGAGAATTCATAACCTCTACAGGTTTGTAAAATTCTCTTTCAGATTAAATCCTCCTTGGGGCACTTATTGCATCAAGATAGACTCCTAAAGATAATCTAGGAAGTGGCATCCGTCAGCAACAAGCGTGCATAAATACATCGTATTTTGATTATTTCAATGAATAAACAAGTATTTGTCACAGAGTGACGAAATATCCCCCGCCATATACACCATAGTACCAAATATGAAGACAATCCAGCGATTAGTTCTTGAGATATTGTGGCAACACCGTTTTCCAACTCCAAAAACAGATTTGCCTGCTGTGACCTTGAAAATGGGGTCAGGGTCACCAAATCTGACAGGTGTATGCGGTGTCTGTATATACACTATAGTTCCAAATATGAAGACAAGCCAGCGATTAGTTCTTGAGATATTGCGGCAACACCGTTTTCTAACTCCAAAAGCAGATTTGCCTGCTGTGACCTTGAAAATGGGGTCAAGGTCACCAAAACCGACTGGTGTCTGCGGTGTCTGTATATACACCATAGTTCCAAATATGAAGACAATCGAGAGGTTTAGTTCTTGAGATATCGCGGCAACACCGTTTTCTAACTCCAAAAGCAGATTTGCCTGCTGTGACCTTGAAAATGGGGTCAAGGTCACCAAAACCGACTGGTGTCTGCGGTGTCTGTATATACACCATAGTTCCAAATATGAAGACAATCCAGTGTTTAGTTCTTGAGATATCGCGGCAACACCGTTTTCCAACTCTAAAAGCAGATTTGTCTTCTGTGACCTTGAAAATGGGATCAAGGTCACCAAAACCGACTGGTGTCTGCGGAGTCTGTATATACACCATAGTTCCAAATATGAAGACAATCCAGTGTTTAGTTCTTGAGATATCGCGGCAACACCGTTTTCCAACTCTAAAAGCAGATTTGTCTTCTGTGACCTTGAAAATGGGATCAAGGTCACCAAAACCGACTGGTGTCTGCGGAGTCTGTATATACACCATAGTTCCAAATATGAAGACAATCCAGTGTTTAGTTCTTGAGATATCGCGGCAACAAACAGGTGGGACGTACGGACGGACGTACGGACGGACGGACGTACGGACGGTCGTGAATACTATATCCCCCGCTTCGCGCTTTCGCGCGGCGGGGGATAACAAGAGTTCAATAAATGGAACCAACCTTATCGTGAGGCACCACCGTCGAAAGGCAGGGGCTGGAGACAGGGCGTTATCGACCATACACAATGAAAAGAGCCATTCTTTGTGGCTTATCATATCGAGAACTCGAGACACACACACCCCCCACCCCACCCACTTTTTTGAACAAGTGATATTGGGGGCACAGATCACGAGAGACTATAAACCCGCACAGAGCTAGGCCAGAGGGTCCCCGTAAATCGAAGGAGTGCATGTGCAATTACGATGATTATCGAGTAGTAATGGCTGGTATTGTATCGACCGTAGAAGATAAAATCCGGACCGTTACTGAACAGTGTTATAACCGGTCCGGGCGGTCTAAAATCTCGAAGGCTCAATCGGCTAGAGATGTAGAACTTTGCCCAGTTCGGAGAACTGACTGACCAAACCGAGCACGCTCGCTTGAGTGTTTGTCGAGTTGGTAATGTTTGATGAACGTGCTCGGCTGGCTCCAAATAGCCGCGGAGCAGATCTCCTCAATGGGCAGAGCCGCAGCATACGCTTGTGTCGTAGCCACTGCTCTAACCGAATGAGCCTTCAACTTGGTAGGGGGGTCCCTGCCTTGAAGTGTGTACGCCGTACATATAGTAGAGACTATCCACCGCGAGATAGTTTGTTTGCTCGCAGGTGAGCCAGCCTTCCTACCGCCATAACAGCAAAATAGTTGATTATCCTTACGGATACCCTTAGTTCTGCTGATATAGGACTTAAGGGTCCTGCGGACATCCAAGACATGAGCATGTCTTGTAGTGGTCCCCGACGAGGAAGGCTGTGAAAGAGCAGGTAGCTCAATAGGAGCCGTCACGTGGAAGGCGTGTGCGACCTTAGGACGGTAAGAGTCCGGCAGGCGAATACTGACCCTGTCCCGGTGAAAGACAGTTAGTTCGGGATCGGCTGACATTGTGTGAATGTCGCCTACCCGTCTGCCGGACGTTACCGCCACAAGGAACGCCGTCTTCCAGCTCAACAGCTGAAGAGAGAGAGACGACAGATCCCGAAAGGAAGGACCGGACAGCCAATCAAGAACGATTGACAATTCCCAAGGGGGACTGATCCGCCGGACAGGCGGTCGGATCCTGTCCACACCTGCTAAAAAACGCTGCACTAATGGGTGCGCACCCAAAAGTGCCCCGTCGACGGGGACGTGAAAGGCAGCGATAGCTGTAGAGTACCCCCGGACTGTCGATGCGGCCAGGCCGACATCTAGTCGCGACTGGAGGAACTCAAGTACGGCTACGAGATCTGCAGAAAAGGGATCTGCAATCCTTCTATCGACACACCAGCGCGCATAGCAGGCCCATCTATCCTCGTACTGAACGTTTGTCGAATCCCTCCGCGAAGCCAGTATTGTGTCTGCAACTCGTGCAGGAATACCGCTCTCCTGGAGGCGATTCCGGACAGTGGCCAAGCCACCCACTGAATCCTGGGATTCGGGTGGAGGGCCTCGTTCTGGGATAGGAGGTCCAGTCGTAAAGGTAATAGAACAGGAGGCTGAGCCAGAAACCTGAGTATGACTGGAAACCAACTCTGCGCCGACCAAAGGGGTGCCAGGAGCACAAGTAGTCGCGCAGGCTGAGTGGCTAGCTGAGACAGGACCTTGGAAATCAGAGGTACTGGGGGGAATGCCCACAGTATTCTGTCCGTCCAATCTAGCTGGAAGTCGTCCGGTGCCACCGACCTCGGGTCGGGGACTCGGGAGCAGAACGTTGGTGTCTGGTGATTCACCCCAGACGCAAACAGATCCACCTGGAACGACCTGTATAACTGGGAGATAATCCCGAATATCCCCGGGTCGAGCCTCCACTCGTGAGGAGCGAGGATCCGGCGAGACAGAGCGTCCGCACGGACATTGTCTACCCCCGGGAGATAAACAGGTAGCACCCTGATAACGTGTGAGTCGCACCATAGGAGGAACTGCCACGTCTCTTGGAGAAGCGACGGAGACACCGTTCCCCCCTGCTTCCGGATGTAAGTCATCGCCGTTTGGTTGTCCATCTCTAGACGCACCACTTGGCCACGAAGCAGATCCAGGAAGCGTTGGAACACCAACCTGACCGCTCTCAGTTCTAGCACATTGATATGCAGTTTGATCTCCTGCTGGGACCATAGTCCCGAGGCAGTGTGATTGTTCAGAACGCCTCCCCAGCCGGAGAGTGACGCGTCTGTTTGAACTGTGAGAGACGGCACGGGAGTGTCGAGGGGGAGCCCCGGGACAGATTCCCGACCTCGGTCCACCACTGAAGGTGTGCATTGAGCCACTGCGGAGTCTCGAGAACAGTCTCGAGATCTTCCGAGTTCACCCAAAGTCGACGGAGCGCTTGTTGAATGGGTCTCATTCTCAAGCGCGCCCGCCAAACCACATCCACTGTCGCCGCCATGTTGCCCAGTAACTGGAGCCATGTACGAGCAGTGTGACTGGCTGACAGAAGGAACTGGGAAGTAACACTTCTGACCTTGGTAATGCGATCTTGTGACAGAGATACAAGTCCGCTCACCGTGTTGAAATTCGCCCCTAGGAAGACTAGATTCTGAGTAGGGCTCAGATCTGACTTCTTGAGATTGACTATCCACCCTAGAGTGATCAGAATATCTATCACTTGTTGTGTAGCTATCTGACTCAGGGATTGCGATAGAGCTCTTAGTAACCAGTCGTCGAGGTACGGATGGCAGAACCGACCTTTTGACCTGGCCACTTGGGCGGGAATCAACATCAGCTTGGTGAACACCCTCGGGGCCGTAGCGATCCCGAATGGTAGAACCCTGAACTGATAACACCTCCCGTCGAAAGAAAACCTGAGGTATTTCTTGAACTCGGGGTGTATGGGTACGTGGAGATAGGCGTCTTTTAGGTCTATTGACGTTAGCCATTCTCCGGTCTCGACAGCTGAGATCACCGAGCGCAGTGTCTCCATCCTGAAGGACGGTACCTCTATAAGTTTGTTCAGCCTTCTCAGATTGAGAATAGGCCTGAACCCTCCGTCTTTTTTGGTGACTAGGAAATACGTCGAGTAGAAGCCCTCGCTTTCCTGTCCCACGGGAACCGGTTCGATCGCAGCCTTCATAAGAAGTGCGTCGACCTCGGCACGGAGGAATTCCGCCCTCTCCAGGGTAGCAGGCACCGGAGTGTGCTTTATCCCGGAGAAGGGGGGCGGATGATGTTTCCACCGAGGCAAATGGCCATCCCTTAGAGTGGACAGGGTCCAGGGATTGGATGTGACTGTCTCCCATTCCTGCAGGAATAGAGCCAGTCGGCCGCCTACGGGGACATCCGGCTTGAGGCAGCGGACCCCGGCTGTCGGCAGTTCGAAAACATGCAACCGTGGGTCCGCCCGGGGCACTTCGGGCGCTAATGGGAACCCGATGGGTTCCCGGCCCCCCGAAAAGGCTGCTGGCCTCGACCAGCTGCCCTGCCCCGGCCCCTGCCTCTCTTGCTCCTCCCGGCGCCCTTACCTGAAGGAAGCGGCTGCTTCCAAGCAGGTGCAGACTTCTGACCCGGCGCGTCAGCGTAGGAGGAAGCAAGTGGAGAGGTCCGCTTACGCGGTTTAACGCATGGTACCTCCAACAAGGCCTTAGAATCCTTGATGGAGGCATACAACTGTGCGGCCTCTCGGACCACCTGCTGAGCCCCAGGGAAGAGGGTGGCACCCATCTTATAAGGCAAAGCAAGTAGATCCTGGCGTGTGGAAGCCGAGTATTTGGATACCGACATCCACAGCCTGCGCATGCCCATGACTGCGCACATCATCTGCGAGGCACAGCTACGAATAGCGTCCCTCGCAAGATGACTATGTACCTCCGTAAGTTGCGCGGCCAACTCTGAAGAGTCGGCCGGCCCCTCTCCCGCTAACTCCCTCTGTACGTCCGACAGATAAGCGGAGTGTACGGACACCCGGAGCTGCTGACATGCGTTACGATATTGCTCCTCGAAGCAAACGTAAGCAGCCTTCAGCTCCGTACCGCACGCGGGAAAGGGTGGCAACCGCCGGCCCTGCTTGACCTTAGCCAAGTTGGGGGTCGAAGACCCCCCCAGGGTAACGGAGGTCCAGACGCATTCGTCCACCACCGGTACCTCAAAATCACCATCCTCTGCTAACGGGTACCGCTTAATAAGTTCGGGCAGGTCGAACTTCCTGCGGGCACCCGACAACAGAGGGTTGATGACTTCATGCACCAATGAAGACAGAATACGGAGTCGCACCTGGGGCGCCTTGCTCGGAGCAAAAGCGTCCCCCGGGAGGTGGAACTCAGTCGGATCCGAATGGGGCATGGGCGCAGCCACCTGAGGCAGTACCTGGACAATCTTGTCCCGTACATGCCTCAACGAGGAAACGAAGGAAAATATTCCCGAGGTCTCCGAGTCGTCTCCCCCCTCCTCCATCCACTCCTCCTCTCTCGATTCCGAGCCGAAATTAATCGACTCTTCCCCGAGAGAAGAGGCAGACGAAGTCGGAAGGGGACGCCCGAAGGCCTGGGCCTTCGCATCCCCGGGCTGCACCCGGCCCGAAGCCGAGTCCCGGTCCCGAGGTGCCGGGGGTTCAAGGGAACCCACCTGGCTCTGGGCTAGAAATCCGCTAGAGGAAGCCTCGGCCTCGGAAGAGGCGTCTGGCTCCGCTAGGGAGAACTGTGCGTCGGTAGTGAACGGGCCAGTGCCCGCCACCCCTCCGCTGGGGAGCGACCTCGAGCCGGCGCCGAAGCCCGGTCTGAGTTCGTCCCCGAGACCAAGTGGCCTGCCTCGGCCGACGCCGGGCATATCACAAGGTCTCGAAGCCGCGTCCGGCGCCGACAACGGGGAAGGCTCGGTCTGCAACTCCTCTCGGAGCTGAGACTTTACCTCCTCCATCATCGACGCCATCTGCGACCTCAACAAGGCAGAGATGTCTGCCAAAGACGGTGCAGGAGAGGGTGCAGTGATTGTGACGGGGACCCTAGAGCCTTCTCCCCCGGCCCCCGGGGAGGGAGCGGAGGAGACAGTCTCAGCTGCCTTTTTACCCTTTCTTACTTTTTTAGAGGGGGGCGGGGCGGTCTTTGCCGATCTAATGTCCACCCCCGCCTTCAATAGACCCTTAAAGTGTAAGAGGTCCACATTTCTCTTTTTCTGCGCCCGTGGTGTGAATGCAACACAGATCGGGCATGACCCATCGTCATGCCCGTCTTCGGCCAAACACTTTATGCAAGCATCATGCCTGTCTTGGGGGGGAATCGAAGCCGAGCACCCCGTACACAGTTTGAAGGTCTGTAAAAAAGACCGTAATTTTTTAGTTTGGCGGGAAGGGTAATAAAGTGTATCAGTGCGATTGAAAGATCGGAAAGATACGTGCATAAATTGTGTAACTAGAAGCAAAGGCGTAATTTAGAATGCGATTGGTAACGCGATACTAATAGCCAATGTCGTAGTATAATTATAACACCAAAGTGGGAGTGTTACGCGCGAAGGTGTAGAAAACCCGTAAAAAAGGTAAGTGTAATTTAAAATAATTAACACACCACCTTGGGTTTATTTAAAGGAAAAGATTGTAGGCTAAAGCCCGATGATATAGATTAAAAAACCGAAGCCGTTTTTGATGGCCCTGGTGTTACATGTATCATACGTGGCACTACAAAATGGACGCTACGACGGCCTTCATTTCAAAGGTATCGTACACGTGTCACATAATTACAACTTTATAACTTTACAATGCGAGGTATTACGCCTTTGCATGAAAGAAATGTACCATAATACAGTTTGGTCTGCCATGGTTCTTGTACGAACGATTATCTTGTCTTTATTTTGTCTTGAAAAAAACAGCACGTCTGTCTTTGTCAGATGACATAAGGAAAGTGATTTGGGTGAGAGTTGCTTCCCTTGGCGTGACGCGCCGTGGAGGGTGAGGCACCATAAGGGTGGACGTATATCATACAAAAACAAAGTTTTTTGTGTGGTAACAATTTTTATTAAGGAAAATGGTTACAACTATGTCATGTAGATTTTCTTGAGCCAGGAAAATGCAATAAGTGCCCCAAGGAGGATTTAATCTGAAAGAGAATTGAGATGCACCAGTGCACCAATGTATCATTTCACCCCTACAAGATATTGCTTGCAGCTCCATCAACAGCTGTTCATAGTGTAGATGTCTACCAGGTAAAGGAAGTAGCGTAAGACATGCACATTTATTGACCACTGAATACAGACATGAAACGTTGATCATCTAAGCATGATTAGTAAATTGAGTAAATATTGCTAAACATTGCAGCAAGCAGCATTCACGCTCTATCATGGCTTGTAGGAGTGAAACGATACAGCAAAGTAATGATACAATACATATCAAGATACATAGGTCACGACACGATATGTATCATGATACGTATATTTACGTCAAATTGCATGGAAACTTCTTGACAATAAATATTTCAGAGCAGATTCAAAAGGAGTGAGTGAGTATTGTTTTACACATCTATTCCAACAATATCATGGCGGGGAACACCAGAAAAGGGCTTCAGACATTGTACCCATTTTGGGAATTGAATCCGGGTCTTCGTCACGACAAGCAAATGCTTTTACCACTAGACCATGTAGACTACCCCACCGCCCAAGGTTCAAAAGGAAAAGCTAGCTGTAGACACATGTTCATCAGGGCAATTTTCAGTTGTGAACTTGAACACTAATAACAACACATCCTGCTACATCTCACTGCCAGGGATCATTAAACGAGTATGCGCAATCAACCAAGTCACAAAGTCTGACCACTCAATCCATAGTTTGCCTCTTCCATTGTGTTTATTTGTTGTTTAATGCCGCACTCAGCAATATTCCAGCTACATGACGGCGGTCTGTAAAAATTCAAGTCTTGACCAGACAATCCAGTGATTGAAAACATGAGCATCAATCCACACAGTTGGGATATCATGACATGCATCAACTAAGTCAGCGAGCCTGACCACCCGATCCTGTTAGTCGCCTCTTACGACAAGCATAGTCGCCTTTTACGGCAAGCATGGGTTGCTGAAGACCTATTCTACCCCGGATCTTCCAACCAGCATAGATTGCTGGGGACCTGTTTTAACATGGAAGCCCCAGGGGCAAGCATCCCCATGGGGAATTGGTATGGTTAAAACAGCAGGATGTCGTATGTTTTGTTTTGTTTGTTGTTTAACGTCACACTCAGCAATATTCCAGCTATATGACAGCGGTCTGTAAATAATCAAGTCTGGACACAACAATCCAGTGATTGACATCATGAGCATCGATCTATGCAATTGGGATACGATGACATGCATCAACGAATGTACGGGTCAGATCAAGCTCATGGCCTCTATAGTCAATCAACCATCATTTTAGCCCCATTTTTTCACAATTAGCCTTAATGTGTGGATTTGGTGCATTATCAATATGCACATTACTGTTATCATGTATGTAAATCTTGCACATATGCTTTGAAAAATCCAAAATTCAAACTTGTGTATATCTTGAATGTATATATATATGTCATACATATAATGAAATGGGTCAAGGCTTCCCTTCCCTCACTACCATTAGTTACAAACGACAATAATAATCACATTTGGACGACTCTGGGATGCTTTAATCACACTCACTTGGGTCGCACTTGGGTTGGCCTGTCACAGTGATTAAACACATTAGTGTCAAGCACTTAACTGAGTACATTTTACATCTGTGACTGACTAAAGCTGTTGGCTACATTATGTGTACATAGCATCAACATAATCATAATAATCTTGATAATGGTGACTGAATGAAAGTGCTAGCCTCGTCCTCACCCCTTCTCCAGGATGCTCATATTCCACTTGAGATGTGCAGCTACTTTGAGAGCCAGTGTTTTCAGAGCCACAACCTTCTTCAGGTGCTTGGGGGGGATCACCCTCATTGCCTCTTCCAGGTTTTCATCTGCAACAAGCAGGGAGGACGTTAACAGGAGCATTGAGAGAGTGTTGTAGTGTGATGGTAATAATTTAAGATGCTACATTGGCAATTTTGCAGCTATAATTGTTCCTTGCAAAGAATCAAGCGAAATGGACACAGGTCATATCTGCTTAGTGACAGGACAAGGGTCATTATTTGGATGATTCTGTGACGTTAACCCACTTACAGAGGATCCGGATATAGACGAGATGCCACTCCAGGGACTTACCTAGATCTTCTCAGAGGCTGATATTTATCCCTGAAGTAAATGTCAGTAATAATTCCCAAATTGGAATTATAATTTGCCAAATCATATTATAGTAATAACTGATGTTATTTCTTTACAGAGGTGACTTGTATTTCACTGACAACAGGACCAATAAACAAGAAGAGGCTTTGATGTTTAGTTTTACATTTTTCGTTGAATGAAATATTAAGACAGATATACCCCTTAATTTAAGAAAATAAGGATTTTTGAGAAAATCCCAATTGTGAAAGAATTATGTATGTTTTTCTCCAAGTCTGTCTTAATTTGCACTTAGTTTGCAATCCTAGATAATCCCGGATCTCAGAAACACCCTGTGCCACAAACCATTTTGCCACCTATGTACTGGTTGGTAGAAGCATCAAATAAGTGAGTGAGTGAGTATGGTTTTATGCTGCTTTTATCAGTATTCCAGCAATATCATGGCAGGGGACACCAGAAATAGGCTTCAACTAAAACCAAGGTAGAAAGGGAGGGTTAGGTGAGGAGAAATGGGGTTTAACGTCACGTCCAAGATTATTGCACTTATATAGCGACGTGCATGCACGTGTATGTGTGTGTGTGTGGCTGCTTGTACTAGTCCAGACTGGGGCCGATTTATAGTGCTAGCACACTGAGATACCATGCCGCAGTTTAACATGAATACCCCACTCAGACACAGTATACTGACTCCGAGCCCACCAGTCCTTGTTTTAGCCCCTTAATGCCGAGCGCCAGACAGGGTAACAACAAGTACCATCTTTTAACGTCTGAAAGAAAGGGTTAAAGACTTACATGTGAGAGCTGGCTGATTCTTCCCTGGTTCCGGTTTAACCTCCGACTGAGGTCCATATCCTGGCTTGCCATCCACTTGCTGACTTGGCGGACTAGCTTCACGTGTCAACATAACATTCCGGAACTCAATCTTTGCTTGCTGCATGAATGTCACAAGAAGCTGCACTGGGTTTGGTTCTGAAAATATGAATTATTATCAAGTTTACTATGGTCAATATTAATGTGATCGTACTAACAAATGTTACAATGTGGTTACCACTTTGTAAGTCAAGGCAAAACCCTGGTTTATCCATTGTTACATCCCCACTGAACATTGCTGAAGTGTGTACGGTGTCTTACCAGGCATTTCCTGCTGTAGGTGATCTTCCAGTAGATTTTCATTGAGAACAAACTCATACCACATCACTGCTGGGAGGGCTATAGGCCCCAGGGACCCGCCCCCACGGGAAACTACTTGACTCTCAGTCATCCTTCTCTGGAAAGTGAAAAAAAATATCAGGTTTAAACAGGATGTCATCATGACCTTGTCCACTCCTTCAATTACTATAGTACATCCTTCATTCAGACAATATATAAATCACAGACAATATATAAATCAAGACCCATGAAGATCTGTGTAGAGAATATGAGTATGCGAAGATATGATAGAAATCATAAAATATTTTGTCATTGACCATGGACAGGACCAAGTAACTAATAATGATAACAAACAAACTCACAGACAAGGCCCAGTTTTTTGAGAATTTGTTTATTACATGGTCCTGTGTTTAGATGACAGGTAAACCTTGTAATGTGCTTTAAATACCACACTATTCAATCACATGCAACAGGTCATATTGTTAGTAAACAGTGTCAAATTCAAAATTCTGAAAAGGATAACAAGGAACACTGATGTAGTCTCCCAAGTTGTAAATTGAGGGGCTAGATTTGACAAAATTTGTGATCACCTGAGCTCGTTTGTTTTGGTATGCAATTTAATTCGCTTTCATTGCGTTAATAAATACTTTCTATGATCCGGCACATGTTACATGTTTTCTTATTGACACGAACTTAATATTCACAGCAAAATATTACTTCATTTTGACTCCTTTAGCGTCATTGGTTCACAGGAAGTGAAGAGTCGGTGCGTGAAAGTTATAAAGAGAAAAAGATAGCGAATAACACGAAATTAAATAAATTATCGTCTACATAATAGCATACATTATGATAAAAATATTAATACAATACTGCTAGACCTTTGTCATTAGTTATTGTTATTATATACACAACATTTATCAGAACGTCATTTTCTATGAAAATATAATCTTTTACTATAGCTCATATTTGGTTCGTTCTTTTACATGCAACCTAAACCGGAAGCACACTAGTGCAAATGTAATGGCGTCGGAAATGTCAAAACAAGATGAGAACACCAGTGTCATAGCAGAGTTTCTAAGCACAGAGGTAACCATTTCTATTGAACTTCGACTGTGGCGTAAGGTAGAATATAGTGACTACATGCGGGAAGTTTGTTTGATATTTGCATTTTGAGGAAGGAAGGTGTCAGGCGAGATGCGAATGCTGTAAATGGGATATTCATTATCGTACTACGATTCGGAGGATAAGACATCTAGTCTAGATATGTTTGCAGCAATTTCGTAAATAAATCGAGGAGTTAACTTATGTTTCTCATATTTATTATTAGACGTTGTTATAAGACCACTTTAATACCACACCTACCCGGTCGAGCAAATATGCTTCTGATCAATTGAGGAGTAATTATCAATGATTTAGTATTATCATGATTATGGCAATCAGCAAAATCAAATTGAGCATTTTGGTTCAAAGGAAATGATGATTCAGTTTGTTAACCCTTAATCCTTAAACCATTAGTCAATAGATGGGTAGGCATATTGTGTTTCGTATCCTAGCTCAGGTGTAAAATCATAATGAACAAATGATGAATACCTGACTTAAATCTTCTGAACGTGAAAAATGATGCAAAAGAAAATATTTTGGACAGTTTGATTTTTCACTGACTGCAGCATCCTCAATTATCATGATTGTCATGCATTTGTTATAATATATACCCATAATGGGATCAGGTGGTCAGGCTCGCTGACTTGGTTGATGTATGTCATCATATCCCGAATTATGTGGATTGATGCTCATGATGTCAATCACTGGATTGTCTGGTCCAGACTCGATTATTTACAGACTGCTGTCATATAACTGGAATATTGCTGAATGCGGCATTCAGAAACAAACAAACATTCTGATATCATGATTATGATTGTTATAACCATGATAACGGAATGGTGATAATCGAGGATGTTTATCATTCAATATTATTTATTAATGCTGAACACTGGTATGGGTGTTATGTTTCAGTATGCCAAATGTATGATGTGTGATGGATTCTATGGGTGTAACTTCGGCCAGCCAGTGTGCAGTACCTGCCATCTGTTCCTGTTTTCTGTGGACATAAACAAGGGTGATGGAGAGGCAGAGGTGTACACCGAGGTCAGTAAAATACACCCTACCCCTGTGGAGAACTAACAAGAATTGGTTCTCAGGCAATGGCTTTTGAGGATATAGTGCGGATGGATGGTGTTTTCTTTTATTTTTTGGAGGGGTTGTTTAGGCTAGAATGTACAGTGATGTTACCAAATTTTGTTTAAATTTTTTTCAGTGAAATCATGTCGTTCATAAGTATTGTGGAATTTCACTGCTGGGGTTGTGTGTTCTAGACACAGAATATTTAAAGTTGTTTTAATTTTTATTTTTAAACATGGAAATAAAAATGAAACATGCAGCGTACTTTATGATGATGCGGGCAGTTCCTGAGAATCAAGACTAATATTGTTACCCTAATTGAAAGATAGCACAATTATTTTGAAATTCCAGAAGGCAGATTCGGATGATTCTGGCAATGAGGAGCCAGGTGCCGAGGCGGACTTCTACCCTAAACAAGAACCAGTGATGAAGACATACAAGTCATCCTTTAGTTGTAAGATGGACAAGCTTGCCGAGAGAATACAGACTCTAACCCTGCCACGAGAGAGAGATGACAATGTCCCAGATGGACTCGTGGACTCGTTGCCACCGGAGGGTAACTCATGTTAATTTTCTGATCTCAATCTGAGGTTATCATAGGCCCTTGTCTGTTGTCGTCCATCTGAGATATGAACCAAATGTGACCTTTTCCTACATTATATATCAGCAGTCAAGTGCTTTAGTGGTTAGCAGAGTATTATCAGTACAGAAATGAAACAACTTGCATAGAGGTCATTCTGAAAAGGGAATAGGGTCATCCTAATGATGGGGAGTGTATTTGTTCAAGACATGACGAGCATCCTCACAACTCTAGTTTTAAACCTCTGATACTCTGGTTTTACAGTTACTGTCAACATGGTCCAACATATTACGGTTTCAGGATATCCACAAATACAAGGACGCATGATGCAAGAGCAAAAACTGAGGTGTCTTGATCATGTTGATATGGTTGATGAAAGGAATTCCATTAAAAATGCTAAGGACATTCTTTGAACGTGGTACAACCCATTCTGTGGATGTGACTTTACCAACATGGTAGGGTGTGTCTGAATGAATAGACAGCCCAGATAAGCACATCTCTGTATATTACAGGGGTTGATTTAACTGCTGGCCTGTTAGCCTGTGGCCAGTTAAAATCATAAAGGGCTTGCTGATACAAATTTTCACCCCTTATCCGTGTATGTTTAATTTTTTTAATCATGAATCATGAGAAAATATTGAGGTCTGGCGAATGGTTAACTCAAAGAAAGATATATACCGATCATCTCGGTAGAAAGACAACCTGTTTGCCATTTTCATTTTTGTAATGATGTGTACAACAACATCTTTATTTGCTGATAAATCACGACGAAATGAGGATAATTGAAGTCAAGATTTAATCTCAGAGTGCAGGAAAAGGTGTTTCAGGGGTGTGGAGTTCTAAAATGTTCAGAGCCCTGCTGAGTGGCAACATGACCACAGGTTTGGCCACTCGCGGCCTCCACCATTTCCAACATTTAGTTGTAGGCCAGTAAACCCTGCTGGCTACATGCCAATTTGTTGTTATAACTACACTTGTGTTATACATCTTTCCTGCAGTGTTGCTGGTGGTGTTCAGTCACCTGGACGACATCTCACTGTGGACAGCGGGCAGTGTGTGTTCAAGGTGGAAGGAGATACTGGAAGGGGAGACAACTGAGACCCAGTGGCAGACATTCATCCGATTACGATGGCCTCTTTTTCAGCCGCAGTATAAAGTCAATTGCTGGAAAACTATATACACAAAACTGTAAGTAGAGTGACAAGATATCTTGTTATTCCATGAACATGGTGAAGTATTTATGTAAGTGTGATGTAGACTGGGCATACACAAGTCCACATCAGAGTTGCATCCCTTAATATCAGGATTCACTAATTATGAAGTGAGTGAGTTAGGTTTAAAGCCGCTTTTAACAGTATTCCAGTTATATCGGGGCTGTCAGCTTAATGTGGGAGGAAAGCACGAAGTGATGCAGGTCTCAGACGTTTACCACTTCGGTGAAACCCATGAGCAAGGGTATGGTGCTGACAAATCTAGAAACATAATCGGAGTGAACCATGATTCAAACCCACAATCACAGGTTTCTGGCATGCCCAAGGGACGCAACTCCACCCATGCCCCTGCTAATTATGAAGCTAGGGCTGTTAGAAACCTACCTGTGCTTGTGGGTTTCACCAAAATTATGAAGGTTTTACCAAGTTGGTAAATATTTTTCCTCCCACATTAAAGGACACAGCATAATATAAGAATAAGAACATAAGTACTTTTCAAAGCATTATACTCAAATCTCTTATATAGAGAATGTGCAAGTATCGATCTTCAGAATTTAAACCGTACCCATTGTTGTTTATTGAAGTGTATTTTGTGTCTCTTTCAGGTTAGAGAGTTCACCATGTCGATACTGTCTAGAAAGCATGATGTTACAGGTACCTCATCTCTTGAATTTCCATTGTCTGGTCTTGATAGTATCATCTTCCAGAGGCAAGGGAGTTAACTGACTGTAAAAGTCCATTTTCCACCCTTGCCGAACTAGGCTGCAATTATGGAGTTACATTTTGGCTGGACTAACGAGTCCATGCATAGTCCAATCAAACCGGACTAGACATCCGGTTCGTAAGCAACATGGATTTCAATGAGCAGATTTGGGTGGACTGCAGGATTTGTAAAGCATGTGTACTGCCAGCGGGGCGTCGGCAGATATTTTGCAAATTCTTCATATTTTTAATCAAAGTGCTCAAGTGATTTGATGCATTTCGTGGGGTAAGACCCGTTTTATTACAAATATGTAACAATACAGATCTTGACTATGGAACAGATCGTCTTGACTGGGCGTGCTGTTTTGTGATATGAGAGGTGGAATCTGATTGGTCAATAGGAAGAACATAGAAGGGACATGACTTGTAGTAGTCACTGGTTGCGCTACGATCAAGTCTTGGAAATTCCAGCCTTTGCCTCGGGAAGATGGATAGTATATACAGTGTTACTTATTCTCTTACTTATGCTGGAGAGTTAGCATAAACGATTTGATGAAATTATTTTTGTCATTGTGAATAGTGTGCATCTGTTTGAGGTGGAGCCAGAAGGCAATGTCTTTTTGCAAAACTTAATGAGGTTCGTCAAACCATTTTGTGTTTTGAAATCATGCACTTCCATGATGTTCGAGATCTGATTTTGTGTCGTAAGTTGGAAGTGAGATGCTGTGATTCCAGGTCTGTACAACTGCTGAGAGCAGCAGTAGGGTAGCCTTGTGGTTAGTGGTTTGCTTTGTCACACCAACAACCTGTGTTTGATTCCCTACATGGGTACACATCCTTGGGTGACATCAATCCCAACTCCCTTAGTCACTACTAATGCTGAGCAATGTTACCATGGTTACAGAGCACACCACCTATAGAGGAGAACTCATGGCGTCACCGACGACTACGCAGTGAGCTGAAGACACTAAAGACAGACCCCCCTGAGGGAATACAGGCCACCCCCCTAGACCGACATTGTTGCCACTGGCAGGCCTCCATCACCGGCCCCCAGGGCAGTCCATACGAGGGAGGGATCTTTCTCCTGTATCTTCAGATACCACAGAGGTAGGTCTCCCATCTGATAAAAATGTCTCCAGATACCACAGAGGTAGGTCTCCCATCTCATAAAAATGTCTCCATATACCAAAGAGGTAGGTCTCCAATCTCATAAAAATGTCCCAAGATACCCCAGAGGTAGGTCTCCCATCTCATAAAAATGTCTCCATATACCACAGAGGTAGGTCTCCAATCTCATAAAAATGTCCCAAGATACCCCAGAGGTAGGTCTCCCATCTCATAAAAATGTCTCCATATACCACAGAGGTAGGTCTCCCATCTCATAAAAATGTCTCCAGATACCCCAGAGGTAGGTCTCCAATCTCATAAAAATGTCCCAAGATACCCCAGAGGTAGGTCTCCCATCTCATAAAGATGTCTCCAGATGCCACAGAGGTAGGTCTCCCATCTCATCTGTATTTGTAGTATACTTTGATACCAATGAAGCTGAATATTTGCATGGAAGGTCCCAGTAATGTTTTCCAAATGCTCACTAAATTTAGATCTGAGCTCAAGTGCAGCTGTCAGAATCTAGGTCAGATGACGGAGATTCATCCTTCCAAAATGTTTTATTTTAGCATCTTTTATGTCAAAATTTGTAGTCCATTTGCTTCATGTGCAACAAGCTTTTTCATCAAAACAATGTCCTTGATATCATTTCAACCAATCAAAACAGAAAGATGAACATAGATACATAGAGCTTTCTACATTTATTGCAGCTATCCCATGCGACCACCTAAAGTCCGATTCATCACAAAGATATTTCACCCAAACATCAGTCGCCATGGAGACGTAGGTTTAGACTCAATCCATCACAACTGGAGCTTAGCTCTGACAATTTCCAAAGTGCTGATCAGCATCCAGTCCCTGCTGACGGACCCCTACTGTGCAATCTGCATGGAGCCCCGGATCGGCGGACTGTACCAACACAACAGGGCGGAGTTCGACAGGATAGCCAGGCTGTGGACGTGGAAGTACGCCATGCACGACTTCCTCATGCCAATGAACATCAACCTGAAGGGGGTGTGACGCCTGGCAACGTGTGATGTATGTGTTGCCATGGCGACAAGGTGTAGCTAATGAACATCAACGAAAGGGTGTGTGATGCCTGTCAACATGTGATGTATGTGTTACCATGGTTTCCAGGTGTAGCAAATGAACATCGACCTGAAGGGGGTGTGACGCCTTGCAATGTGTTATGTATGTGTTACCATGCAACAAGGTGTGGCTAATGAACATCAACGAAAGGGTGTGTGATGCCTGGCATCGTGCGATGTATGTGTTACCATGGCTACTAGTTGTAGCAAATGAACATCAACCTGAAGGGGGTGTGACGCCTGGCAACGTGTGATGTATGTGTTACCATGGCTACTAGGTGTAGCTAATGATCATTAACGAATGGGTGTGCGATGCCTGGCAACATGTGATGTATGTGTTGCCATGGCTACCAGGTGTAGCCAATGTACATCAACAGGAGGGCTGTGTGACGAATGGTAACATGTGATGTATTTGTTACTTTGGCTACCGGGTGTAGCCAATGAACATCAATCTGAAAGGTGTGTGAAGCCTGTGATGTGTGGTGAATCTGTACCCATGGTTACCTTATATTCTTCATGAACATCAACCTGAAGGTGTGTGACACTGGTGAAGCATAGCAACATGGGATCATCTGAAAATTAATGTAACCATGGATACCTGGCTTAACTCACGGCTACTATTGACTTGAAAACGGGTTGAGGTCCAGTAAAGTGTTTGTGGTTAGCATAGCCCTTCAATCAAAAAGACTACTAAATGTGAAGCATGTTTTTTGGTCATTAAAAGTGTATGTGTTTACAGTAACCATGGTCAATCCACAAGTATTTTTCTGCAAGTGTACATGTACTTTGATGTTTGCCATGGTGACATGGTATATCTCATGAACACAGACTATGTGTATTCATTGTTTGTGTTATCTCCATGGTTACCAGGTATAGCTCATGAACCTAGGCAGTGTGTATTCATAGTTTGTGTTATCACCATGGTTACCTGGTATAGCTCATTGACATTGACAGTGTTTATTCATAGTTTGTGTCACAATGGTTACCATGGTTGCACAGTAACAAATGTTTTTCAGATTTCTAATAAGTACAAACTTTCGGTTGCAAAAAATTGTATTGATTTTTGTACCAGCATGGGACTTGTCAATGGTGGATTTGTCTCAGCAAGAGTAAGTGGGTTTGTGTTTAACCATGTGAACGCTACTGTGAAAACTATTTTAGTTGTCATGCTAATGTCATGGCATGTCAGCCTGATGTGGGGAAAAACTAAGAAAAACTAGAAAAACCTCCTAGATATTGCTCATTACATACACCACTGGGCTTGCATTCCATACAAGTCAGCGGTAGAAACTAACATTATGATCCTTATACTGATAACCAAAACAATACAGTTACTGTTACCATGGTTATGTGGTTTCCTCCAGGGGCTTATTTGTCAGTCTATCAGGATTCATGTTTGTCCTACCATCAGATCATGGAGTCCTGGATTCAGTTCCTATGGTTGGTGTTGTCTGGATGTTTCTGTTCCAAACATGCCAAAAGTGCTCAGTCAGGATTGTAGATTACCATGGTTACAGTGGCTACAATATTTACCATTCCTGTTGTGTCCACATTGCTACACACTTATGTAACATCCTTCTAGTGGGGTGGTGGGTAGTCTAGTAGATAAAGCATTCACTCGTCTTGTGAAGGCCCAGACTTGATTCCCCACATGGGTACAATGTGTGAAGCCCATTTCTGGTGTCCCCTGCTGTGATATTGCTGGAATATTGGTAAAGATGGAGTAAAATCTGACAAATTAACTCCTACTGGGAGTCAAACTATAGTTAGTTTGAATACTACCAACTGGTAATGACGAAAAATGGTACCATTAAACAGTAGGTCACTGGAACATTTGGCTGTATATTTCCCAAACAAATACCTGCGCAATGGGTGGAAGACAGAACAGCACCGATTACAACCAGAACAACTCTGTAGTCAAACTGACACTGTGATAGACACTCTCCTAATTTGGACATCTTCAACAGACAGGAAATAAAAAAAAATAGCTTAAGTTGTCATGGTTATGCAATTGTAAGTTTCATGATCAGGTGTACTTCACATAGTTCACTATCTCATGGATCAGAAAAATGCACACATTTGAGATAACTTCCTCACTACATTAACTCTTCACCTTAACAAAGAAATATTACTGTCAATGTTTTGGTTCTAGTCATTAATAATCATTGTGATTCCACTATTAACATGATTAAGAACCTTGCAATTTCATTGGTTAATTCTTACCGTGTGACGAAACAATACAATTCAACGTAGACCCCGACTGACTCTGACCGAATATTCGAATATTGACTTGCACATGATGAATATTGACCTGTCAAATGATGAATATTGACCTGTCACATGATGAATATTGACCTGTCAAATGATGAATATTGACCTGTCACATGATGAATATTGACCTGTCAAATGATGAATATTGACCTGTCACATGATGAATATTGACCTGTCACATGATGAATATTGACCTGTCACATGATGAATATTGACCTGTCAAATGATGAATATTGACCTGTCAAATGATGAATATTGACCTGTCACATGATGAATATTGACCTGTCACATGATGAATATTGATTCGCCTGCTAGAAAACAAGATGGAGTCTGGTATAAATGTTTCACGGTTCGCAGCTAAGTTACTGTAATGAAACAGAGGACGGTTTAAAGGCTTCATAAACTTTAAGGTGAATTCAGATATAACAAAAGGAATGATTATTCTTGACAATCAAGGTCAATATGCAAAACAAGGACCCTCGGACCTCACCACTCTGGCGGTCTGACCACCTCAGGTTGGGTCCTTGTGTCCTTGTTTTTGCATATTGACCTCGTCAAGAGTAATTTGTATACTGTTGACCGGTAGAATTAGTCATAGGACAGGTCAAATTCTCATTTGCACCTGCCCTATGGTAAAACAAAGATTAAACTCAGTCTAGCAAATGTTCATTTTGTCCCACTGTTCCTGGTACTACTCTAGACAGTCTGTTCCCATGTTGGGTCCAGACCAATGAATATTTTTGAAAATGAGACTCCCTACATACTGGGAGAAACATTAACAGCTCTGTTGATATGCATCCTATTAATTGAGTTTATATATTGTTTTAATGACTTGAATAGCACCTGCCAAGACTGTCACTTAAGCGTTGTCCATATTCAACTATAGTTGTAGCAACTGGACAACGACTTGTTTTCCAGGGGGACTATGCTTCAGGATAATTTGCTATCTGAGTCAAGATTTTGAAGTTCTTCCGCGACTGATACTGACTCATTTGTCTTTGTATTTAGGAACAAAGTTATCTATTAGATTGATGTTCATCCCAAATTTTGAGTTGATAGACAGACAAAGGGATGTTTGAACAGTTTGAACTAGACAAGACAAGACTCCCCAATTTGCCTGAGTCTCGACTCCTTTCCGATATGCTCACATACAAGTGATGTTTGGGTTTAGTGGACTAAAATGAGGACTGTCGTTAATTCGTCTTCTATGGAATAATGATATACTACTCAAAGAAAGTAGAAGAACACCTGATTCTTTCTTATTTGGGGTGGTCGGGTAGCCTAGTGGTTAAGGCATTCGCTCGTCACGCCGAAGACCCAGGATTGATTCCCAACATGGGTACAATGTGTGAAGCCCATTTCTGGTGTCCCACGCAGTGATATTGCTGGAATATTGCTAAAAGCAGCGTAAAACCATACTCACTCACTCTTATTACTATAGTTGCCACTGGCAAGCCATGACAGATTAACTATAGTAATATGAAAGCATCAGCTGGTTCTTACCTTCTTTTGAGTAGTACATGTGCAATCAGGTCGCAATGCTCACAATGTGTTTTGTTAACTGGAATTTCAAAGCATGCTTTGTTCAGTTATCCGGTTACAATATTCACCATGCTTGTCACTGGCAGAATATGTTTTGTGAACACTGCTTGAAAATAACATTGTCTTGATATGCTAGATGTAAGTATTTTCATGCAAGCCGACCATGCAGTTGATGATGTCTGGGGCATTATGAGACATAGCTGGTTGTCAGGTAATCCTTCTCCAGACCTGTGGGCAGGCAGCCACTCGTATGGTTGGGGAAAATGTGAACAAATAAAGAACAACTATGTTCATCCCTCCATGTATCACCTCACCGCCTCCGTGGTCTCGTGGTAGAGCGTCCGCCCGGAGAGCGGAAGGTCCGGAGTTTGATCCCCGGCTGCGTCATACCAAAAGACGTTAAAGACGCTCGGCATTAAGGGGCTAAAACAAGGACTGGTCGGCTCGGAGTCAGTATACTGTGTCTGAGTGGGATATTCATGTTAAACTGCGGCATGATATGTCAGTGAGCTAGTGCTATAAATCGGCATCAGTCCGGACTAGTACAAGCAGCCACACACACACACGTGCATGCATGTCGCTATATAAGTGCAATAATCTTGAGCGTGACGTTAAACCCAATTTCACCTCACCTACATCATGATATATGTTTATCTAGCCATCCTAAGGATTTCTGTAACTCATTGGAAAAGCAAGAAGTGTGAAATTGTTTTAACTATTATGAGGATTATTATCATCTGCAAATATGCTGGAAGAATTCAAATGTATCTTAATTATTTATCTTGCCTTTTTCTAAACATTATTGAACGCTTTATTTAACCTGCTAAACACAAGAAATACTTCTGGAGCTTTAGAAATTCACCTGTAGACATGGTAGAAGAGAGGACTTCTGTTAAATTTGGGATTTTTTTTAACTGTCTTCTTGAACCATTTGTTCTAATCTTGTTAATGTTGTTGTCATGGTGACCAGTTGCGGCAGAATCAAAATGGAGCTTCTGATGCCATGAACTATTAATCCTTAGATCGTGTGTATAGTATATACAAGGTGCATTTGAATGATATGAATGGCATTTAAGTATCTCTTCAACTTGCCAAACATCCTCCGTCCATCAGGGTAAGAGGATTCACCATTGTCCTAAGAAGTGACTGAATGGATTGTTTGGTGAGACTCGGTGACTTTGTTGATATAGAGAATGTCTTTTGATATCAAATATATCAACACGAGTTGATAAAAGTGGGAAAACTCTGAGGCTTGCTGATGATTTTTTCCACTTTTATCATAAGTGTTGATATAATTGATATCAAAAGACACGAGGGTGAGATTTTATTTATCACCCAACATCATTCTTCCAAATTTTTCAGTTTATAGACAGTCATAAGCAGTGTCTTAAGTGTAAAAAGTACTACTAACAGCTTCAGTAGCAGAGCCATTAGTGATGTCATTTGATTGTGACGTCATGGTAACCACTGATGTCACAATGGTCTGCAAAGCATTGTGATGCAATTTCATTGCAGTGATATCTACACTGTAGATATCGCTTGATCTCACCCAAGCGATATCTCCTGTGGGAGCCAGTTTTGGATGATAAAGGGTGTTGTTTCCCAACAGTGTGGGTCTTTCCTCACGATATCAGTAGCTGGATTGTCTGATCCAGATGCTATCATTTACAAGCTGTCATCGTAAACAACACGACTACTATGATGCTACGCTTTCATTATGTACATGTATATGTCATGGATGTGAGATGCAGCCCGATGGTAGGGCACATGACCTATTTTTGCTCTTGTGCAGGTCTTTCTGTAATGTTCCCACAACTGTAATGCATAATGAAGCAGTTCGATTATGTGTGAATATCCCAATCCTAGACCTATAAATATAACTTACAATGACCTGCCTACATTGAGAGGCCAGCAAGCTATTACATTGAAGTGGGAAATTGACAAAAGAGGCGTAAGAACACGAGTTGTATCCCTTTGTTACGTCATAGCTGAATGATGTCACTCCCGTGATGTCATCACAGGCAGGACGTCAGACCACAATGGGATTGTACATTAATGTTGTAAATATATCTGCTGAATATTAGACCGGCTGCATATTAGACCGGCTACATTCACACACACAGAGACAAACACACATACACACACATACACACAGTGGACCCATGAAGATGCCGGGTAGAATAGGTCTTCAGCAACCCATGCTTATCGTAAGAGGCGACTAACGGGATCGGGTGGTCAGGCTCGCTGACTTGGTTGATGCATGTCATCGTATCCCAACTACGTGGATCGATGCTCATGTTTTCAATCACTGGATTGTCTGGTCCAGGTTATTTACAGACTACCGTCATATAGCTGGAATATTGCTGAGTGCGGCGTTAAACAACAAACGAACAAACACACACACACACAGTGTCACACACAAATACAGATAATCGCATACAGACGTCCATACGGAGTCACTCGTACACACTCGGTCTTACACAACAGCCGCGCTGCAGTCCTACATACGAGTGTGCATTCGGAGACACGGGAACACACAGTGTCATACACAATCACACAGATGTACACACAGCCACTCGTGCACACTCGGTGTTACAATTAGACTCGCTGCAGTCCTACATACGAGTGTCCATACGCAGACACACGCACACACACGCACACACACACACACACACACACACACTCACACCTTCACTCCCAGTCACACGCATTCACATACACACATATAGTCACACTGAATATCCGGATCAGAATTGGTCTTCAGCAAGCCGTGCTTGTCATAAGAGGCGACTGACAGGACCAGGTGCTCAGGCTTGCTGACTTGGTTGATGCATGTCATCGTGCATCTTCCCGAGGCAAGATAGTCAACTGACTTTAAAAGTCCAGTGGAAACTGGACTTTTAAAGTCAACTAACTCACTTGCCCCGGGAAGATGATTATCGTGTCCCAATTGGTTAGATCGGAGCTTATGATGTCAATCATTAGATTGTCTGGTACAGACTGGATCATTTACAGACCGCTGCCATATAGCTGGAATATTGCTGAGTGCGGTGTTAAACAGCAAGCACACAGTCACACCAAGATCCACCAACCAGATACGAAGGGGCATACTTTGCATTCATTACCCCACATGACTGACGATGAATAACAATCTGCTATTTCAGTAAGTTGTAATGTATGCTTGGTATGGTACAGTGCAGTCGACATGGTCACGTGTACAGCAATGTTTAAGCAATATATAATATATTTTCCCTTGTTAGTACTGTTGATGGTGTCCCCCTTTTGCTAATCATTTGATAGATGTATGGTGTCTACATGTGGTTGTGTACCATATTTGTTTTGTGCTCAAATGCCCTGCTGTTTTGAGAAATGTATTTAATTTTGGTATATTAAATATACTGAGAAGATCCCTTTGTTTCTTGTATTTGCGAACACAGTTCTGTCCAAATGTTTTGGGTGTTTTTCGCGGATGTGATAACATTGTTTGGCTTCCTTCCACATTAGGTTGACAAACCGTGCTATGGCATGACGGATGAAGTATAGTGAAATGAAAGAATCGTGTGTTTTAACATCTTTTTAGTAGTATATATAAACATTACTTAAAGAAGAATTAGGGGGCACGGGTGGCCCAGTCGTCTAAGGCGCCGCGATTCGCTGTGCAGAGTTGCGTCCCTTGGGCTCGCCAGAAACCTATGATTGTGGGTTCAAATCCCGGTTCGCCCCGATTATGTTTCTAGGTTTGTCAGCACCATACCCGTGCTCGTGGGTTTCACCGAAGTGGTAAACGTCTGAGACCTGCATCACTTCGGGCTTTCCTCCGACATTAAGCTGACACGCCGCGATATAACTGGAATACTGTACTGTTAAAAGCGGCGTTAAACCCAACTCACTCACTAATTAAAGCAGAATTAAACCCAACTCACTCACTTCAATTTCAAGCAGATGAAGAGTTGGAGCAAAGGTAGGAGAGCATCATTCTGTAGATTATTGATAACCCCAACAGTTACTGACCATGGGGGTAAGTAAAGCAGGACAAATGTATTGCATTCTGTTTCCTTGTAGTGAGAACTAAAACCAGTAGGTGTAACAGATTTAAAGGAAAAACGAGTTGTGAGGAATTGTGAATAATCGGTCAAGATTGCTGGGTTGGATTTGGTCCTTGGCAACCCATGCATATTTATGAGGCGAATTAGTGGATCGGGTGGTCAGGCTCGGCGAAGGTCGTTGCTGATAATATCAATCACTAGATTGTCCCAGACTCGATTGTGTACTGGCAGCCATCATTAGCTAGAATACTGCTGAATGGTGTGTTTATCAACAAACGAACACAAGACGAATGCGTTATGTAAGTCCAAATGTTTCACCCACTGTGTTCAGATCCGACCCCGGAGCAGGCTCCTCTATATGTTACTTATTCTCTTTCCAAGAAGTAGATTGAACATGAATATGTGAAATGTCAGCCTCACAGACACTGAAGTCGGACTATTTGCACTCCGTGCAAACATCTTAATACACCAACGTAAGTATCCATCTCCATCAAATACATGATTATGTCTGTGTCTAGAGGACAACATAGCATTACCGATTCCCGATGCTTTGAGGGTCAGTCGGGTAGCCTAGTGGTTAAAGCGTTCGCTCGTCACGCCGAAGACCCGGGTTCGATTCCCGACATGGGTACAATGTGTGAAGCCCATTTCTGGTGTCCCCTGCCGTGATATTGCTGGAATATTGCTAAAAGCGGCGTAAAACCATACTCACTCACTCCGATGCTTTGAAGAATTTGCGCTGTTTAATTCTTTTGAGAGACTGTAGAGTATGGTCCAAACAAGGTCCAAATTTAACTAATGAAAAGACGACAACCAAATATGTGTTTGAGTATCAAGTTCATGACATTTTGAAAACACGGACAGAACTGCTTATAAATAGCTTTTTCAATATGACTGCCGTGTCGTCATTGGCAGGAACAAGTATGTGAATTTGGAGCTTCATTGGTGCAGTTGTTTCTGCGGAGGCGCACACCGGATGCCGGACAAAAAGGCCTCGACATTATCTCAAAAAAAGCTTGGTTCCCTAGAAACAGTGTTATAGCAGAGTGCGACCATTGGCAAAATGACTTATATTGATTGAAAGATGGAGTATTTTAAGTTTTCGTAATTACAGGTTTTTCATCTGACTAATAAACTTTGAAAATCTCTCACATGCAAATCTTTTAATTACGGAAACTTAGAATACTCCATCTTTCAATCAGTATAAGTCATTTATGCAGAATATATTTAAATATAAACGCTGATAGTAACATTTGTCAAGTGGCTGTCCTTCTTGACATTTTAAATTGTTGACTATACATCCACGTGAGCTACAATGCCGTGGTACTATGGTGAAATTTGAGAGTATTCGTATCAAAACCAACAGCGGTCGGGGCACGGGTCCCAGACTCATCAATTCACCGTGCAGAGTTGCGTTTCTTAGACGCCGAAGGATCCTATGAACCTGAGGGTCGAATTCTAAAGTTCCACCAAAATGGTAAACGTCTGAGGCATGTATCACTCAGGGGTTTTCCTCACGGAGAAACTGGCTTGGTTTGGTTTGGTTTGTTGTTTAACGTCGCACTCAGCAATATTCCAGCAATATGACGGCGTTCTGTAAATACTCGAGTCTGGATCCAACAATCAAGTGATGGACATCATGAACATCGATCCACACAATTGGGATACAATGACATGCATCAACCAAGTCAACGAGCCTGACCACCCGATCCCGTTAGTCGCCTCTTACGACAAGCATAGTCGCCTTTTACCGCAAGCATGAGTTGCTGAAGACCTATTTTACCCCGGATCATCACGGGTAGAAATTGGCACGCCTGATATAAACCCAACTTAATCACTCAGTGAAAGTTAAAATTTAACGTCGCATCGAAATTATTTCAGCCATATAGCGACCAATCACTCTTTCAACAAAGTTCATATAGTCTCTCAAAAAAGTCAAGGCCATTCAAAAATAACATGATTACAGAAATACAAAGAGATATCGAGTGATGGTGATGGATGGATAATAAGACGGAGGGACTTGGTGTAACCTGACAATCAACATACCACGTTTGCTGCGTATTCTCAGGGTGCACACAACTAAGAAAGACGCGGGGTGTGTTGTAAAAAGTTAACGTTTTAGATGACTTGATCAATAACGGGTCATGTCCCCACGATTGGTCTAACATTCGTTTATTCGGCGTGGCATGGTCCGAAATAATCTTCCAGACAATTTGAGAGAGTTTTGTCCACCTCTCTTGCAGCACCTGACCCAGTTCGGCTAACGTAGCGGCTGACCTTTGACGTCGGCGTGCACGTTTCCCGATCATATCCGCGACGTGCTCTATATATGGGGAAAGGTCAAGGCTCATGGCTGGTCATTGCATTCTTGTGAATGTTTTGCTGCTGGAGGTATTCCGTCCGCGTCGTTTGTATTAAGTGGGTGATTGATTATTGTTTTACCCATAGCCTTCCCCCAAATCATTATTAATTTAACTTTAAGAACCAAATGAACATGTTATCATGGGAGGCAATGCGCATACAAACTGTCATCAGAATGATTGATGTAATAAGGAGGGATGGCCACTCCTAGAATCCCCACCCCCACCCTTCCCCTTTCTGGTCCCACCACTGCCAAGTACTTATATGTAAGGCCGTTATTGTTAATGGTTGTACGGATTTGGGGATATTTTTTAGAAACTCTAAATGATCAATTTTCCAACAATCCTTTTCTTCAATTAAGTTTTCATTTATAACGTGGAAACATTCCGTAAACAAAGTAATTGACAATACCACTACATATACGAGGGGCAGCAGGTTACCCCCTTCCCTCGACTTTCCACGGCATTGTTTCTTCTTCGTTTTTATCTGAAGCAGTCCGAGGGGGTGTCAAGTTTCCCGCCATCACTTGCCACTAATTACCTACAGGAAACTGGAGCCTGTCTCTCCATCACCGCAACAGCTGGTCGGGAGGACAACGCGTGCTAGCAGGGCTTGACAATGTGTATTGTAGCAATGAATGTCACCGCGCTCTGTACATGGAGTCCAGAGTTGGAAGAAACTTGTTGATAATGAAGTGGCTTTTGTTGGTGATTGTTGGACTAGCGACTTGTAAAACCTCACAGGCGGATTACAGAGACGATGCTGCAGATGTAAGTTGAAATATTCTTGAAAGGTTTATTCAATTAGGAAACCGATCGATTAGTTAATAATGATGTACTCTGATGACTCTATATCGCGTTCTAAGTCGCAGGGGACAAGGCATGTTCTCTAGGTCCACTCGCATCATGGCTATTCCCATTATGACTGAAAAGGGGGTAAAAAGAGCCTACCTATGGAACAATGGACTACCCCAGTTGTCATCTGTGGCCCGCCCATATATGCATTATTAAAGAAAGCTCGCAATATTACTTGCCTCTTCACTCTGTTAACAGTATTTCACAATGATTGCCCCGATGTTAATGTAATTTGGAGATTTGAAAATATAAACTTTATTGAAATTTCTGAAAATTGCAGCTTGTTTTGTGTCAGAGAGGCGCGCATGTCCTCCACGTGCTGAATGAATAAACACATGAATAAATCACACGAAGGGAGGAATCTGCTTTGTCTTTTCCCCATTTTGTTTACCCCAAGTCCGTATTTAAATTCACCTAGAAACAGGGGTGATAGGTAGTAATTTATTAGCAGTCTCTCAACCATGAAGTGTGTATAGTGACAGAACATCATAACGGGAAGGCACCGTACTCTTAAAGATAGATACAGTTAATGACCCGTGAAGGCACCGTACTCTTAAAGATAGGTATAGTTAATGACCCGTGAAGGCACCGTACTCTTAAAGATAGATATATAGATGACCCGTGAAGGCACCGTACTCTTAAAGATAGATACAGTTAATGACCCGTGAAGGCACCGTACTCTTAAAGATAGATACAGTTAATGACCCGTGAAGGCACCGTACACTTAAAGATAGGTATAGTTAATGACCCGTGAAGGCACCGTACTCTTAAAGATAGGTATATAGATGACCCGTGAAGGCACCGTACTCTTAAAGATAGATATAGTTAATGACCCGTGAAGGCACCGTACTCTTAAAGATAGATATAGTTAATGACCCGTGGTGAGTAAAATTTGTCTGTATTGGAGTTGGTCAGGTTCAGAAAGTTATTCCGTGTGATATATGCTACATGCAAATATTAAATTGACATGTGATAATTTTTATCCGCCAGTAAAACCATTTGACCCAAAGTATATTCGTGAATATTGCAAATTTAATTAATTGTTTTTGCGCTTAGGATTACTATGTACAAACCGCAGTGTATAGGGAGAAATTATTAAACAAACATAATTATACAGGTGGGGCGATTTGAATGGGGTTAACGTCGCGTTCAAGATTGTTGCACGCATATAGCAACGTATTTGCGCACGCACACACGCACGCACGTGGTTCTCGTGCACGTGTGTGTGCGTCTCCTTGTACGAGTTCGGACTATGGACGGTTTTATTGTGCTAGTTTAAAGTGGACACCTCACTCAGACTCCGAGCCGACCAGTCCTTGTTTTATCCCCTATAGATGCTGAGCGCCAGGCAGGGAAACAGCGAGTACCATATTTTAACGCGTATTAGATGCGGCCGGGAATCGAACCACCGACCTACGGGTCTCCGGGCAGACGCTAGACCGGTATAAGGATACTGGCAACCGGATACTATTAGGAACACGTTAAGTGGTCGAGGTCGAAGAATGTTGACAAATGTTCTCAAAACTCAACTCTTGGAGTTTCCTTATTGCGAGGAAAATGGCCTGTCTTCATCTGCACAGTTTCCGTTTCAGCACAGTCCCTGCACAGGAAATGTTTATCTTTCGTTCTCCCAGGAAGCCATTACTGGCTCAAGTTACTTTTAAAGAGATGTCGGCCAATTGCGCATTTCAATTCCAACTGTAACTGAGGCTGTAGATGTGTCACGGATGCAGAGCGACGGGGCAGATCGTGTGGAGATGTTTAGGAACAGTCTTTTGTTTATTTCAGAAATGATGACGTCACACGCTAACGTGCCATCCACGTGATAGCTGAGAATGATTATTCATTCCTATGCTTTTGACCTTTGTTGGCGTTGTCGTGAAGTAGTATCTGTGTACCAGAATCCTTAATTAGCGTTGAAAGAAAGTGTTTGTGCAGTTGAGCTAAAGGACTATGGTATGGTGTCAACAAAATCAGGACAATTTATAGTCTTGGAGAAATGACACTCAGTGTAGTTGAATATATATGTTCTTTAAGAAAAAGAAACGTGTTGTATCTCATTATTGTAGCTCCAATATATTTTTTATAAGCTGAGGGGCAAAAGAAAAGACAAGTATACCGAGTTTGAAATTGAAAATTAGAAACGGTTGTTAAATTTGATTATGTCTATTATTTATCACTCGTTCCAGCAGTTTGTAAAAAAATAATCGGTGGCGGGGCCCCTACCATGTTTGAAATGTTATTCGTGCCGACATCTTTATTATATGTTAATTTTCAAACTTAAGTTAAGAAGTCTCATATGCCCGTCAGTAGTTGTGTCTTATGCGATTTTTGATTTTTTTAAATGTTTTAAATAAAATTATATATTATAAAGTATAACCATGTAGAGGTAATGTTTGAGTACTGACTGTTCCGTTCATATTTTGTTCATACTCACTCAAGGGTTATTGCTATTCCACAAAAGTATTAAAGCCAGAGAGAGACCAAGTCGTTCTATACAACTGGATGGACTATACAAACACATGTACTATCGTCTGGGACGAATGTTAAGATATATGTGTCACTTTCTTTTCTGATGATAGCTCTATTATTTTGGTACATTGTGCACAGCGGTGTGTAGACAGGGTGATCAAGGCCCAGCAATGTTAGGATGGTCTCTGAATAACGTGACTGGCCGACCTCGAGCTACATCGCCCGATGATGTATGACTGAGTGGGTGAATGTTGTTTAACTCCGCAGTCAGAAACATTCCAACTATATTGCTGTAAACATTCAAATCTATGCCATTCGAACTGGTGACTGCAAGTTTGATTCACAACCTTGGGGCATTGTTGACACACAACAGTGAAGAAGAACCAGTGACTGGATGTACAAATATTGTACAACCACAGACTGTTTTTAAACCCCAACGTATAAATATTGTCCAACCATACAATTACCCTGCACAGGTACATCACCGTAGCTCCACCAGGCGAACAGGAGCTGTCACTTGACAAGACAATTTCAGGGAGATGATAGGTATTTCACTTTGACTTTGTTATCCCCGTTGTAGGGCAGCGCGACCGGACAACCACAGTTCCAGCTGACCGGGGCAGACAACCTCCCACCCCACACCAACCCCCTCGTCTACTGGCCACACCAGCAGAACAATGAAGGTATGGATGCTACTATGAACGTTATCAAGTTTGTTATATTTTGGTCTTTTTCGTTCTCAACGCGGAATTGTTTTCTACCTACTTTAAGCCAACCGTCAACAAAAACAGTTACGTCCTGCAGTGATGACGTGCTAGCGTCACGTCCTGCAGTGATGACGTGCTAGCGTCACGTCATGCAGTGATGTCGTGCTAGCGTCACGTCCTGTAGTGATGACGTGCTAACGTCACGTCCTGCGGTGATGACGTGCTAGCGTCGCCATCGTCATGAAGACGTTTTGCACCGTTTCCATAAAACAATATACTGTTTACTGTTTTTATCGACCGTCTTGAGCGGGAACTGAAGCGGAAGATGAGAAGAAATGGGGTTTAATGTCGTGTTCGAGATTGTTGCACTTATATAACGTGTACGTGTGGGTCACCTCTGATGTGATTTTAGGTGGTTAAAATAAACACATCCCTCATTACTTCTGTGCATGGAAAGGTAAGGCACTTAGAGTACAGAATATTGGCACAGTCGAACACCGTTTTGTCGAACTCTGATGTGTCGAACTATCTGTTGAACACGCCATATTCCTTTGGTGTTGTGATTGACACTGGGAATCCTTTTTCTCATGTGTCGAAAACTCAGATTAGTCGAACTCTGTCTGAGGTTCACTGTATTGCCTGGTCCAGACTCGATCATTTGCAAGCCGCAGTCATATAGCTAGAATAGTGCGGGAATATTGCATCGTTAAACAACAAACCAAAAAATAAACAAACAAACAAATCAGGTGTGTATACATCTCTTCCACAGATGAAAACAACAACATTCTGGACCCGTTCTTTGACGAGTGTGTTGAGGAGAGTAACGTATGTGACCAGGTGTGCTACAGGGCGGGGCAGGACACACAGATCTGCGACTGCTACCAGGGGTTCTCACTCATGCTGGACGGGGCGTCGTGTAGAGGTGGGTACCCGACAGACTACCAGCAGGTGCGTTTTGGGTGAGCGACGGGTCTTCCTGGTTTTCAGATAAGTCGTATTCCATCATAACGGAACATAAGTGATTAATAATTCATGGCATCAGTTAATTCGATATTCCATTTTAGCTGTTTTTTTGTTGGTATGTCTGAGGTTTTTCATGCTGCTCTATCCACGGCCTTGTATAGCTTACACTAACGTCCACCATGACGCAGCGTGAAGATCGGGGTTAGAATAGGTCTTCAGCAACCAATGTTGCCGTAAAAGGCGACTATGCTTGTGGTAGGAGGCGACTAACGGGATCGTTGGTCAGGTTCGCTGACTAGGTTGATGCATGTCATCGTATCCCAGTTGCGTGGATCGATACTGATGAATTTAATCACTGGATTGTCTGGTCCAGACTAAATTATTTACAGACCTGCGTCATAAAGCTGGAATATAGCTAAGGGAGTTAACTGAGTGTAAAACTGGACTTTTATAGTCAGTTAAGTCCCTTGCTTCGGGAAGATGACTGTTAAGTACCAATGACATCAGTTCCCAAAGTACAAATTTAAATGTCACGTAAGGCGTCATCTCACCGTTTGTATCGAGTGTCACTTGTTGCATTGTGTCCTGTCTGTGTACAGATGTTGACGAATGTGAGGCCGGCTACTGTGGTCAATACGGTCAGTGTATCAACACCATGGGCTCCTTCATCTGCACCTGTGAACCCGGCTTCTACCTCAACAACGACAACTTGTGTACCGGTAACGACGACGCCACGGGGATATCTGATTTTTGACTAAGATCTTCTCTCTGAAATGAATATACTTAACCCCCCAAAACAGTTGTTAAATTAAGAGACCATAGACCATGAAAAAGAGACCATAGACTCTCTTCATTTTCAGACACTGCAGTAATCTAGACTTGCCAAGCATTATAGACTTGCATGGGCTGTATTGATTATATTTGTATCAGGGTCTGTGTGACTGACTAATCTGAAGTGTTTTGTACACATTTGTCATATGATGCTAATAGTTCTGGTAAATACTATTTTGTTACATTATTTGGGGGGTATTTGTGAAATTTCGTAGGTTTTTTTTTACCTTTGACGTAATCTCATTATATTCTTCAGCTCTTTTATACAGTTGGTTGACGGATGTTATTGTGAAGGTGGTAATTAAGAACGTAACACATTATTTCTTTCTGTCTCTGAACAGTTGCCATGTAAGCCGTGCTGGTTAGCTTGTGACGCTCCTTAAAAAATTGTAACTCCTTGTATTGCATCACAGATTTGAGTATGCCCATTTGCATTTGGCTAAATAGTTCAAGAATATTTATTTTCAGATTATATTTTCCCCCTTTTTTTCTTTTGGATGACCGAATTCGAAAACCATTTAAAAAAAAGACATGTTATGCCTTAGTGTTTCTGTATACACGCCAGATACATCGAAAATACGTGACTCCTGGAACCTCGCCATTTAGACGATTACGTTTGGGGATGACACAAATAAGGGCATAACTACATACCCATGACCTGTTAATCCGGTGGATGCAGACAGCAGATTATGACCCTCGCTCCCTCTAATCACTACTTCTACCTTTAATCCGGCTGATGTCTCAGGGAACAGTACTCCCCGCAATAACGGGGTTGTACTGTAGATAGTCCTGTCCGTAATAACGAGGTTGTACCGTAATATAGAGTCCTGTCCGTAATAACGGGGTTCTACTGTGATATAGTCCTGTTCCTAATGACGGGGTTGTATTGTAATATAATCCTGTCTCTAATAACGGGGTTGTATTGTAATATAGTCCTGTCTGTAATAACGGGGTTTTACTGTAACATGGGACACATCAGCAACACCCCGTGAAGATCCGGGTTAGAACAGGTCTTTAGCAACCCATGCTTGTTGTAAGAGGCGACTAACGGGTGGTCTGGCTCGCTGACTTGGTTGATGCATGTAACCTTATCCCAATTGCGTGGATCGATGCTCATGATGTCAATCACTGGATTGCCTGGTCCAGACGCGATTATTTACAGACCGCCGTCATATAGCTGAAATATGGCTGAGTGCGGTGTTAAGCAACAAAGAAACAGAAAAACAACAGCTAACAACCAACATCAGTAGCAAGATGTCAAGGTGTTCTTGTTTTGTCTCTGACAGATATAGATGAGTGTATGGACACGGGCATCTGTGCCGGGGGGTCCCTGTGCCGCAACCTCTTGGGGTCATACCAGTGTGCCTGTCCCCCGGGATTCGAGTACACCAGCGATGGATGCGCGGGTAACCTCATCCTCTTTCTCCATCACTTCATCACTCCATCATGTTCAACCAGTTCGAGTTCTCTATAGTTTTATAATCCAAATTTCCACATTGAAAGGTCTTAATATAACACCTGTTATAAACGTCCTTGTTTTGTATGTTTCATGTTCATGTTTACCACAATATTGCATTATCATGACATTTAGCTAAAAAACAGTTGAACGAGCTTATGAAATTGTAAAGTTCGGGACCCGTGAAGATCCGGGTAAGAATAGGTCTTCAGCAACCCATGCTTCTTGTAAAAAAGCAATTATGTTTGTCGAAAGAGGCGACTAACGAGATCGGGTGGTCAGGTTCGCTGACTTGGTTGATGCATGTATCCCAATTCCGTGGATTGATGCTTATGATATCAATCATTGGATTGTCTGGTCCAGACTCGATTATTTACAGACCGCCGTCATATAGTTGGAATATTGCTGAGTGCGGCGTTAAACAACGAACAAAGAAATTGTTTGGTTCGGAAATAAGTTCTTGGTTAATAGCGTTCGCTCGTTACACCGAGGATCCGCGTTTGATCCCAAACATAAGTTCAATGTGTAGCCAGTTCCTAGGGTCTCTCGCCCCGATATCGTGGAAGGATGAAAAACTAACGTCTGTTGTGGATGTTGTAGACGTGGATGAATGTGCAACCTCTCCGTGTGCTATCGACGGCGTCTGTAACAACACTGTTGGCAGCTTCCTCTGCTCCTGTCAACGGGGTTACTACAACAACAGCACACACTGTCTGGGTGAGATGGACTTTTAACATCTTGTGTTTTGGTTGTTTTTATTTAAATCATTTATTCCTAGGAATGCTGATCACAGAAGCAAGCGACTTGGTTTTCATTTTGTCATACAAATATACACGTTGTCACCACTGTGAAAGCATATTTTCAAAACACGGTAAATAATAGAGGCGATATTCATTACACGAAATTAAAATAAGCGGAAATACTTAAATATACTGTCATTGTCATCAAGATGGTTGTTAAGTGGATCACTAAATGAGATGATGTTTGCAAAGTATTCATACATATTTCTTTCATCTTATGATATTATTTTTGCTTAGACCCAATATGTGATTGAAGTGTTTATATTAAACTTTAGTCACAATCCATGTAGATTATCCTAGGGAGCACACAATCGATCATTATCAGAACTCTGTGTACTAATGTCTTGTTCATTAATTAAGACATAAACGACGAGTTGTTTATTGTACAATAAAACACTGCAGGGAGAATAAACCATGAGGTTTTATTGTATTCTTTATTTAAGGATGTTAATAAAATGTACAAGCTTTAAAAATATTTACCATTATTTAAAAATGATGACTCCCTGAACTGGGGGTTAGGTTAATTTGGTCTTTCCCCACATACTCTCACAATATTCATGTCGAATATCTGTACCTCCCAATACCGATTTGTCATACCTCTCCCACTTTTGGATGCGATCATTGCGTTTATCTACGTTGATTAGCTACATCTATGGGGAACAACTCACTACCTCTAAAAAATAACGTCGTCCAATTCACGACGTCATCAAGTTGCCAGTGCTTGGTCGAATCTCCCGAAATGACGTCATGATAGAACAATGTTTTATCATTAACTAACCACGCTTCGTTCTTCATTGTTCTCTGCGATTGTGATTGACTCCATCACGTACATCTCCCATTCAGACATCAACGAGTGCAGCACCCCCGTGAGTCCCTGTGAGGGGGAGCTGAGCTGCTACAACACCCTGGGGGACTACTACTGCGGGTGCCGGCCGGGGTACTGGAAGAATGGCACTCTGTGTCTGGGTAAGGCTTCAACACCACCATATAAGTACATCTTGGAGGCCTTGGCCTGAGCTCTGCGGTATTGATAAGACTTTTGGTATGTGTCTTGGCGCCTTTGACTAGTTTCGTCATTGAGAGCTTTGGTTATAACACGACAAACGTAAGGGACCGAACATTATATTGCCTGGGATTTTGTATCGAGATTAGATATTTTTCAGCTAAAAATATTACATTGTTTAGGTTTAAAACTTTGAGCCTAAAAGTTTTTAAAAAAAAAGAAAATCACCTTGCAACAATGTAATTTTTGTGGCAGGCACTTTTTCATACTTTTCAAGGTCTGAAGCATAATTATTTTTTTCCAAAACTTTCGGGGACAATTTATGTTTTTGGATAAAATCCTATCCCGACCCAACAACATCATATTGTCGGCCCCAAAGGGAATGCTTCATTCCTTGATCCATGGGACATTTGTATTTAGCATGGTAACCAAACATATAGTTACATCTCTATTTTCAAGGGTTCCGGACAATTTGTCAAACATGAAAGCAAATGTCACTTGAAGTTTACTGAGAAGACAATGGGTGAAATACTGGACTTCCCCATTGACAACATCTATGTGAGATATGGAGATAGGACATTTAGACAGGGAGTAGGGCACTAAAAGTAGGGAGCTCCAATCCTTGCATAAAATTCTTTCCACATATTAATCGGAATTTCTTTGGCAATATTAAAACAATGAAATTTGGTCAAGAAGTTTAACTTCCGCTTCAGTTACATTGATGATTTGACATCGCTCAATAATTTTCAAATAGCTATTCCCTTCTTCTGATACCCACCTGAACTAAAGAAAATAGGTCTTCAGCAACCCATGCTTGCGGTTAAAATCGACCATGCTTGTTGTAAGAGGTGACTAACGAGATCGCGTGGTCAGGCTCGCTGCGTTGGTTGATGCATGTCATCGTATCCCAGTTGCGTGGATCGATCCTCATGACGTCAATTACTGGTATGTCTGATCCAGACTCGATTATTTACAGACCGCTGTCATATAGCTGGTACATTGCTGAGTGCGGCGTTACACAACAAGCAAACAAACAAACCTGAACTAAAAATAAAAATCCAGTGAAACGAACCCTAATGAATGTCAAAAAGACTTTCATAACACTGTGTCACGAGGGATGACTTCAACTTTTCAAAAGTCAACTTTCCGTTTATGTCAAGCAATATTCTTGCTCCTCCTTTGGTGCCTATATTTGATTTATGAACTTTTTAAATGCAATCAAGCATGCTCTTTCTACGAAGATTTCAAAGAAGCGCCATACGACTCTTACGCAAACGTTGTCTGATCAAGGTTACAACAATCAAGTATTATGGTAGGATTTTTCCGAATGTGACATATCAGTGATGCCTAATGCAGTCCTCTATTTTGACTTGTACCTTATGCCCCCGTTATTCTCTAATATCTTTGTTTAGGAATGATTGTAAAGATAAGGCTTGGCGATATTTGTTTTTGAATGGTTGTAAAGATAAGGCCTGGTGATATTGATATTTGTTTAGGAATGGTTGTAAAGGTAAGATTAGAGATTGTTTCTAATGGCTGAAAAGATAAGGTCTGGGGATATTTGTTTAGGAATGGTTGTAAAGGTAAAATCAGAGACTGTTTCTAATGGTTGAAAAGATAAGTCCTGGTGATATTTCTTTAGGAATGGTTGTCAAAGGTAAGATTAGAGATTGTTTGGAATGGTTGAAAAGATAAGTCCTGGTGATATTTGTTTAGGAATGGTTGTAAAGGTAAGATAAGAGATTGTTTCTAATGGCTGAAAAGATAAGGTCTGGTGATATTTGTTTAGGAATGGTTGTAAAGGTAAAATCAGAGACTGTTTCTAATGGTTGAAAAGATAAGTCCTGGTGATATTTCTTTAGGAATGGTTGTCAAAGGTAAGATTAGAGATTGTTTGGAATGGTTGAAAAGATAAGTCCTGGTGATATTTGTTTAGGAATGGTTGTAAAGGTAAGATAAGAGATTGTTTCTAATGGCTGAAAAGATAAGGTCTGGTGATATTTGTTTAGGAATGGTTGTAAAGGTAAAATCAGAGACTGTTTCTAATGGTTGAAAAGATAAGGCCTGGTGATATTTGTTTAGGAATGGTTGTAAAGGTAAGTTTAGAGATTGTTTCTAATGATTGAAAAGATAAGGCCTGGTGATATTTGTTTAGGAATAGTTGTAAAGGTTAGTTTAGAGATTGTTTCTAATGATTGAAAAGATAAAGCCTGGTGATATTTGTTTAGGAATGGTTGTAAAGGTAAGTTTAGAGATTGTTTCTAATGATTGAAAAGATAAGGCCTGGTGATATTTGTTTAGGAATAGTTGTAAAGGTTAGTTTAGAGATTGTTTCTAATGATTGAAAAGATAAGGCCTGGTGATATTTGTTTAGGAATGGTTGTAAAGGTAAGTTTAGAGATTGTTTCTAATGATGGAAAAGATAAAGCCTGGTGATATTTGTTTAGGAATGGTTGTAAAGGTAAGTTTAGAGATTGTTTCTAATGATTGAAAAGATAAGGCCTGGTGATATTTGTTTAGGAATGGTTGTAAAGGTAAGTTTAGAGATTGTTTCTAATGATGGAAAAGATAAGGCCTGGTGATATTTGTTTAGGAATGGTTGTAAAGGTAAGTTTAGAGATTGTTTCTAATGATGGAAAAGATAAAGCCTGGTGATATTTGTTTAGGAATGGTTGTAAAGGTAAGTTTAGAGATTGTTTCTAATGATGGAAAAGATAAAGCCTGGTGATGTTTGTTTAGGAATGGTTGTAAAGGTAAGTTTAGAGATTGTTTCTAATGATGGAAAAGATAAAGCCTGGTGATATTTGTTTAGGAATGGTTGTAAAGGTAAGTTTAGAGATTGTTTCTAATGATGGAAAAGATAAAGCCTGGTGATGTTTGTTTAGGAATGGTTGTAAAGGTAAGTTTAGAGATTGTTTCTAATGATGGAAAAGATAAAGCCTGGTGATGTTTGTTTAGGAATGGTTGTAAAGGTAAGTTTAGAGATTGTTTCTAATGATGGAAAAGATAAAGCCTGGTGATGTTTGTTTAGGAATGGTTGTAAAGGTAAGTTTAGAGATTGCTTCTAATGATGGAAAAGATAAAGCCTGGTGATGTTTGTTTAGGAATGGTTGTAAAGGTAAGTTTAGAGATTGTTTCTAATGATGGAAAAGATAAAGCCTGGTGATATTTGTTTAGGAATGGTTGTAAAGGTAAGTTTAGAGATTGTTTCTAATGATGGAAAAGATAAAGCCTGGTGATGTTTGTTTAGGAATGGTTGTAAAGGTAAGTTTAGAGATTGTTTCTAATGATGGAAAAGATAAAGCCTGGTGATGTTTGTTTAGGAATGGTTGTAAAGGTAAGTTTAGAGATTGTTTCTAATGATGGAAAAGATAAAGCCTGGTGATGTTTGTTTAGGAATGGTTGTAAAGGTAAGTTTAGAGATTGTTTCTAATGATGGAAAAGATAAAGCCTGGTGATGTTTGTTTAGGAATGGTTGTAAAGGTAAGTTTAGAGATTGTTTCTAATGATGGAAAAGATAAAGCCTGGTGATGTTTGTTTAGGAATGGTTGTAAAGGTAAGTTTAGAGATTGTTTCTAATGGTTGAAAAGATAAAGCCTGGTGATGTTTGTTTAGGAATGGTTGTAAAGGTAAGTTTAGAGATTGTTTCTAATGATGGAAAAGATAAAGCCTGGTGATGTTTGTTTAGGAATGGTTGTAAAGGTAAGTTTAGAGATTGTTTCTAATGATGGAAAAGATAAAGCCTGGTGATGTTTGTTTAGGAATGGTTGTAAAGGTAAGTTTAGAGATTGTTTCTAATGATGGAAAAGATAAAGCCTGGTGATGTTTGTTTAGGAATGGTTGTAAAGGTAAGTTTAGAGATTGTTTCTAATGATGGAAAAGATAAAGCCTGGTGATGTTTGTTTAGGAATGGTTGTAAAGGTAAGTTTAGAGATTGTTTCTAATGATGGAAAAGATAAAGCCTGGTGATGTTTGTTTAGGAATGGTTGTAAAGGTAAGTTTAGAGATTGTTTCTAATGATGGAAAAGATAAAGCCTGGTGATGTTTGTTTAGGAATGGTTGTAAAGGTAAGTTTAGAGATTGTTTCTAATGATGGAAAAGATAAAGCCTGGTGATGTTTGTTTAGGAATGGTTGTAAAGGTAAGTTTAGAGATTGTTTCTAATGATGGAAAAGATAAAGCCTGGTGATGTTTGTTTAGGAATGGTTGTAAAGGTAAGTTTAGAGATTGTTTCTAATGATGGAAAAGATAAAGCCTGGTGATGTTTGTTTAGGAATGGTTGTAAAGGTAAGTTTAGAGATTGTTTCTAATGATGGAAAAGATAAAGCCTGGTGATGTTTGTTTAGGAATGGTTGTAAAGGTAAGTTTAGAGATTGTTTCTAATGATGGAAAAGATAAAGCCTGGTGATGTTTGTTTAGGAATGGTTGTAAAGGTAAGTTTAGAGATTGTTTCTAATGATGGAAAAGATAAAGCCTGGTGATGTTTGTTTAGGAATGGTTGTAAAGGTAAGTTTAGAGATTGTTTCTAATGATGGAAAAGATAAAGCCTGGTGATGTTTGTTTAGGAATGGTTGTAAAGGTAAGTTTAGAGATTGTTTCTAATGATGGAAAAGATAAAGCCTGGTGATGTTTGTTTAGGAATGGTTGTAAAGGTAAGTTTAGAGATTGTTTCTAATGGTTGAAAAGATAAAGCCTGGTGATGTTTGTTTAGGAATGGTTGTAAAGGTAAGTTTAGAGATTGTTTCTAATGATGGAAAAGATAAAGCCTGGTGATGTTTGTTTAGGAATGGTTGTAAAGGTAAGTTTAGAGATTGTTTCTAATGGTTGAAAAGATAAAGCCTGGTGATGTTTGTTTAGGAATGGTTGTAATGGTAAGGCTTGGTGATATTTGGTTTGGGATGATTGTCAAGGAAAGTTTCGGAACTATTTGTTTTGACATCTTTGTCAAGGTAGGGTTTGCAACACTGGGCACAGTTACCTGAGAGTTAGGATGAATCATATGTTCTCTTGGCACCATGATGACGTGTGGGTACACAGCAATCAGCTGATACGTGATGTCTTGACGAACTGAAGTCAAGGAATGCTCTGTTTCAGATGTCGACGAGTGCCTGTCCGGCAAGGACCGGTGTCATGTGCATGCTCACTGCGGCAACCTCATCGGCTCCTACTTCTGTCAGTGCCGGAAGGGCTACAGCGGCAGCGGCTACATCTGCTACGGTGAGCGCCATGCCGGGGACGCCCTTGATGATGATCACATGTGCACATCGCTATACTCACGCATGTCATTTCAAAATTTACTTTTTTTTGCAAATTGTTTGAGCGGCGGGTGTTTCCGATAGGACATGACTCCCATACTACTACTAATACGATAGCTGTAGCGCTAAGGTCGCTTTGTGCAACTGCGTCCTGGGCCCACTTTCACAAAGCGATCTTAGCGCTAAGATGATCGTAACTCCCATACTTTAACATAGACTTACAATAGTCGTAGTGCTAAGATCGTATTGTGCAAGTGGGCCCTGGTGTCATCAATGATTTTCAATGATCCATTCATATGATTTTCACCGCTTTTTTCCTTTTACATCCAATCCAATGGAATCTGTTTCGGCGTATAATCGAAACTGGTTGTTATCTGTCGTTGACATTTTATATTAATTATACCCAATCAATCTGTTGCTTGTCGACTTGGATCAGATGGACAGCGTCGGGGACGTGGTTGGTTGCGCGCCAACGACAGAATGCGACGTCGCTTGTAATACCTGGATTTGTCTGACCAAGACCCTCGTTTCCACAAAGCGACCGTAGCGCAACGACTGTCGTACGTCTAATGTATGGGAGTACGATCATCTGAGCGCTACGATAGCTTTGTGGAACGGGCCTTAGAACTGTTGCTGGCCGCCATGATATAGCTGGGAAATAGCTGAAGTAAACATTGTGCCACTAGGTGCTACACGCGCTGACTTTCATTTTCCCGAGGCAAGGGAATTAACTGACTGTAAAAGTCCAGTTTTGCCGAACTAGGCTGGAATTTCTGGGCTCGATCATATCGCCACCAGTGGCTATTACAAGCTATGTCCCTTCTATGTATCTCCCATTGACCAATCAGATTCCACTTCTCATATCACTTCCATTTGCTTCAAACAAAATGGCGGCGCCCAGTTAATCTGATCGATAATCAAGATCTATATTGTGATAAAACGTTTCTTACTTCGCAAAGTGCATCAAATCACGTGAGCACCTTGATTAAAACCATGAAAAGATTTGGAAAATATCTGTTGTTGGCGAGTTGGCGGTACACATGCTTTGCGAATCCTGCAATCGACCGAAATCTGGACAGTTTACGAACCGAAACCATGTCGATTTCGTTACGCGATTTTGATTGGACTATGCATAGACTCGTAAGTCCAGCCAAAATATAACTCCATAATACCAGCCTAGTCAGGCAAGAGTGGAAACTTGACTTTTTATATTCATTTGGGAAGATGGCTGACTTTCAGTCAGAAACCGAGAGGGTTGTGTCGTGACACAGCTAACTGAATATACACGTTAGCTAGCGAACGTCTAATGATTCTGGGTCGTTTCAGATGTCAACGAGTGCAAGGTTAACAACGGCAGTTGTGACCATAGATGTGACAACATCCCCGGCAGCTTCCGATGTGGCTGTCACTATGGTTACCGTCTTGGCCGGGATAGGAGAACCTGTGAAGGTGAGACGGATCAAGTTAAGACCTAGGTCAACAAGGGCAATAAGTGAATGCGTGTGTGAGTGGGTGTGATGTTAAACAGAGTTTGGACACAATTCCAATTCTATGACATTGGTTGTGCCATAAAGTGAGGGGAAAGTCAAAGTAATGCAGGCGTGTTCCACTGAGGCCCTTGGCACACATAACACAGTTGTGGACGCGCTATACACAAATAATGACTTCAGTGAGTTAGTTTTAAGGGCTCGACCATTTGATATTCCGGGGGAGGGGGAGCTGGGATTTTGTTTCGAGATTAGATATTTTTTTCAGCTTCAGCTGCAAAATGACATATTTCATAATATAAAACTATGAGCCTGAATGTTATAATAAGAAAACACCTAACGATAATGTCATTTTTTTGTGGCAGGCAATTTCTTTTGTTTTCAAAGGACTGAAACATAGCTATATTTTCTCAAGAATTTCCGGTGCCAATTTTATTTCTCAGATAAAACACACCCCAGCCTCCCACCCAACCCCTCCAGAAATTCTAATGCTCGGTCCCTAAAGCCGTTTTGAACAGTATTACAATTATATCACGGCATGTCAACTTCGTGTGGTGCAAAGCCTGAAGTGATACTGGTGTGGTACGGTTAACACTTCGGTGAAACCTACGAGCACAGGTATGGTGCACTTTGACATCAACAGGGAGCCACATGTACTGGAATGTGCAAAGATACAAGACATTAATAATTATCATCCAAAATTTGCTCCCACAGGAGATATCGCTTGGGTGAGATCAAGTTATATCTATACTGTAGATATCGCTGCAATGAAATTGCATCACAATGCTTTGCAGACCATTGTGGCGTCATTGGTTACCATGACGTCACCATCAAATGACATTACTAATGGCTCTGCTACTGAAGCTGTAAGCAGGACTTTTTACACTGAAGACACTCCTAATTACTGTCTACAAATTGGAAAAGTTGAAAGAATGATGTTGGATGATAAATAAAATCTCACCCTCGTGTCTTTTGATATCAAATATATCAACACTCGTTGATAAAAGTGGAAACAAATACTCGGCAAGCCTCGGAGTTTTCCCACTTTTATCAACTCGTGTTGATATATTTGATATCAAAAGACACTCTGGTGAGATTCTCTATTTAGCCTGGAAGTTATTCAGTGGTATCTCTGTGTTACAGATGTAGACGAGTGTCAGTACGGGAACGCCGGGTGTGAACACGCCTGCAACAACGTGGTTGGTTCCTACTACTGCACCTGCAAGGCGGGGCACAGGCTCCACGTCGACAACAAGAGATGTGTCGGTGAGACTGCAGGCGATCAAATTTGACATGAAGCACCCTCGATGATCCAGTGTATAATATGTCCATTCTTACCTCGTTATGAGATAGATCCGACAAAAAGAGCCGTCCAATCAAATCACAGGAGATTTACTAAGCAACGTTAGCAATACGAGATATGAAGATGATGACGTCACTTCCGTGTCGAAGTTGTGTCAGTGAATGTGTTTATGGTTTTTATAAAAAATGGAGTTATGCTATTTAAGATAATCGATAGTGGAGATATGAAAACGACCAACTGCTTGTAGATCCGTGCGAAAAAAACGATTCATTTAGGATTTTAACATTATTAGAAGTGCACGAGTCAGGCTGTAAGGATGTATTGTTGGTGATTTTTAAATGTAAACGCGGGGATTAACCCAAAAATCGGTTCGTAGATCACTAAATTGTGCAATCAGATACTGATGCACAAGAAAAATGAATAGTTAACACACGATACAGATAATAAGTGGCAGCAGGCAGCAGCAATAAGAAAAAGTCCTTTAAAACATATAGGTGTACTCACGAATGTACCCGTGAAGATCTGGGGTAGAATAGATCTTCAGCGACCCATGCTTGTCGTAAAAGGCGACTAACGGGATCGGGTGGTCAGGCTCGCTGACTTGGTTGATGCATGTCATCGATCCCAATTGCGTGGATCGATGCTCATGATATTTATCACTGGATTGTCTGGTCCAGACTCGATTATTTACAGACTGCCGTCATATAGCTGGAATATTGCTGAGTGCGGCGTTAAACAACAAACCAACCAACCAACCAACTCACGAATGTCCACAATTAAGTCTCCGTCGAATGTCTTGAAAGGGGACGTGCTCCGTTCTTGAAACCGGAATAGTGTTGGAAGCTGTCAGGATTTTGTCTGGAGAGTAGATATTTTTTTCTTCTGTTACAGCTGCAAAACCAGATATTTTTAAAAATAAAACAATGAACTTGAACATTTTTGTAAGAAAAACACCTGTAACTAACCTGTAAAACAATGTAACTTTTGAAGCAGACAAATTCTCTTTGCTCAAGAGTCTGAAGCATAAATATTTTTGTCAAGAATAAAATTCCAGCCCCGCTCGTAAAAAGGCCGAGAATCTACCTCTTGCCCCTTTTATGTAGGCACAGACAGCCTTCTCTCCCTCTACCGAAACTTCTCGAAGGATCAAGCCTATTTTGTCAACAACGAAAGGGAGGTAACAGTAAATTAGCGAGGTGAACCACTAACAATCCCGCCACCACAGCCATCGATATTGTACGAGCGCTTCGTTCCACTGCAACGTAACAGTACGATCTTGTTGATAGTTACGGATGATATTCGTTATGTTACAGACGTCAACGAGTGTATGACCGACCACGGCGGCTGTCATGGGTTCTGTAACAACACTGTGGGGTCTTTCTACTGTCACTGTCCTGACGCACTCGTCCTGGCAGACGACAGGTTCTCCTGCAGACGTGAGTAAACTTGACCTGTTTGTAACGTCTGTTACTTTGGACGTGAGTAGCTTTCACCAATCTCATTAAAATCAGATCTTAGTTCTCGCTGCCGCTAAACAAAGATCTGAAGACATCCCATTACGGGTCACGGCAGACCGACCATTCGCAAACTCTGACCGACCAATGGAATTACTAACAAGAAGTCGACATTAGCCAATCAGAAGGCAGCTTTCTCGTGCTTTACGGCACTAATTTTAAATTGGCGACTACGCTTCGAAACATATTTTGACAAATTCTCGCTTAAAAATTTGAAACCTGAACAAAAGAACGTTCTAGAATGGCTAATATATGGTCTGGATTGTGTAGATTCAGTCGTAAAGCCCGTAACTATTGCTCGGAATACCCCGTTTTAACGTTTTCGAGGCTGCATGATTAGAAATCACATTCCGACTGTCACTTTCATGATCTGGTAAGCGACGCTCTGATTGGTCGGATGAAAGGTCGTTCTGACGTGACCCCTAATGGGATGTCCTCAGATCTTTGTTTAGCGGTAGCGAGAACTAAGATCTGATTTTAATGAGATAGAGCTTTGACCGACTGTAACACCTGCTACAGTAGAAGTGAGTAACCTTGTAGACTATGCTATTGTAAAGGTCATTGTAATCTTAACGCGATGCTAACGTTTGTTTTTGCAGACTGCCAATTATGTCACTAAATATTTGCTCATGAATTTGAAGACTTCTATAACCCGAATGGTACATCTGAGGCTGCAAATCAGAATAACAACCTCCGAATTGACCATGTACATTGTGCACAACGTTATAGTGATACAATACAACATGTATATCCAAAAGTCTGCAGCAAATGTCAGTAAACAAGTTCAAATTGGAATCAAATATTTCATGTTGATATGTGATGGCTTAGTCAAGGTGACTTGTAGTTTGTTGACAACAGGATCAATAAAGAGGAGTGAGTGAGTGAGTATTGTTTTACGCCGCTTTTAGCAATATTCCAGCAATATCACGGCGGGGGACACCAGAAATGGGCTTCACACATTGTACCCATGTCGGGAATCGAACCCGGGTCTTCGGCGTGACGAGCGAACGCTTTAACCACTAGGCTACCCGACCGCCCCTCAATAAAGAGGAAGCGCCCTGAACGCTCAATTTTGCATTATTGCGTTGAATGCAATGTTAAAATGCAATATTAAAATGCCCGGAAATTAACAAAAAAGTGATATGAACTTTAAAAAATCCCAATGTTGAACAAAACAGACACATTATTCAAGGTTGGCCTGGCACGCACACTTGGTGTTGAATCCTAGACATCTCCAATATGTATCCCTGTAGTCCTGGTTCAATCTGAGGACATCTCATCAGACTAATCGCCCTTCAGATCTACCTTTGTTGGGGAAGTATAGGAGCTCGCGTGTATGTACAAGTAAGTCCTTGTGTTCCAGCCATCGCCAGCTGCAGAGACAAGAATGGCGGCTGTGAGCAGGTGTGCGAGGATCTGCCAGACGACAAGTTCAGATGTTCCTGTAGGCCTGGATTCACCCAGAACCTCAATGGCAGATCGTGCAATGGTGAGGTGAACCTCGGTATAATGAGTGAGTGAGCGAGTGAGTATGGTTTTACGCCGCTTTTAGCAATATTCCAGCAATATCACGGCTGGGGACATCAGAATAATGGGCCTCGTATAATGAGGGTTGTGTGGGGAACTATTTGATAAACGACAGAAACGAACTACAGTAAACTACGTTTATAACGAACACGCTTATAACGAACTGACGGATATAACGAATTGTTTTTTTGGTCCTGTCCATTTGCTGTATATATGCTGAAAATATGCTTATAACGAACTACGGTTAAAACGAACTAAATTTAGTGGTCCCTTTGAGTTCGTTATAACCGTAGTTTACTGTAGATGTATAAGTGAGCGTTAGCCCGGTTGAGTCCGTGGGACAACGAAGATCGAGTAAGTCAGAAAGTAGGGGGTTATACTGCGTTCAGTAGTACTCTTGCAATATGACGTTGGGGGTACCGAGAACGCCCGCTCATAATTTTTTGGGGAAATAGCGTAGGACATACAAACAGTTGTATTCTCCATAGCATAGGGTTTGATTGTTTAACAAATAGGGAGATAAGGGGGTGTAGGGTTGAATGGTAATATGTAGTGATTCAAAGCGCCTGCTAAAATCTAGTTTGCGACTTCGCATTGGTGTTCAAGGTTGTGGTGGTGACACGTTTAATTCCGTATATCCATCAATGAACATGTACATTCACTTGCCATACCACTCTCTATTCTTGTCACAATACATATCACTTCTTTCAGACATAGACGAGTGTGTGTCCGGCAACGCAGGCTGCGAACAGAAATGTATCAACACGCCCGGAAGTTTTGAATGCGCATGCCGGAAGGGCTATCAGATGCGCAAAAATAGAAATAACCTGAAGAAATGTGAACGTAAATATACACAGTGGTATTCCGATTTCGAAATATATACTCTGCAAAAAAAAGAAATGCAAGAGTGATTTTAGATGTATATTTTATATATCATATAAATAATCAACAGATGGTAATCTATTGTTCAAAATTGGCACACATCATTGTCATTGACCCAGGCTCCATAAGGCACACATGGACTAGTAGATATCAAGCTGAAGGTTATCTGTTCTCAATATCTTGTATGGCCACCATTAGAGTCCAAAACTGACTAGCATCGTGATCCCATGGAAGCATTCAGATCCTGAATTGTGGCCTGGGGAATGTTCACCCACTCTGCCTGCAGAACTTGTGCTATCGGTCGGAGGTTCTGAGGTTGTTGCTGATGTGCTCGCAGTCGTTGATCCAAAACATCCCATCTGTACGGGTCCGCAGCTAATGTGCCATGATCACACATGCAAAACGTATTCACCATCAACGTCCATTGTTGCCCCCTGATTACCGCCTTAGTCACGTCTCGTTTTTCTCGACGACCTGGGGTATTGAGGACAAGAGAACTGTTCCATTCCACCATCACAGTGCATGGCGATTCGTAACTTCCACACGTTTTTGGAACCAGATGATGTGAGGAGATATATCCTTATATATGTATGTTGGGTATCAAGATCCGACTTGTCTTATTGTGTGTGACCATGTCCGACGACGTGGGGCGTGTAAATATCGACTGTGTGTATTGTTGCTCATGCCATCAACCACTGGTTTTCCCTGGTCCAGACTGCATTAACAGAATCGATTATATCGATCAGCATACGAGAGCTCAAAGTCACATGGTCAAGCATGTATTCGCAGGAGTCATACTTGAGGACGATAAGTTTGACAAGTGATAATTTGTTTGATGACTTCAAAAAAATATTTGGTTAAAGTATGTATTTATCTTACGTCTTTTTGTCACGCAGCAACATGTGACCCTCCATGTTCCAACTACGGACGCTGCTTGGCCCCGAACAAGTGTTTGTGTCCGGCAGGATATCCAGGACCCGGATGTTCGGGTAGGTATGGCTCTATTAGATCCAGTTGGCGTCATCATATGAAGTTCTTCAATAGCCATGTAGTCATGTTATAATCAACCTATGCTTATGTTACGTGTCGTTTCCCTAATTGAAACAATGTGTAAAGTTGTTAACCCAGACACATTACATAACAGAAACCAACAAACAACCACCATGTGGTATACAATCAAAAAATGCGTTAAACGAATTCACTAGGTTTACAAATCAACACTAGTTACTGCACAGCAATTACAAGGGCAGTACACAATAGAGCGGTAGTACAATATTCAATGGCAGTACACAATAGAGCGGTAGTACAATATTCAATGGCAGTGCACAATAGAGCGGTAGTACAATATTCAATGGCAGTACACAATAGAGCGGTAGTACAATATTCAATGGCAGTGCACAATAGAGCGGTAGTACAATATTCAATGGCAGTACACAATAGAGCGGTAGTACAATATTCAATGGCAGTACACAATAGAGCGGTAGTACAATATTCAATGGCAGTACACAATAGAGCGGTAGTACAATATTCAATGGCAGTACACAATAGAGCGGTAGTACAATATTCAATGGCAGTACACAATAGAGCGGTAGTACAATATTCAATGGCAGTACACAATAGAGCGGTAGTACAATATTCAATGGCAGTGCACAATAGAGCGGTAGTACAATATTCAATGGCAGTACACAATAGAGCGGTAGTACAATATTCAATGGCAGTACACAATAGAGTGGTAGTACAATATTCAATGGCAGTGCACAATAGAGCGGTAGTACAATATTCAATGGCAGTACACAATAGAGCGGTAGTACAATATTCAATGGCAGTACACAATAGAGTGGTAGTACAATATTCAATGGCAGTACACAATAGAGCGGTAGTACAATACTCAATGGCAGTACACAATAGAGGGGTAGTACAATATTCAATGGCAGTACACAATAGAGCGGTAGTACAATACTCAATGGCAGTACACAATAGAGCGGTAGTACAATATTCAATGGCAGTACACAATAGAGCGGTAGTACAATATTCAATGGCAGTACACAATAGAGCGGTAGTACAATATTCAATGGCAGTACACAATAGAGTGGTAGTACAATATTCAATGGCAGTACACAATAGAGCGGTAGTACAATACTCAATGGCAGTACACAATAGAGCGGTAGTACAATATTCAATGGCAGTACACAATAGAGTGGTTGTACAATATTCAATGGCAGTACACAATAGAGTGGTAGTACAATATTCAATGGCAGTACACAATAGAGTGGTAGTACAATATTCAATGGCAGTACACAATAGAGTGGTAGTACAATATTCAATGGCAGTACACAATAGAGTGGTAGTACAATATTCAATGGCAGTACACAATAGAGTGGTAGTACAATATTCAATGGCAGTACACAATAGAGTGGTAGTACAATATTCAATGGCAGTACACAATAGAGTGGTAGTACAATATTCAATGGCAGTACACAATAGAGCGGTAGTACAATATTCAATGGCAGTACACAATAGAGCGGTAGTACAATATTCAATGGCAGTACACAATAGAGTGGTAGTACAATATTCAATGGCAGTACACAATAGAGTGGTAGTACAATATTCAATGGCAGTACACAATAGAGTGGTAGTACAATATTCAATGGCAGTACACAATAGAGTGGTAGTACAATATTCAATGGCAGTACACAATAGAGTGGTAGTACAATATTCAATGGCAGTACACAATAGAGCGGTAGTACAATATTCAATGGCAGTACACAATAGAGTGGTAGTACAATATTCAATGGCAGTACACAATAGAGTGGTAGTACAATATTCAATGGCAGTACACAATAGAGTGGTAGTACAATATTCAATGGCAATATGTAATGTGATGGCAGTGGTGAGTATCAGATACAAAAATGCAGTGGTAAAACGTGGTACACTTTACAGTGGTGAATACAATTTATATTCACCCAGGGGCGATGGTGGTGAGGCTTCCGTGATGGGCTAGGCAGGGATTCAGGGGTGATCTTCACACGAAAGCTGGTCTTGATTTAATCTCAGATAAAAATGTGTGATGAAACGTGTGAGAGAAACGAGAGACACGCTCTTGTCCCTTACATTCAGTCTCACAAGCTACTGGAAATTTCTACATAGTGGTGTAAGGCTCTATACAATGCTGGGCGAGACTCGCCGTTTCCGGAAGTTACCACACCACTTTAGCATCTAAATATAGTAACTTCTTGACGACTGCTTATTTTAAATCATACTACAGTCTCACAAGCTACTGGAAATGTCTACACAGTGCTGTAAGTCTCTATACAATGCTGGGCGAGACTCGCCGTTTCCGGAAGTTACCACACCACCCTAGCATTTAAATATAGTAACTTCTTGACGACTGCTTATTTCAAATAGTACTACAGTCTCACAAGCTTCTGGAAATTTCTACACAGTGCTGTAAGGCTATATACAATGCTGGGCGAGACACGCCGTTTCCGGAAGTTACCACACCACTCTAGAAACTAAATATAGTAACCTCTTGACGACAGTTTATTTTGAATAGTACTACATTACTGACGACTAATTATTGTCCAAATACAATACAACGAACTTCTACCGAATCTCAACACAAAACGATGTAACACAGTTACAATCATTGTACAACAATAAAATTCACTGCCATGTAACACTTAGACATGCTAACGTCTACTCATGACTTGGAATGTTTAACACCAGAGTGAGTGAGTGAGTTAGTGGAACAGAAATTCTGGTAAAGTGGCGCCTAACCCGTCCACTCACTTTGTGTGTACTCTTTTCTTTCAGCTGTCTGCAGCCCCTCATGTAGCAACGGAGGGACGTGTCTCAGACGGAACCGGTGTGTGTGTCCCGCTGGCTGGGCTGGGAACAGCTGTTTGAGAGGTGGGAGATGTCGAAATTATGTTCTTCGTTTCGTTAAAGCGGGACTTACTATTTTTGTATAAACCGGAACTGGAACCGATGACTAGCACTGGTCCTGCAGTCCTTACCAAACTGGTAAATAGTTAAGGTATCATAATAAGGTCAAGTAGAAACTTGCCATTTTAAGGGTTTTGCTATTTGTTATCATTATAAGGACTAGTGGACTAAAAGTGTTTGTTTCTATCGCTGTGTAGCGGAGACACTCACCCAGCTTAACACACTTCCGGGAGCAGAACAGTGACAGGGGACCAGTTTAGTGTAGCGGGTGCTACCAGTAAGGCAGGGCATACTCGTGAACACCTGGTGTCATCGCTGATTTTCAGTTTTCCATTCAAGCGGATGGTCGAGACTAATTGTTCCCTGGCGTTTACATTTTATTGTCTGTTTTTGGTTGCAGCTGTGTGTCGAATTCCGTGTCGGAACGGGGGGCGATGTGTGTCGCCCAACACGTGTCAATGCTCATCAGGCTTCACTGGGGATCAGTGTCAGACACGTACGTATATATACTGATGACATATACTATTGTCATAGTGCGAACACACCGCCTCTGTGGTCTTGTGGTAGAGCGTCCGCCCGGAGAGCGGAAGGTCCGGGGTTCGATCCCCGGCCGCGTCATACAAAAAGACGTTAAAAGATTGTACTTGTTGTTACCCTGTCTGGCGCTCGGCATTAACGGGCTAAACAAGGACTGGTCGGCTCGGAGTCAGTATACTGTGTCTGAGTGGGGTATTCATGTTAAACTGCGGCATGGTATCTCAGTACAGTGAGCTAGCACTATAAATCGGCATCAGTCCGGACTAGTACAAGCAGCCACACACACGTACATGCACGTCGCTATATAAGTGCAATAATCTTGGACGCGACGTTAAACCCAATTCCACCTCACCTCACCTCACCTCACCTCACCTCATAGTGCGAACAACATCAAAATAAGATCAATCTACCTGACTTTGTTAATTTGACCCCATAACGTAATTTTGCTTCAATTACAGTTATGACTTCGTTTGTAATATTTGTGATCATATACGACGTGAAGAGGTATATCCGGGTCAGGTTCAGTTTATCGTGGGTTCAAATCTCAGATACGCCCCGTTTTTGAACCATGGCTTGTGAGCACCGTATCTTTGTTGGCAGATTTCACCAAAGTGGTAAATTTTGGGACGGCTACACTTTATTGTGATTTCCTCCTACAGCAAACTGACGCATCGTGGTATAACTGAAATACTGTTCAAAACAGCGTTGATTTGTGTCAGCTTTATGGTCACACGTACCGGAAGTCAGCCATTTTGGATTGACCAAAGTAGCTATCGCCATCGATCTGCCTGACTTTGCGATTTCTACTCACAATAAGCGGACACGTCGTGATAGAAATAAGTAGAGTTTTGAGAGGCGTTAAACCCAACTCACTAATATCAGTTTGTGTCAGCTTCATGGTCACACGTCCTTCTACCGGAAGTCGGCCATTTTGGATTGGCCAAAGTAGCCATCGCCCTCGATCTGCCTCACTTTGCGCTTTCTTCTCACAATAAGCGGACACGTCGTGATAGAAATAAAAAGAGTTGCGAGAGGCGTTAAACCCAACTCACTCACTCACCATTGTATTGTGTGTGATTGCAGCCACCTGCTCTCCTGCCTGCGACAACGACGGGCGATGTATCCGAGTGAACGTGTGTCTGTGTAAGAAGGGATACTCAGGACCCAGATGTCAAAACTGTAGGTTATTGTGAATAGACTCTCTACATGTCAACACTCGGTCATGGTGAATAGTCTTATTTCATGTCAACACTAGGTCATGGTGAATAGTCTCACTACATGTCAACACTAGGTCGTGGTGAATAGCCTCACTACATGTCAACACTAGGTCATGGTGAATAGTCTTACTTCATGTCAACACTAGGTCATGGCGAATAGCCTCACTACATGTCAACACTAGGTCGTGGTGAATAGCCTCACTACATGTCAACACTAGGTCATGGTGAATAGCCTCACTTCATGTCAAAACTAGGTCATGGTGAATAGCCTCACTTCATGTCAACACTAGGTCATGGTGAAAAGCCTCACTACATGTCAACACTAGGTCATGGTGAATAGCCTCACTGCATGTCAACACTAGGTCATGGTGAAAAGCCTCACTACATGTCAACACTAGGTCTTGGTGAATGGTCTCACTACATGTCAACACTAGGTCATGGTGAATGGTCTCACTACATGTTAACACTAGGTCGTGGTGGATAATCTCACTACATGTCAACACTTGGTCATGGTGCATAGCCTCACTACATGTCAACACTAGGTCATGGTGAATAGTCTCACTACATGTTAACACTAGGTCGTGGTGGATAGTCTCACTACATGTTAACACTAGGTCGTGGTGGATAGTCTCACTACATGTCAACACTAGGTGATGGTGAACAGTCTCACTACATGTCAACACTAGGTCATGTTGAATAGTCTTACTACATGTCAACACTTGGTCATGGTGAACAATCTCACTACATGTCAACACTAGGTCATGTTGAATAGTCTTACTACATGTCAACACTTGGTCATGGTGAACAATCTCACTACATGTCAACACTAGGTCATGTTGAATAGTCTTACTACATGTCAACACTTGGTCATGGTGAACAATCTCACTACATGTCAACACTAGGTCATGATGAATAGTTTTCATGCTTACAATGTAGGTCATGGGGAATACACCAGGAAAAGGTTCGGGTAAGAATTTATCTTCAGCAACCAATGCTTGTCGTAAGAGGTGATGCAATGGAACGGGTGGTCAGGCTTCCTAACTTGGTTGATTCATGTCATCGTATCCCAATTGTGTAGATCGATGCTCATGATGTCAGTTACTGGATATTCTGGTCCAGGCTTGATTATTTACACACCGCCGCACTCAGCAATATTCAAGCTATATGCAGCTGTCTGTAAGTAATCGAGTCTGGGCCAGACAATCCAGTGATTGACATCAGGAGCATCGATCCACGCAATTGGGATACGATGACATGCATCAACCAAGTCAGCGAGTCTGTCCACCCGATCCCGTTAGTCGCCTCTCACGACAAGCATAGTCGCCTTTTTGTGAGCATTGGTTGCTGAAGACCTATTCTATCCCGGATCTTCACGGGCCACATTGCTAGTCGTGGTATTAGACCCAGTCTGTGTAATAGTGAATAAGTTAAAATTTAACGTCGTATTTCAGCCATACAGCTACGAGAACGAGAAGTTGATATATACAATTGAGTCACGAATACAAAGTTATATTTAAAAACAAATTTGTCAAACATATTTGGGCATAATAGGTCCATGTATTAAGATGCCTTCATCCCAAGTATTACATAGGAATGGAAGCTCAACTCCGTGTCATGTTTACTCTTTCTATATAAAGATCAAGCCATGTTATTTTAACGCCCCCGTATTTCTGAGCTTTGTGTTTTGTAGAACAATAATATGTATGGATTTCAAGTTCTGCATTGTTTATACTGAGGCTGCTCCGACCGGTTGAAATCCAATCGGTCTATGAACCACCGACAAATGCCTATCAAAGACCAGATCTCACATTACGTGTTGGTTTCTGATTAAAGTCATTGAAACGTCCCAGGAATCCGAAAATATACCTGACGCCATTCAGATGTAAATACACCAAACAATGCCTGAGCCGCTACGACTGTGCGTGTTGTACGTGGGCAGTGTGACTGCAGGGACACAACTGACCGCTCAATGTACTGGATTAATTACATAGCTTGTATTTGTAGCAACCGCTTGATGAAAAACTGAATTGCCGACCATGGCGTACAGTGAATATGGTTAACGCCGCTTTTAGCAATACAATAAACTACGGTTATAACGAACGCGCTTATAACGAACTGACGGATATAACGAACTTACTTTTTAGTCCCGAGTATTTGCTGTAGTTATGCTGTATATATGCTTATAACGAACTACGGTTATAACGAACTAAAAATAGTAGTCCCTTTGAGTTCGTTATAACCGTAGTTTACTGTATTCCAGCAATATCACGGCGGGGGACACCAGAAATGGGCTTCACACACTGTACCCGTATGAGGAATCGAACCTAGGTCTTCGGCGTGACGAGCGAACGCTTTAACCACCAGGCTACCCTGGTAGCTACCCCCCCCCCAGCTTTCAAAAGGTTTCATGGTAGATATATGCAGGACATTTTTAAATTTGATGTATCAGTGACAAACATTATGTCCAGTGCAATTCCCTATTTTGACTTGTACCTTATGTTCCCGTGTTTTTTTTCAACAATTGACTTACCTTTGCATGTGTTTGTGACGGGTGCCACCCGTAGATCAGAATACGCTCACATTTTCGCGAACACCTGGTATCTACATTATTGGACAGTGATTCTTAAACACATGCTCATTATATAGTCGGACTCCTACAACAGGCTCTGTTTTTGGCAGATATTTCTTATGAATATGGAAAGGGTTTTTGTAGCTTTTATTTATGAATCACTATAAAATAGTGAAGATACCACATGTTCACGAAAAGGTGACACATGTACACCATGCAGAGTCAAGCCAAGTGTTCACCAAAGATTTGTTTGTTTGTTTGTTGTTTAACGCCGCACTCAGCAATATTGCAGCTACATGACGACGGTCTGTAAATTATCGAAAGAACACGGGGTCATGTGGAACAAGACAATGTAGGGACTATCATCGGACATAAGTTTTGTCCCTAGGCTAAGTCGAACCCTTCTAGTCCGGACCACCTGTTAATCCGGGCGCCGGTATGACGTAGTTACAATGTGTGACCTGGCACGGGCAGTTGCTCATGATGTCAGCCATAACATGGGTTTATAGTCAAGGAATTGCAACCATGTAGAGCTGGAATATTGTTGACTGCGGCGTAACACAACAATTCACTTCCCAAGACATGTTTGAGACTTTAATATTGCCTTTATCTTCATGAAGCTCGTCCGCGATGTCGGCCAGGCTGCAGAAATGGTGGGACATGTGTCGGTCTCAACAAGTGCACGTGTCGGCCAGGGTACAGTGGAAACCTATGCCAACGAGGTATGTCCTTACAACTGTGGATGTATGCCATCGACGAGACATTGTAGGACATATTTACTTGCTAACATTCACAACATTTCCTAATAGTGTTAGGGGCATAGGGGCCTAGTCATCTGGGGCGTTTTAATTCGCTGTGCAGAGTTGCGTCCCTTAGAAACCGACCATTTCTACAGGGTGAAAAATAATGATTTTAAAGAATTTTCGGGGATAATTTTTTCGATAAGGTCCCAGTAGACAACACACCCCTCAAAGAATATCAAATGGTCCCCCATTCGCCCTGATTATTTTTCTAGGCTATTCAGCACCATACCCATTTTCGTGGGTTTCACCGAAAAGATGTTCCACCTGCTTCGTGTCCTGGTGCTTTCCTCCCACATCAAGTTGACAAGCCGTGAAATAACAGAAATGCTGAAGCGTTGAACCCAACTCACTCACTCACCTGATTCTGTTGAGTGTACACAGGGAGAATGTTTGTTTTGGCAACAGGAAGTGTATCTCTGACGTTATATGACATTAATATTCGCAAACATCCTACCTTTGTTTGAACTATTCCTTGTCCTGAAGGAATGTAGCAATAATACACCATTAAACCCCTATACCAGAATACCTCCGTATTGGACCCATGAAGATCCGAGGTAGAATAGGTCTTCAGCAACTCATGTTTGCGTAAAAGTCGACTAACGGAATCGGGTGGTCAGGGCCGCTGACTTGGTTGATGCATGTCATCGATCCCAATTGCGTGGATCGATGCCCATGTTGTCAATCACTGGATTGTCTGGTCCAGACTCGATTATTTGCAGACCGCCGTCATATAGCTGGAATATTGCTGTGTGCGGCGTTAAACAACAACCAAACAACAGTTAACAATATAAGTTAAAGAAACCCACCAGTCAAGATTGGTTAGAATCAACATTTAAAAACCTCTCACGTCGATACCTTTATATGCCGATGCGACGTAAAATTTTAACTCACCCACTCAATAGGTTTATAAGCATCATCTGACCATCACCTTCGAATGTAACACGCCATTGTGAACACAACGAACTACAATACAAGCCTTCGTCAGTAGGGAATTTTCTGTCTATTCAGCGTAAGGCGCACTTTTCTACTCTGCTTCGTTGTGTATTTTCTTGATATGTATTTCAGCTCCCCGGGGAACTTGTCGCCCATCATGTCAAAATGGTGGCGTCTGTCTCCCTGGCAATAGGTGTCGGTGCCCGGATGGAACAAAAGGCTTCCGGTGTCAAGACAGGTACATCTCCGGCTCTTGTGTTTTAAGCGTGACGATTGCATTGTGGGATACACACCTCATGACGTCATAACATTACGTTTATACGCGGCATAAGTGAACTTCACCTCAGAATATTACCGCTCATTAACTCGTGTGCTTTTTGACAGTACCTCCGACTAGGGTCCGGGTAGAGAATAGGTGAGGTGAAATTGGGTTTAACGTCGCGTCCAAGATTATTGCACTTATATAGCGACGTGCATGCACGTGTATGTGTGTGTGTGGCTGCTTGTACTAGTCCGGACTGATGCCGATTTATAGTGCTAGCTCACTGAGATACCATGCCGCAGTTTAACATGAATACCCCACTCAGACACAGTATACTGACTCCGAGCCGACCAGTCCTTGTTTTAGCCCCTTAATGCCGAGCGCCAGACAGGGTAACAACAAGTACAATCTTTTAACGTCTTTTTGTATGACGCGGCCCGGGATCGAACCCCGGACCTTCCGCTCTCCGGGCGGACGCTCTACCACAAGACCACGGAGGCGGTCGGGTAGAGAATAGGTCTTCGGTGACCAATGCTTGTCATAAGAGGGACTATGCTTGTCGTAAGAGGCGACTAACGGATCGAATGGTCAGGCTCGCTGACTTGGTTGATGCATGTCATCGTATCACATTTGAGTAGATCGAAGCTCATGATGTCCAACAATGGATTGTCTGGTCCAGACTCGATTATTCACAGACCGCCATCATATGCAAATGTATCTGGAATATTGCTTAGTGCGGCGCAATCGTTAATTTAGCACCGTGACACCCATTATAACGTACCCTTTCATTGTTTCTCCACAGACACTGCCCTATTATGACGTACCCCTTTACTATTATATACACGGACACTGCCATATTGTGACGTACCCCTTTACTATTATATACACGGACACTGCCCTATTGTGACGTACCCCTTTACTTTTACATCCACAGACACTGCCATATTGTGACGTACCCCTTTACTATTATATACACGAACACTGCCCTATTGCGACGTACCCCTTTACTTTTACATCAACAGACACTGCCCTATTGTGACGTACCCCTTTACTATTACATACACTGACACTACCCTATTGTGACGTACCCCTTTACTATTACATCAACAGGCACTGTCCTATTGTGACGTACCCCTTTACGTTTACATCCACAGACACTACCCTATTGTGACGTACCCCTTTACTATTACATTAACAGGCACTGCCCTATTGTGACGTACCCCTTTACTTTTACATCCACAGACACTGCCCTATTGTGACGTACCCCTTTACTTTTACATCCACAGACACTGCCCTATTGTGACGTACCCCTTTACTATTATATACACGAACACTGCCCTATTGCGACGTACCCCTTTACTTTTACATCCACAGACACTGGCCTATTGTGACGTACCCCTTTACTATTACATACACGAACACTGCCCTATTGCGACGTACCCCTTTACTTTTACATCCAAGGACACTGCCCTATTGTGACGTACTCCTTTACTTTAACATCCAAGGACACTGCCCTATTGTGACGTACCCCTTTACTATTACATACACTGACACTACCCTATTGTGACGTACCCCTTTACTTTTACATCCACAGGCAATGCCCTATTGTGACGTACACCTTTACTATTACATACACTGACACTACCCTATTGCGACGTACCCCTTTACTTTTACATCCACAGGCACTGCCCTATTGTGACGTACCCCTTTACTTTTACATCCACAGGCACTGCCCTATTGTGACGTACCCCTTTACTTTCACATCCACAGACACTGCCCTATTGTGACGTACCCCTTTACTTTTACATCCACAGGCACTGCCCTATTGTGCCGTACCCCTTTACTATTACATACACTGACACTACCCTATTGTGACGTACCCCTTCACTTTTACATCCAAAGACACTGCCCTATTGTGACGTACCCCTTTACTATTACATACACTGACACTACCCTATTGTGACGTACCCCTTTACTTTTACATCCACAGGCACTGCCCTATTGTGACGTACCCCTTTACTATTACATACACTGACACTACCCTATTGCGACGTACCCCTTTACTTTTACATCCACAGACACTGCCCTATTGTGACGTACCCCTTTCCTTTTACATCCACAGGCACTGCCCTATTGTGACGTACCCCTTTACTTTTACATCCACAGACACTGCCCTATTGTGACGTACCCCTTTACTTTTACATCCACAGGCACTGCCCTATTGTGCCGTACCCCTTTACTATTACATACACTGACACTACCCTATTGTGACGTACCCCTTTACTTTTACATCCACAGGCACTGCCCTATTGTGACGTACCCCTTTACTATTACATACACTGACACTACCCTATTGCGACGTACCCCTTTACTATTACACCCACAGGCACTGCCCTATTGTGACGTACCCCTTTACTATTACATACACGAACACTGCCCTATTGCGACGTACCCCTTTATTTTTACATCCACAGACACTGCCCTATTGTGACGTACCCCTTTACTATTATATACACGAACACTGCCCTATTGCGACGTACTCCTTTACTTTAACATCCACAGACACTGCCCTATTGTGACGCACCCCTTTACTATTACATACACTGACACTACCCTAATGTGACGTACCCCTTTACTATTACACCCACAGGCACTGCCCTATTGTGACGTACCCCTTTACTATTACACCCACAGGCACTGCCCTATTGTGACATATATGCAAAGTCTGAAGAGGGGGGTGAGGCAGTCGATGAGGGAGGCCTACACCGTCCCCTGTGGCAGGTTCGACTGGGACACGTGCACGTCATACAGGTAAGACACCTGGTGCCACAGGTCTAGGTCCTTTAAATTGGAGTGGTGTGTAGATGGTTGACCTGGTCAGAGATATCGAAGGTGGCTTCGTGGTTGGATGCGACCATCGGAGATTGACCTGCCTCGCGATTTCTGAAACACAGTCGGTACAAACCCAAACAGGACAGCCTCATGTCGGGTACCAGTATTCAATTTGCTGTTCAGTGTTTTGTTTCTCTCTGGTTTTATTTTCACAACAATGTTTTTTAGCATGTACAATGAAACCCCGATTGTCCGGAAACCGTCTCTTCTGGACACGGGTTGGGATTGTCTGTATAACTATTCGTTAATACCGAAGTCTGGACTATATTGCTGGGAAGGGCACAGTCTGGATTAACGAGGTTTCACTGTACAATATTTTTTACGTCATATATTTTGTGTTTTTTGTCCTTAGAGACATGTTTTTCTCGTTCAGGATCGTCCAGAGGTTTGTGTACAAGACAACATTCAAGGTTGGATACAGAAGAAAGTGCAGAGAGTGATCACTGTGAACCACAACACACTACATACAGCGGAACCTCAGTAACCCGGACTCCAATACCTCCATGTATCTCTATTACGGTGTATATTTTGGGTTCCGACAGAACCTGTTTCGACACTAAATCCACGCTCGACATTTATATCGTGTACTTATGCTTGAGAAGGCTCAGTGACCGAATCGACTGAATTTGCTGTGCAGAGTTGCGTCCCTTAGTCGTGCCAGTATCAGTTGATCGACGGTTCTATTCCCAGAATTGTCTTTATAAACCTCGGTTTGTCAGCACCAACCCATGCTAGTTGGTTTCACCTGAGCGAGAAACGCTTTACACTGCATCCGATTGGGCTTCCTTCCACAATCTGCTGTATAACCGAACTACTCTTATAAGGGTCTTTAACCCAACACAAACACACATACTCTGCGGTCCCAAGGTCTCTGCGGTCACATCATCCGCCCTTAATCACAGTTAGACTATGAACACTGCCAGTCAAAGACAAACAGTATTACTCTGCAAGAAAAAGTAACACAAAAGTGATTTTAGATGTATATTATATATAATATCAAGAAACAACAGATGGTAATCGAGTGTTCAAAATTGGTACACAACATTGTCATTGACCCAGGTTCCATACGGCAAACTTGGAATAGAAGATTTTCAAAGTGCAAGTCATCTGTTCTCAATATCTTGTATGACCACCACTACGAGTCCAAGACTGACTGGCATCGTGATCCCATGGAAGCATTCAGATCCCTGCACCAAATCTCTTCTACTGGTGTAGGAGATGGCTGCCCACATCATCACACTACCACCACCAAATCTTCCACTCTCTGTATGCAGGTTCGTGCATAACGTTCCCTGCGAGGCCTGTAAACACGACGTCTACCACACGAGCATAAAAACGTGACTCGTCACTAAACCAAACTCAGTTGTGGCCAGACGATGAGGGTCTGTCAAAATGACACCTCGAACTGGTTGTCTAGCGCGAATACCTCAACGTTTCCTCTCTGTCTGAGCTGATATCCTACCCAATCCTGGTATTGCCGTGGTGGTCCTTTCACGTAAGTGACGTAGCCGTATGAACCTGTCTTGTTCTCAAGTGCTTATACTTGGTCGATCTGGGAAGGTCCCGTGTTGTCCCAGGTGTCCGATAACTGTTCCACAGACTTGTGATGGTTGCATGGTGCTAGTGGAAAAACCTGGCTACAGCTAAAGATGATTCTCCTGTTGGCTGTCAGTCGATGGCGTTGTTGCCTTAGGCCTCCGTCAGTATTTTGGGGGCATGTTTTCCCTGTTCTCTTGCTGTAAGATTGTGATGGCATGCTAATGAAAACCCAACGTTTTTTTATAGCCCAACAAGTGACGTTGCACGTGCAAGTCATGTTGGTGTGTTTCGGCGCCAGGCTCTCGCGTGACTGTGTTTTTTGCGATTTTTCTATCTTTTCACCAAATTTCTTTCCACACAAATCAATCCCAATCCATGCAGAAATGAGCAATTAGTTTGTGGTATCAATATGGTATGGATGTCGGATACACTGTGAGATATCTACGATTTTACTACTTTTGCATTTCTATTTTTTGGTAGAGTATATTATGTCGCGTGGTTGATGGCAAAATGTTAAATGCAGTTCTGGGTCATATTGTAATTCTTACTGGGTCATTATTTGCTGGTGGTTTTTCATTAAGAATACATTTAACTGAATGAAAAACCACAACAGCATAGGTTACAACGCTTACAACATATATATTTGTAATAAATAAAATATCAAAGCCATTCTGTGTTTGTTGGTGTGTACATGTCAGACTGATCAAAACAACGCCTCAGTGAAAGAACGGAAAGTCCGGGGTTCGATCCCTGGCCTTGTCGTACCAAAAGACGTTAAAAGATGGTATTTGTTGTTACCCTGTCTGGGGCTCGGCATTAGGGGCTAAAACAGGGACTGGAGTATTCATGTTAAGCTCGGGCATGGTTTGTCAGTGAGCTACCACTATGAATCGGTATCAGTCCGGACTAGTACAAGCAGCCACACACGCACGCACGCACACACACACACCTGCATGTACGTCGCTATAGAAGTGCAATAATCTTGGACGCGACGTTAGACCCAATTTCACGTCACCTCAGTTCAAACATTGTTAATCCTGAAACCGTACAACCGGACCTTTGCAGTTGGAGCGTCTTTTTTTCGTGATTAATGGTTCGTTAATCTGGACATTTGACAAGATATATTGATCTGACATTTGACATGATATATCGATCTGACATTTGACATGATATATCGATCTGACATTTGACAGGATATATCGATCTGATATTTGACATGATATATTGATCTGACATTTGACATGATATATTGATCTGACATTTGACATGATATATCGATCTGATATTTGACATGATATATCGATCTGATATTTGACATGATATATCGATCTGATATTTGACATGATATATCGATCTGACATTTGACATGATATATCGATCTGACATTTGACATGATATATCGATCTGACATTAAACATGATATATCGATTTGACATGATATATCGATCTGATATTTGACATGATTTATCGATCTGATATTTGACATGATTTATCGATCTGATATTTGACAGGTATATCGATCTGAAATTTGAGATATATCGATCTGATATTTCACATGATGTATCGACCTGATACATGTGTTTATCCATGTCTCCAGGATATGCCGCACCCAAACCGGAAGTCCCTGCCCTAATGAACCATTTGGCTGTATTTGCAGAGCAGTTGAGCCTCTCTACATCCCCTGCCTCCATCAATAACGTTAAACGTATGTCTGTCCGCCACTTTGTATTTATTACACAGATTTATGACTCATCACACAAAGTTTGTAAATGGCAACACAAAATCTATTTATTATTTACTCTGCATGACATCAAAACATCCTGTGATCCACTGGTCATTAAGGTCTTGCTCCCACGGTACTCATTTGTGGATCTACATGTAGTACTTAATCACTTGTGTGACACGCCGTAATTAGAGTTGCCAGTTGTTGCTGAGAAGGGGGCGCATGCTGATGTATTTGAAACTGTACACAGAACAATATAAAAAAGAGCTGATGGACGTAGACTGTTAACGCCGATCTGCACGGTATATGTTTATTGTTGGGAATCCACAAGTTGTTAAATGAATACAGACCGAAGGTTTTATAGAAATTATCACACGTAATATATGTTATTATTAAAATGGATTGTGACAACTCTCACAGCTATTGCAGACAAATGTAAAGCGTGTACTTCACACCATTAATACATTGAAGTTAAACCGTTTTGGAGTGCCCCGTAATTCGCGTGCTGTACACATAAAGACACGAGTTAAACGGCACAAAGAAACAAGTCACTCGCCTTTCAGCCTCATCCCCGATTTTCAAGTGTACTAAAGCCTCGTTTCCATTGCCTATTTCTGAGCAGTTCTCTCGCCCATGAGAGCTACTTGACTGAGCGGCTTTCAGTTTCGTGCTATTCCAATTGGGCACAAAAGAAGCATTCGGAGCGAATGGCCAAGGGTACTCATCTCAATAGAATGGTGATAAAAAACACTGAATAATCGAGGAGTTTTCATTGAACATAGCGTGAATTTCAATTTATTTATTGTTTCAATGTAATGTCAACTCTGCCTTAACTTACACGACAGTTAAAATGCCTCTTAAAGATAGAGGATGTTTCAGCCTTCAGGTCTTTTGTCGCCCAAGGTAAGTACCTCAATATTTCTGCGTCTTGACCTTTCCTTTTGAAGGGTATCCGGCTATATGTTCATACAGTGTATATAGAGCCCTCGTCCACTTCCAAGATTAACACTAGTTGTCGGAAAGCTTCGCTACCGTCCGATCAAACACCTAGACAGTGTTCTGGACACGTTTGGTAGTGCTCCAGACTTAGGTAGTGTTCCAGACACGTTTGGTAGTGTTCCAGACCCGTTTGGTAGTGCTCCAGACGTGATTGGGAGTGTTCCAGACACGTTTGGTAGTGCTCCAGACACGTTTGGTAGTGTTCAAGACACGTTTGGTAGTGCTCCAGACGCGTTTGCTAGTGTTCCAGACACGTTTGTCGGTGTTCAAACACGTTTGCCAGTGTTCCAACATGTTTGTCAATGTTCCAGGACGTCTGGTTGTGTTCCAGACACGTTTGCCAGTGTTCAAACAAGTTTGCTAGTGTTCCAGAGACGTTTCCATTTGCTTCCAAATTGTTTCACGTAGACGTAATCCAAGACTTTTCCTTTACAACTCATTTTGTACATCAACACCTGGGGCATTTCACAAATATCTTCTTGAGCTCGGTCCTGAACTGTCTGTTGTTGAAGACGTAGATGAGGGGGTTGATGACGGTGAGCGAGTACACGAGCCACATGGCGCCCACGTCCACCCACAGCGGCGTGTGCACGTGCAGGGGGCAGGCGTGCGTGACGGCGTATGGGCCCCAGCACAAGAAGTAGGCGGTGATCAGCAGTGCACCTGCAATCAGGGAGTCCGTTAGCAGCAGTTCCCGTATCATTTAACAAACGTTCTAAGTGACTACATCTTCCCGAGACAAGATATTTAGCTGACTATAAAAGTCCAGTTGCCACCCTTGCCGGATGAGGTAAGGTGAAATGGGGTTTAACGTTGCATCCAAGATTATTGCACTTATATAGCGACGTGCATGTACGTGTGTGTGTGGCTGCTTGTACTAGTCTGGACTGATGCCGATGTATAGTGCTAGCCCACTGAGATACCACGCCGCAGTTTCACATGAATACCCCACCCAGACACAGTATACTGACTCCGAGCCGATCAGTCCTTGTATTAGCCCCTTAATGCCGAGCGCCAGACAGGGTAACAACAATTACCATCTTTTAACGTCTTTTGGTATGACGCGGTCATGGATCGAACACCGGACCTTCCGCTCCCCGGGCGGACGCTCTACCACCAGACCCCGGAGGCGGTCCCACCCTTGCCGAACTAGGCTGGAATTATGAAGTTATATTTTGGCTGGACTAACGAGTCTATGCAGAGTCCTATCAAAATCGCGTAACAAAATCAACATCCGGTTCGTAAACTGCCGTACATATTTCGGTCTATTGCAGGATTTGCAAAGCATGTGTAACGCCAATTTGGCTTGAACAGATATAATCCAAATCTTTTCATGTTTTCAATCAAGGTGCTCACGTGATTTGATACACTTCGCAAGGTAAGACCCGTTTTGATAAAAAAAGAATTGATCAGATCGTCTTCACTGGGTGCCGCCATTTAATTTTGTTTGAAGCAAACGCAAGTGATATGAGGGGTGGAATCTGAATCGTCAATAGGAGGGACATAGAATTGGCATAACTCGTAACAGCCACTGGTGGCGCTACGATCGGGCCCAGAAATTCCAGCATGGTTCGGCAAGGGTGGAAACTCCGGGGCTTTTATAGTCAGTTAACGGGAAGATGATGTGGCTTTTGGGGGCTACGGATCGACCGCTGAAAAAGCCAACGAGCGCTATAGGATTTACAGCGCACTTCGACATGTCCGATTAGTCAAATCAAATATGTATAAAAATATATATATACCAATCTACTTACCTCCAAATATATGTACTTTTTTCTTCGAAATAAATTTTGAACAAGGATTCCAAATCGAAAACAAAAATCGGTAGAGGTTTGGGACAAGACCGTGACGCCCACGAAAACACTGTCGCGTTTTGTTTTCGATCTGGATAGCTCATTCAAATGCTACTGCGCACATCGGCAGATTTGTCTGACAGGACGATCCATATCCCATGTAGTTTCAGTATTTATAATAAAATACTTGATATCAAATACCGTAACCAAAGCTACGAGTCAGACAGTGAGAAGATACTGTACACAAGCCACATCACAGCCATATCATAGCCATATCACAGCCACATCACAGCCATATCACAGCCATATCATAGCCATATCACAGCCATATCACAGCCATATCACAGCCACATCACAGCCATATCATAGCCATATCACAGCCATATCATAGCCATATCACAGCCATATCACAGCCATATCACAGCCACATCACAGCCATATCATAGCCATATCATAGCCACATCACAGCCATATCACAGCCACATCACAGCCATATCATAGCCATATCATAGCCATATCATAGCCATATCACAGCCACATCATAGCCATATCACAGCCATATCGCAGCCCAATCACAGCCACATCACAGCCATATCATAGCCATATCACAGCGATAGCACGGCGCACGGAAGATGATCGAGCTTGGATCTGACTCGTTGATAATACGGGGGATGATTGACAACCTCAGGGTAGACAACGTCACACGTCCCGATTCCGATCTTACTACAAACATGGCGCACTATATAAAATCTCCAATAAATACATGCAAAAACCATCCCGTGAACAGCTAGGTTGGAACGGGTCTTTAGCAATTCATGCTTGCCGCAAAAGGCGCCTATACTTGTCGTAAAAGGCGACTAAAGGGATCGGGTGGTCAGGCCCACTGACTTGGTTGTTGCATGTCTTCGTATCTCAATTGCTTGGATCAATGGTCAAGATGTTAATCACTTGGTTGTCTGGTCCAGACGCGATTATTTACAGACCGCCGTCATATAGCTGGAATATTGCTGAGTGCAGCGTTAAACGACAAACAAACAAACAAGTCACATCCTACAACAATTATGGATTGCTGAAGACCTCGACAGTAATGCAATAAGTGCCATCGTCGACAAATATTAGCGTCCCAAAACTTCTAACATCTTGCTACCAAATGTTTGTAATTATCTATCGATCACATTTACAGACCCATTACAAATTGTCCATGACGTGATTTCTTAATCAACCAATATCGATCCGATCAGCTCAGTACAAATGAACATACGTAAGAACGCCGCATCAACGTCATAGGGCCTCATTGCTGCTGGAGTACATCATTTATACGTCTCGGTTATTTCAGTGCTTAACAGGTTTAAAGAAACAGTCCTACTAAAACATCGATAATTTGCCTCCAAGGTTTGTTTTTTCCAAAGCAAAATAAAGGCTGGCGATGTTATTCGTATGCCAACAAGATTCAGTTAATGCCAGAAAGGAAATTTGCGAAGCCTCACGTCAACTGAATTGCTATAACGGGATTTTACAGTTTGTTTTCTTTAGAAATTTGGACTAAATATCTTTTCCCCACTTATATCCAGGCAACTTATGAAATGTTGTAGTCGCGTAGAAGGTGGTGGTGGAGTAGATTAATGGTAAAGGTGTTGACTCGACGCGCCCGAAGAGCCAGGTTCGATTCCCAATATGAAAACAATGTGTAAAGTTCATTTCTGATGTCCTCCCGACGTGTTATTGCACTCAGTGAGTAAAACATGGACTTGAGTCGGTATACTGTGTCTGAGTGAGCTATCCATGTTAAACTGCGGCATTGTATCTCCGTGCGCTAGCCCTATAAACACACACACACACACACACACACACACACACACACACACACACACACACACACACACACACACACACACACACACATATATATATACTCAACAAACACACACAAAACACACCCGTACATATAAACACAACACAAACACACACAACATGCATACACACACGCGCGCGCCATTCAAGGAATATTGATAACAGAAAAGAAATGCAAAAATCTTGACCGCGACGTGTATGTTGTCTCACATGTGTTTTCATCTTAAACTGCGGCATGGTATCTCAGTGCTCTATCGCCCTTCCGCACACACGCACGTACGCAAGCACGCACGCACTCACCCATACACAAAACGCTTTTCAGCCTGACTGTTGTAAGTGATATTTTTGGAACAAATATTTTCTGATTTTCTGAATCTGACCTAAAGCAAACACTGCCATTTGAACGTTTTACCTCGTTTTGCAATCTGTTTGTCTATGACGCTTATCTGTGTCTTCTTTGCAGGTAACGGCGTGTGTTCATCGTTGTTGTGGTTGTCGCTGTACGTCGTGCCGCCATCGTTGACAGTCGCAGCATGGGTTATAGCAGTGTTTGGGCACACGGATATCTCCTTAACACCGATGACCTCAGCGCCTCCCTTCACCGACCTCGGGCGGACAACTGACGCTGCAAATATCTTCATCTTGTGAGCACGAAGAGTCCTGGACACTTTGAAATAGCAGAACGCCATTGTAGGTAACGGGATGCCGTATCCCATGACAATGGCGTACCAGAAGTACCAGCAGCTGACTCTGAAGGAAGGCGAACAGTGCTTGGTGCCATCTTCGAAGTAATAGTAGGCAGTCCTGGTCGGCAACAATGGCGGCATGGCGGTCAGGCCCGCCCACAGCCAGCAGATGGTTAAAAGACCTTGTTGGAAGAAATGATCAGTTGTATAATATGTTTGATTGTTATTTAACGCCGCATTCAGCAATATTCCAGCAATATGAAGGTGGCCTGTAAATAATCGAGTATGGACCAGACAATCCAATGACTGACATCATGAGCATCGATCCACGCAAATGGGATACGATGACATGCATCAACCAAGTCAGCGAACCTGACCACCCGATCTCGTTAGTCGCCTCTTTGGCAAGCATGGGTTGCTGAAGACCTATTCTAAGCCGGATGTTCACGGGTCGTTCAGAGGTGTCAATGGCCTTGGGGAACCACAGACTTGGGAGAATACAGACAGTTGGGCTAATGTCATGTTTTCTGACGAGTCGAGGTTCACTCTCGACTTCCATGACCGAAGGAATCGAGTCTTGCCATTTGCACAACGTTTTGGGCAACGTTTCGTCCTTTCAGGTGATAATGCATGTGGTCACTGTGCCAGAATTGTGACCCAATTCCTCCAACAGCAAAACACCCATGCCACGCCATGGTCAGCACTCAGTCCTGACCTATGCACCACCGTACACGTCTGGGACGTCATTGCAGACGTGTACATCAACGTCAAAATCTATCCACCACTCTCAATGAACTCGGTGTTGCTTTCCCTATTGAGTAAAACAACATGAGTCAAGCTGACATTGGTCGACTCATCAGAAGCATGCCTCGAAGCATGTCTGGCCAACAGAGGTGGTTTAACCCGATTAGTGACGTTGGCTGCAAAATGCCCAGTAGATATGACCATATCATTTCCATTTGCCAATATCATATAGATCACAAGATATTTCTTGATGATACCAACTATCCTCTACTTTTTTCGCATAGTATATTTGACATAGCAAGTAAGTGAGTGAGGTAATGTTCTTTAACAACAGTTTTAGACTGCAATATTCCAGCTGCTAAGTGCAGTCCAGATTAGGACAAGGCAAAGCCGTGGTTGATATGAAAAGCAACGAACCACCTCGTCGGGCTACGATGACGCAGTCAGCCATGCCACTCATTGTGACCATCCAATACTCTCTTGAGCTACACACAACAAGCAATGTGAGCCGCTTAGCTGCTGAACTCGAGTTTAGGTTTACACAGGAGCGTTCACAGTGCATATACCTACCTAAACACTTGTTCTTGGTGAAGTCGGTGATGTAGCCCACGGGGTGGAGAACGGCGACGTAGCGGTCCATGGCAATGGCGGCCAGCGTCAGGCTGGCTAGTGTACACTGGAATACGGACAGGAAGCCCGTCACCTAGCAACAAGAGGGATATTACTGATGTAGTGTACATAACAATATTCGTGGAGATGATACTGTATGCTATGGTTACTTTTACTGACAGCTGTATGAGCAGGGTTTTTTTATATTCATGAACAATTGACTTGTCTTTGCATGTGTGTGTGATGGGTGCCACAGGTAAGGCAGGATACGCTCACCTTTTCGCGAACACATCACTGGTATTCATACACACATGCTCATGATATAGTCCAAATAGTACAATAGAATCTGCTTTTAGCAGATATGATTATTGAAAGGGATTCGTCGCTTTTATTCACGTCCGTTGTTTTACTTTGAAAGAGACACCACTTCGCAAATATTTTCAAGATGGCAACCGTTGTGGTCATGTGTAAAATCCGATCGAGTTTCAATAACACCATTGCAGGGGTTCTCCTTACTGAGTTTCAATAACACCATAGCAAGGGTTCTCCTTACTGAGTTTCAATAACACCATTGCAAGGGTTCTCCTTACTGAGTTTCAATAACACCATTGCAAGGGTTCCCCTTACTGAGTTTCAATAACACCATAGCAAGGGTTCTCCTTACTGAGTTTCAATAACACCATTGCAAGGGTTCTCCTTACTGAGTTTCAATAACACCATTGCAAGGGTTCTCCTTACTGAGTTTCAATAACACCATTGCAAGGGTTCTCCTTACTGAGTTTCAATAACACCATTGCAAGGGTTCTCCTTACTGAGTTTCAATAACACCATGGCAAGGGTTCTCCTTACTGAGTTTCAATAACACCATTGCAAGGGTTCTCCTTACTGAGTTTCAATAACACCATTGCAAGGGTTCTCCTTACCGAGGAGTTTCAAATTTATTAGACAAATGGTTTAAGATCTTAAGGTAGAACTTCTTGAGAAGTTCGTAACCAAACCAAACCTTCACTTGCTTGGCTCAAGCACTTTTAAAGAAACGTCTTGCTGTAACTGAACTCTTAAACACACTTAAATTCTACATTTGAATTGAGTTGCCATAACGTTTCAATGTAAAGCTCTTCCGGTGGTTCAATAGGCTCTTCCACCAGAGATGCCACACGAAGAAATCTCCATTTCCACAATTAAAATCCAGTAAATTGTTCGTTCTTTTGTATATATTCCAGCTATATGAGGACAGTCTGTAAAATTATAATCGGGTCTCCACCAGACAATACAGGGACTCACATCAAGTGCATCGATCAAAGCAATTTCGATACGATAACATGTATCAAGTCAGCAAGCCTGACCACCCGATCCCAGTAATAGCCTCTTATGAGAAGCATGGGTTGGTGAAGAACAATTCTAACCCGGATCTTCACGCGGAAACATCCGCTATAAATTGATATTAACGTCAGTGTTACACATATATTATATAGTTACAGTTAGTACTGAATACAACACTCTACATAGAACACGCATGCTTATGATATAGTCGGAATCGTACAACGACTCTACTTTTAGCATAGATTTTTTTTATGCTGATGTGGCTTTGATTTACAGTATAAATCCGCCCCCGTGGGCTAGCTATGTTTTGAAATAATTTCACATAGTAATGCTTCATACAAATATATACCGTATTTCCCCGATTAGACGCTCGGATTCGATTAAACGCCGGGGGTAAAATGTGTCTGAAAGAAAATTACGTCCTGGCGTTTAAACATACTTAGTGTTTTCAGATTAACCTTGTTTATTTTATCCTAACATTTCTATTGATGTATTTTATTCAGTGTGGAGTAACACTCAAGTAAACACATGTGTAATTAAAATGGATTATTGATTTTATCTTCTTATATAAGTTAGCTGCGCGATAAATCGCAAAGAACAATGAAGAACGAAGCGTGGTTTGTTTTTATTATATACTCAATCTTTCACACTCCCGACATGGGTACAATGTGTGAAGCCGAGATATTGCTGGAATATTGCTAAAAGCGGCGTAAAACCATACTCACTCACTCAGTGTGAAAGATTGAGTTTTGAGAAAAGTGATATTTTCGTTGCACAGAACATAAAACTTGATATGTCACTGCAGTGAACATTTCACTTATACACTTGGGCGGAACTATTGGCATACAAGAGTTACCTCCCTGCAAATTGTCTCCCTTTATCGGCAATGTCTAGCCCGTACACAAACTGTTGACTTCCTTTTAAAGTTAGTTGCACGTTGACAGGGAAAATAATGGCAGATGGTCAATTATGGAGTTAATGTCGCTTCTTGCCGTGTGTCATTTTCTTGAAAATGGTTCGTAATAAACTGTAAATTTATCGAGACTGTTCGTTTCTTAAAGCCCTATGTTTTGTTACTTGACCAATGTGTATTCTTTCGCTTCCAACAGCGGTTTCGTGGATTTCAAGAATATTTTTTTGTTTAAGTTGATTTTGTATATAATCTGTCCGAATGTATGAGAAAGAATTTATAATATGAAGGTGTATACGTATATAATAAATAGGATATTCCATGTGAAATATCATGTTTCTCACGTCGAGTGGCGGGGGAAAGGAGATATTTTCGACACATGAAAAATCCTCTATGTTCTATTATGACCTCATTTCTGGAGATTCGAGCATGCGCTAGCAACTTGATGACGTCATATATTGGACGACGTTATTGTTAAGGGAAATGTTCCCCAGAGAGCACGGGTGGCGCAGTCGTCTAAGGCGCCGCGATTCGCTGTGCAGAGTTGCGTCCCTTCGGTGCGCCAGCAACCTATGATTGTGGGTTCGAATCACGGTTCGCCCCGATTATGTTTCTAGGTTTGTCAGCACCATACCCGTGCTCGTGGGTTTCACCGAAGTGGTAAACGTCTAAGACCTGCATCACTTTGGGCTTTTCTTCCACATTCAGCTGACACGCCGTGATATGACTGGAATACTGTTAAAAGCGGCGTTAACCCAACTCACTCACTCACTCACTGTTCCCCAGAAATTCAGCTGAGAAACGAAGATAAACGCGATGGCCGAACGATCGCATCCAAAAGCGGGAGAGATATGACAATCGGTATTGGGAGACAAGGTACAGACAATCGATGTGAGGATTTTGACAATATACGGGAAATAACAATACCAAACCCACCTGTTCATAAAATGGACTTGTCCGACATTGCCGAGGTCGGATTCTTTTCAGGGAGTCGTCATTATTAAAATACGGATAATTATTTTTAAGTTTGTACATTGTATCACCATCCTTAAAGAGGCTGTATAAAATGTTAGTATCTCATATAAGAAATAAACGACTCGTGATCGTTTTTTATCATACAATAAAACATTACAGGGAGGATATACGACGTGAGTTTTATTGTACGATAGACAGCTCCCACTCGTCGTTTCTTAAACAGACTATGTATGTTTTAGTTAGACTAGTGACAGTGTCGCACTGCTGCTTGTGCGCAGTCACGTACGGCTTCTGCCAACAGTATAACATAGAGTTGCGGCCTGGTTAACTTTGTGGGGTGAAGTACACTGGTATCTGTAAACCCCCTGCCCTGAATCCAGAATACCATCTAATTTTTCACTCTGAGTCAAATTGCTCACCTCTGTATCCAGAATATTACTTAACACGAACCTTCTCAACACATTTTCTGAATTCACTTTTCAAAGGCAGAATGTCGATCACGAATGAAACCTTAAAACACGTTCCTCGGTCATAAAAGGGTGTTTTTAGAAGTTAAATAAATGAATAAATGTCGATAAAATGTAATCCATAAAGGACATTTTACGTACTCCACATCCCCCCGAGGCAAAGGAGTTAACTGACTATAAAAATCCAGTTTCCACCCTTGCCGAACTAGGCTGGAATTCTGGAGTTATAGTTTGGCTGGATTAACGAGTCTATGCATAGTCCAATCAAAATCGCGTAACGAAATTAACATCCGGTTCGTAAACTGCCGTTCAGATTTCGGTCGATTGCAGGATTTGCAACGCATGTGTACCATCTACTTAGCGTCAACAGTCATTTTCTATTTTTTTTCATGTATTTTTATCAAGGTGCTCACATGATTTGATGGGGCACGGGTGGCCCAGTCGTCTAAGGTGCCGCGATTCGCTGTGCAGAGTTGCGTCCCTTGGGCACGCCAGAAACCTATGATTGTGGGTTCGAATCAAGGTTCGCCCCGATTATGTTTCTAGGTTTGTCAGCACCATACCCGTGCTCGTGGGTTTCAACGAAGTGGTAAACGTCTGAGACCTGCATCACTTCGGGCTTTCCTCCCACATTAAGCTGACTCGCCGCGATATAACTGGAATACCGTTAAAAGCGGCGTTAAACCCAACTCACTCACTCACATGATTTGATGCACTTAGCGAACTAAGATACCTACTATATAGACCTCCGACCCGGAGTACTTAAAGTGTGTTGGCAGTTTTATTAGGCTTGCTTATGCTGTAATTGTGACTCGTCATTTATTGATCTACCATCTGATCAACGTCCTATTACCTGCACCCCGTGAAAAAGGTTTCTCACATTATGACGTTCTCAAGATGACTTCCTTTTTATTTCATTGTAAGCATGTGATAAATGCTCACAAACATGTCAAGTATTATTTCATATTTTTGTATTGATGACGGTCACAGTTACAGCTTGAGTACATGTAACCTGTAACCTGGAACCTGTAACCTGGTAGTACAGATTACAAATTACATTGCTCATGATCAAAGGCCAGCCTTGCCACTTTATTCAGAGCGGTCGTAACTGGATGCCTACAGGTGAGCACTGCGTTTCACGGTATTTTTATTTTAATTACCAATACCTCATCACAGACGCAATGCACACCTGACACAAGAACCGCTCATTCATTCAAAGCTGTTGATACCAGTGTTGTTGTGACGTTTATAAAAGCCGATACAATGTCTGATTGTCCTCCACTGAATGAGGTTACTACCCGCACAGCGTGGTGAAAATTGATTCCTTCGAAAAAATATCAGTGTCTCTTTGATGATTGATCTCTCTATTCGGATCGATAAATCGATCACACGCGACCCACGCGTGAACCCATGCCTTTC